GGTCCCATGTCGTCGGAAAAGCACGAGAAGGAGGTCCCCCATCCAAAAGACATGGACCGCAAGTCCCGTGATCGGGCTTTGAACTGACCCAGGTCCTCGGGCTTTGAAGCTCTGCTAGCGCGGGCCTGGGCATCTTCCCACCCCAGCACGTCCGACCGTCCGCCTCCTCCGCCGTATCCTGTCAAACGGCAACTTCCTGGGATCAGTCAGATCTCTCTGCCTCTCCGTCTCTCTTGCTCTCTCTCTCTCTCTCTCTCTCTCTCTCTCTCTCTCTCGTGTGGACAAGGACTTCCGCGGGTGAGCGATAGGTCTAGGCTTGCCTGAGCTTAGCTGGTGCCAAATGAAACGGCGTCCATCCAGATCGGGTGCAGCGTGTGGCGTCCGCCAGACCTTTCGTATCGACGTATCCCTTCTTTTTTGTCGTCGTCCGTCCCCCGCGCGCATGCAAAGCTGCTGCGTGTCGACCCTGCAGTATGGGGTACCCTACGGCGCGAAGCGGTCGTACTTCGGAGCCTTTCTTGATTGTACCAGTATCGTCATATGGGAGCACCCCCCATATAGCCCTCTTTTTCGATTCCCTAGACTGAGAGCGGCAGGCCGTGCGATGGTATACGCAGCCAGCCTAGGTGAGGAGGGTGGCAGATGTACCCGTCCATCCAGCGGTAGCGGTTGGACGCCTAAGCAAACCAAACGCTGGGCCTTTTTTGTATTGGCAGTCCGGCTATTCGTAGTGATGGAACGTGGTAGGTAGATCGACCATCCTCTCCGAGAAGTGAAGTCTGAAGACGGGGACTCGGACCACGGTACAGCTCGCCCCGATGTAGCTTGCACGAGCAGTCATCATCCACGCAAGCAGATCTGTGAATGGGATCAACTGTGCCTCTCTAGGTAGGTAAATCACCTTTAGGCGTTAGCCTTCAACAACAGTCTGGACCAATCTTGTCTTTCCAGCTCACCTGTCACCGACCAATCTCCGGGAAGGGCTGGACCTTGGGCTGGGCTGGTCCCCCTCGACCATCAACCCACCCCCCCTTGTCCAAGACTACCTCTAACCGAAGGGCACTAACGCAGTGTCCGCGCGGTGATCGTCTTCGAGTGCCTCGGGTATTGTCCCAAAAAACACTCTCTTGGTAAACCTTGGTCAGCAGGAGCGCAGGTTGAGCACGTTGTCTGCCGCGGCGCCGCCGCTACCTCTGGCTGGGTACCGTCGTGCCGATCTCGAAGAATAACCCAAGCACCCGGACGGGAAGTTGATCCAACCATGACGGCCGATGATGTCGTTGCAGCCGGCACTGCGTCCTCTTGGGCAACCCCGGTCGTGAGTTTTCAATGGCAACTTGCAAGATCATCCGGAGAATTCCAGGACAATGCCACGGCCGTGGATACAAGAGACGATTCTCACTCCATTGGGCGCGTATGGTTGTTAACGACGGCGATGGGGGTCACAGGGCCTCCTTATCCAGATTAGAGCATGGGGGTGTCACCGCCTACACTACATCATCACCATCATTGTCATCATCATCACCACCCAGTATACGTACGCGTTCTCAAGTCTCACCCGACATATCAATGTTTGGAATAGCAACCCCGCGAACACTTGGCTCTTGCGGAGAAGTGCCATCCGGATCCCCTCTGCTGTCAATCATCGGTCAACTCTAAAGTCAAACAATGGCAGCTGCCTGTCTTGCAACTCATAGTGTGCCATGTGCGCTGCTTGGCGCATGCAAGATCGTCCCTGAAGCACGAGTGGTGTCACGGAAACGGGCAGCCGACCGATGTGTGTGTTTTGGTACGGGTTGTGCTTCAGCCTTCAAGGACCATCAATGCCGGTCGCGAATCCGATTCCTCGGCCCCTACCTGATTTTTCATTGCCAGTTGCAGATCATCCATCACACCGACCCGCTCGCTCACTCACCAGGGGTGAGAGGATGAGTTTGTGCAGAGACGAACGGGCCAAGATGGCATAGCAGTACTCCGTACTCTGTATGTAAGTATAAACTGATGGCTGGTAGTAAGACAGGGCTCAATCCTGGTTGCGTCATGTTTCTTGATACTTGCCCCCCCATCACACACATATATCCGTATTCGAACATAGGAGCACATAAAGACGCGCTACAGTAGCTCTCCAGAGTATTATGTAAAGTCTCACCAGTAATCACAAACACAAAAATTCCAGCCCTGCACCACATGGCCAACATGCTAATCGCTCATGGCAGACACGAGCTGTAAAGACACTACGCAACTGCCGACCGCCTGGGCGTCGCGCACTATTGTAGTAGGTTTCGTCGTAGTAACGCGCCGGCAGCCTCGTCTCCAGCAAAGCCACTCGGCACTTTTAACGACGAGGACGGTAGCGTCCAAAGAGCTCGGAATCGGAGCAACTTTTCGCGAACATAAACCCTAGGTGCAGGGCGCCGTCTCGATTACCACCCAAAGTCAAATTCGGGTCCTCCTCGTATGAAGGTGTCTCGAAACTTTGATCTCGAGATACAGGTGAGCGTTGCCTTCACTAACGTCGACCCTGGACTGGTAAATGTAATAAGTGTAATGGGATCGATGATGTCGCCCTCTTCAATCCCGCCGCCAGCGCGCGTCTGGGCCAATATATCCCATGCCTGGTACCGGTGCAACGGGCGTCACCAGATTCTCCTCCGACCTCTCTCCGCGGCAGGTTCCTTTCGAAGAGCGGCAGGGACGCTGATTGGGATGGCGGGACCCAGACGCGGACGAGGGCGTAGAGAGGATCTGTCGATCAGCACAGGGGTGACCATCCGCCCAAGCCCAACCCTTGGCCCTCATCCCATCAGCTTGCTTTTTGGGAACCGGTCCCAAAGTATGTTGTGATTGCTCCACTATCGCCATCCATCTTCACCCTCTCTTAATCGCTCAACAAGAGTCGGGAGTTCCAAACGAGAGGATTATGACGAAAACGGCGTGAAGGAGAGAATGCCGCTAGTTGAAGGGGAAATGAGGCTCAAACCTCAAACAAATTTAGCAAGACATGTTGAAGACCATGAGAAATGTGTCTTTAATTGCAAAAAGGGCTCTAGTTTATCCTTCTTTTCGTCGCCCGGTCTCGCCTCGTAAATCATTTCCTGTTGTTCAAAGTCGAGACTCTTCCCTTTCAACGCTCGATCAACACAGCTTGTCCCCTTTGGCTAAGCCCCTAGAACATCTGTGGAACGACAAACCACCCCTGGATCCCCTACTTGGCCACTCCTTCAACCACATTGAGATTTCCGAGAGTGGGGGAAGAATAAGATGGGAAGAAGAAGCACAGGCCAGAGCTTGCTCCCCCCGAGAAACGTCGGCCGCTGGGAACAGCTCCATTGGCAATTCGAGATCGGAGCCAGCTCCTACCATCGTAAGCCCTGAGGACCGAGGTTTCTGCCCATGGCGGCATTGAGAATGGCCCATCTCGAGAGATTTGGTAATTCAACTCTCACAGCTTAATAAGACGGCTAGTGCCTCCTGCGACTGACGCGGAACAAGCTCGATTAGATCTCGCTTCGGCCCCAAAAGAAGCGTCAGATTTGTGCGGATTGGAAAGACGACTAACCGAGAGTTTCGGCTAGAGCTGTGGCGGCCGGGCATCATCTACGGCGTCCCTTAGTCTGAGAGATGTAGAGAAATTGAACTGCCGTTCTCCCAAAGCCACATCACACAAACTTCCGACTACAGGAGCTGTAGCTTGGTTTTCCTGGTCTCTACTGCAGTCTGCAGTCTCTCGAGCGAAATTTAATTGATCCTAAAGCGAACCGATATGAACCTTCCCAGACAATACGGATAGACAGTAGGTAAACCTACCCTGCCGTGCCTCCTGCTTCATCTACATGCCCCCCTCCCTCCCTACCAGCACCGTGTTCTCTACTTGGACCTTCCCTCTACCCGGTCGGTCATCCCATTGGACGCCTCTCTCGAACCCTCCCGAAAGTTCCCCTACGCACACGGCCGGATCCAACGGGTGTGAAGAAGACATGGGGCTTGGGTACGGATAGAACAGAAAAGCAGAGGCCCACGGGACAATCCTGTGATCTCCAGCCTCCGCGACGATCAACTAGGATTCCCCCTGCCCTGCCAACACACTCTTTCTTGACTGGACGACCCGAGAAGAACCACCACGCGAAGAGATGCAACCTCTTCTGAAAGCGTCCTAGATGAACATTGAAGAACCGTGGTCGAATGGGCTGGCTGGTCTTCTTGGATACCCGGAAACCCGTTCTTTACCCATCACGCTAAGAGAAAAAAGTAGGGCCCCTTGTTTAGAAGGGATGGGTCAAGATCATTCGTCGACTGGGAGCACTTTTGCTGCCCATCTCGCGGGTCTATCAAACTCTCGCAGGCCTTTTGGGAGTTTGGAACTGGCACTGATGTTGTGTTCTGTTCTCTATCTCTCTCCCGTCGACTGACCGTCCAACCAAATTGCCAATCCTGGCCATCTGCATGTACCCATCTTTGTCTCTCTATTCTCTCCACCACGGGATTGGGTTACCAGATCCGTGGCCCTCGTCGACGAATCCTCCTTGGCTTTTCTCCTCCTTACCAGGTTTCCAGGCCAGTCGAGAACGCTGGTTAGCCTTCTTCCCGTGCTTCCGCCTTGCCCCTGGGGGCTTTGGGGACTCTCCTCTTTTGGGTTTGGGAAACAAAATGCCATCAGCCATACTTTGAGTAGCTCTGTGACACACAGACACACACCTCGATGAGGCACCCCCAGTCTCCCTACCAGAGCCTAGCCGCTCATCTCTCCAACGTCGCTTGGTGGACAAACATTCCAGTGGACGACATGTTGTCTCTTCCTTCAGACCAATGATGACCTCGCCCTTGCAGAATTATGGTTTTGAAACCGCCATCATTCGAATCTGCCTGCCATGTTCTTCTTCTACTGCTTTTTTGTCTTTTCCCATGTTCTCCAAACGGGCGCTGCGAGTTGAACGATTCAGAAGCCTGGAATTTTCTCTCTCTCTCTCACTCAAATTTCTATTAATAACGCCCAGCAAACCTGTCAATGCGATGAGATTGCCCAATCTGGACCATGTCCGGGATGCGATGTCCAATTATGTTTCTCGTTGTTTATTTTGCTTTTTTTTTTTTTTTTTTATCAGTTTGTCTCGCCGCCCTGCAACGCCAACGACAATGGCTCTCTTTTTCGACGTTTCCCCCGAGTGTCTCTTTTGGCTCTTTTATTCATTTCCATTTCATAACTGTTGTACGCGTTCAAATCTCCGCCACAGGCTCACACCATGTCGACTCTCTGTCATGCCGGCTGGTTCCCTCCATGCAACGGGGGCAGATCTCGACCCGACCCAGAACGAGCGGGGGGGTTGTTTCCTTCAATGCTGCTGCCGTTGAACGGGAACATGGGGAGTGGCAGGCGGCTGAAGGATGCAGCGAGATGCAACGAAAGCCACGTCGATGACCAGCACATGCTTCTCCCGTGGAATGCCGTTGCTGGGATTGATGGAAAAGCCAGCAAATGGCACGCACGCGCTTGTACCGTTCAAACTGCAACCAACCCTCACGTCGAACGGTGGTGCGCCCGTTATCAAAAGCTCGAGGCTTCATCGCCCATGTGCCTTTATGCCGTCCTCGGTGCTGCTACAGCCACCAAGTGAGTGAGTGAGCAGCAGCAGCAGCAGCAGCAGCAGCAGCCCGTCGACAGACAAGATGCAAGATGGCTGGCTGTCGGGTAGCCTGCAGTGCAACGCAAGACCACCGAACAGACCCCAGCAACTCTGGTCAGTCACCCTTTGGATGCGTTCTTCCCCATCCCGCTCAACGCGCAAGCCGGAAGGAGACAGAGGGAGCACGCTGCGAGCTTAGCTCGTATGTCACCATGGTCTCATGGATTGGTTCCAGCTATGATTTCCGTACCTCGGTCTCTGCAACTACTCCGTATTGTTGCTCCCGGTCAAAGTTTGCCGCATCGGCCGGGGACAAGAATACCGGTACCAAGGCGCGCGGCCTGGAGAGCATGGGTCACTTGGTTCGCATTACACAATACGTACGGTAAAGTACGGTAATGTTTGCCTGTCAAAAGAGAATGGTTGTTGCCAGTTGGTCCAGCTACATGTCCCGAGAGCAATGCCAAGATCTCCGCCGGCAAAGTCTGCAGGCCGTCCAGACTCGGGGAGGCGGACGGACTTCCATGTTGCTGCATTTGCCGTCCTCCGCGCTGTGCGATATCACCAAAGTGTACCTCTCCCTTCAGTTGCCAATGATCGACTCTTTACGAATACACCCAAATGAAAGAAAGTACGCGTCCGACAGACATGCAAATCCGTATAGCAGAGGCCCTGCCTCATCTCAACGAGTCGGCCGCAAGCGGGCCTTGCGGGGAACCGCAATACGACAATTCAGAGGAGTTGGAACGTTGATGACTCGCAAGCCACATGGCTTGAGAAAAGGATCTTCCCTGCCTTCATTCATTGAGGCTAGACGACCGTTTGGGAACTTCTCAGAAGGGATATCCCCCTCACCTCCAGCCCTCCTGTCAACAGGAATGCAGGCGGACTGGCGAAATGAGCCCTTTGCTGCTAAGCCAGTCCCCGGACCCCTGCATGTGGTCCCTATATCGGTCTTCTACTAAGAGTCAAAAGAATACACCGGCGTTCCGGTTTGCTTTTTTTGACAGCCGCCTGACACAAGACGACAAAAAAGAGCAATAACAACGTCAGGAATGGGCTTCTCGTCCGGTGAACGGGGCTTCTGGTGTATATCGATATTGCGAATCTACACCAGCGGTTCGCTGCTCATGAGCAACCTGTGTCGTTGCCTGTGTGACACCCCTCGGAGCGGTTGGGTCGACTCAAGGGTCAATGTCCGAGGGCTGAGACGGAAACATGCAGCTTGCAAGAAAGGGCAACTCACGAGGGTCCCAATCAATATCGAGAGGGTACCATATGCGAGGCAAGGCACACTCAAGGAGGCTGGAGCACCAGCACCACTGCACCAGTACCAAGCACAAGCATCAAGCAGAAGCACCAGCACGAGCCTGTCTGTCCCGAGTTGTCGGGCGAGTTCCGGATATTGCCCAATGGTCCTTGCTGACCACAAACCGGCTCCGAGTGGGAGAAGCATCTCTTCGAGACAAAAGCAGAAGAGCATGCATACTGGGATCCCCCCCTCTATCAACCTATCCCCAAATCGACAACTGCATCGTGGACTTGGGTCTTCTTCCCCTGCCCTCTTGGCCTTTTCCCATCCCCCTCAAAAAGCAAAAACAAAACGCACCCCCTGATGCCGCCTCTCATCGGTGTGCTTGACGTTACACGGCACTAGGGTCTCAAGTCCCACCGATCACCGTCCTGAATAATTACCTTGACGTTGTTCATCGCGGGCGAGGCTCCGTCTGTACCGAGCCTCTGGGGCCCTCCTTCCTGGCAACTGGGAACAAGGCATCTTGGACACCGGACAAAGATTGGGTAAAAATTGGAGTCGTATGTCAAATGGTGACGGGCGAGCAGAAAAAGATCCCAAGAGGAGAAAGCTTCCATTACGAACTCTCAACGTATCTGCCTCGGTGGACTCTATTCGCAGGGAACTGCGTTAGCTTCAGTGGATGCATATCCAGAAAACCCAGTCCACAGTCCACACATCCTATTCATCCATTCATCCATCCATCCATCCATCCATCCATCCCCCTACTCAACCAATACGCCAGGATTTCGAAGCAAAGGGGTGATCCCAGCAGAGACACGTTTTCCGTGACCGTTTGTGGGCTCTTTGAAGCGTTGCGTCCACGATACGTACTATGCAACCCACTGCAAATACGATCACCACTATTGACCGAGAAAAGGAAGAGGAGACGCAAAGGCAGGTTCATGACACAAACGGGAGGGCTCCGAGTCGAGCTCAACCTCGATTCGGCGTACTGCTGCTGCTCCCCTCTCCATATACCCTGGCAAGCAAAGAAAAAAGAGGCAGCGAGGCAGTGCTTGCATACGTATCGAAAATCGTGGGACTGGGGGGTAAGCTGTGAGGTTCCGCGATTCAAAGGATCATTTCCCAGGATCTTGCAAATCGCAGGCGTCTTCCCGATTCCCCGAAGGCATAATACCGAGGAAACTCAATATTCGACGAGGGGAGATGAGCATGTTCAGTGGGTGGGAACGGCGAGATACATCGCGGTGACAAAAACCCTCCGAGAGAACAGAATGGCGCTGCCGTGGCCCTGGTGTCCTGGTTGAACACAACCTGACCGAGCGGATCCAGCAGTCTGGAGTCTGCCGTCCACCGCGCATGCTGTCATACAGAGTCCACTTGAAGGGGGGTGAGGGGGTGAACTTGTGAAGTCCGGGTATTTCCTGGAAGTTACTCTTCTTCTTCCAAGAACGAAACAAGTGACGATCAGCATCCTTCGAGCCCTTCATCCAACCTTCATTCCAGCAGATAGATGAACCACCTCGTCGTAACCTTCGTAAGCCCAGTACCAACCATGCGTACTGACATCAACTCTGTCCCGCTCAACACTCTCTACAAGATCTCGGCCGGTCTAGCGTCCAAACTGCCCACTCCCCCCTTCGTATATTGAGAAGAACGCGTCCTCGTTGGCCTACCTCGCGAGCTCATGCCTCGAGATCTCCCGTGGGCTCCCCTCTGTCGGCACCCACTAAGAATCCAGGCATCGTGGCATCCCAACGGTCGAAGGCTCGCCTCCTACAGGTCATTAACGTTCATTCCCGCTTGGCACAGGTAATATGGCGCGATTCCCACAAAGCCAAAGGAGCCGGAGAGCGTCAACTCCGCAGGAGGCCCCCTTTTCACCTAGGCATTTTGGCATTTTGGCATTTTGGCCCCCCATCTCTGTGAAGATCCTTGACACCACCTCCTTCGTGCCTACGGGGAAAGGGAATGGGGCAAAATGGAAGTATCCGTATGGAAGACGCCGCATATGCGCTCCGTGGCTGCCGTAACAGAGATCACTTGGGTGATCACCAACGCATGGCCATGGGTGTGTCGGAAAAGTAACCAGCACGTCAACCACCATTGTTCCGGTCCCCGCCTCTTTTCACTCTCCTCCTGCAGACATCTCATTACGCATCCACGTTGTTCTCCTATATCGCTGCTGCTGCTGCTGCTGCTCCTCCTCCTCCTTGGCCACGCCTTAAACGATGATGAACTCCGCTAGAATGCTTCAGGACAAGACTCTAGTCGTTAGTCCAGGAGGCAAAATCACTCAGGACGAGACAGCCGTTGGCGATGATTAAGCACGGAGGAGGGGCGTGTGTAGGACGTAGGTAAAGATGGATACTCCGCAAAGGCTCGTGATATGCAGCGGTGAAGTAGAGAATCCACCACACGCAGACACGCGAGAGAGCCGGACGGAGTTATCCTTCCAACCTTCCATCCTCCTATCAGTCACTTTCTGTCATTCTGCAGGCCTGTAGGGCCAAGTAGAGAGCAGAAAAAAAATTTGTGACAGCCCACAAGTGCGATCGTGCTCGCAAATCTTCGTCGTAAAGAGTGGCCCCTCGACCTCGTCTTGGTTCGGCCCATTGGCCTTTTCCAGTCACAAGTCTCACTGCCGGCTGCGGTATTCGCAGGATATAGCCTCATCCACTTTTACTTGCCTGCCTGTTTTGCCAACATGCCCTGCCTCCAACTGGCTCGGTCTTTTCAGAGGAAGTGGAAGGGGGGTCTCGTTCAAGTTGAGGGTGGGGGCCAAGAATTCGAAGGCCTCTATTTCGTATGCTATCCATACCTCTCTTCCTGTCTTTCATCCTTGATACTATCGCTTCTGGGTTGGTTGTTCCTCTTCGAGTCTCTACCACTCCTCGTAGTTTGGCAACCGAGGCAGTCGTGGAAGAAAGCCTAGATTGTCAAAAGATCCCGTTTCAACGCCCTTACATGCCCTCCATTACCGCGGCCACAGGCGCCACAATCAATGACTCCATGCTTCGAACCTGGAGTCTAGAAGCCTTAGTGTCATGGCAACGTTTACAGGGCTGGCGACGTAAGGAGTGATTGGCGGGAGATGTAAGGCGCGTGTGTATCTGTGTGGTGGCATTTCCATACGTTCCAATAGTCAGCAGCCACACGGCAACAAGCCGAAGCGGCGCGGCAGCAGCAAGTTAGCAACCCCCCAGAGGAGAATCCGGGCCAACGAGACATTCACATCCCGTCAACGGCGGATAGCGGACGGAGGAGCGGGCTGGACGGTTGACGTTGTCAGTGGTGAATTCCAGCACCAACGTCTTTGCGCCCGCTGCTTCATTGCTTTCCCAATCCCGCGTGTTGTCTTCCAACGTCTCCCCATTCCTCCGAGGGGGGGGAGGATGAGGAGGAGGGCAAACGTAATGACCATGACCGGAAACCGTAACGCGGCCCGAGATTAGACTGCTCCCCGTGCTGAGGCAAAGCAAAAGAGGTGTGGTGATTCCCTCACCATGCACGACCGCGGTTGGTGGCGATCCTCTGGTCGTCCGTCAAGCCCAGCCCGTCCCGTCCCATGAATGGTCACCGTTCGAAGTTCGTTTCCCCCCTTCCCGCGCCGCTGTGCCGCAGACGCGCCTTTTGGCCTGGACATTTGAAAGATCGACCCGGAAAGGGGTCATACGGCGCTCCGAGCTTTCGTCGTGGGAAGCGGCTACGCGGCTGCGGGTTCCCCTTGACTTGTCCCCTGCGCAGTGCATCACGGGCCTGCTGCTTGTCAAGCTTGGGTCTGATGTCGTTTGATTCCGTGCTCGCTCTCCCTTTGGCTGCTGCGCGCGTGTATCCATGTCCTTAGACGTGGGAATGTATGCATATGGACGTCTGGTCTGGGGTTCAGTTCGAGCCAGCAGCTAAATATTGGCGGTCGATCATCCAGTCCAGTCCAGCAGCAGCCAGCTCTTAGACAGCCGGATGATACCCTCGTGCGTCCTCCACCCACCCCTTGGGGATAGAGAGCAGCAAAAAGGGAAAAGCAACAAGGGGCGAGAGATATTGCTCTCCCGAATTGCCCTACAGCGGACGTGCTCGTACATGCAATCTTTTCGAAAGTATTGTTTGCTTCCCGCGGTGCTCCGTGCCCTGTAAATGCATGCTGCATGCGAGCTGCATCATGCAGCTTGCAAGACCCAAGAAACGAACGTTTTGGCGATCCCGCAACGCGGAGGTCACTTCTGTTCTCGGTAGGGCCATCCGGGGAAAAAGAAACGTCTGCTTCAGCCGGAGAGACACTGGAATGTCTCGACTAGAGCGGAGAACGTCCGGGGGTTTGTTAGTTCGTAGTAGGCTGCTGGCCATTGTCTCTCTTGCTCACTTTCCCCCTGTTTCTATGCCTTCGGGCTCTGCTTTCTGCCAACAACTTGCGACTCTGCGAGACAGAGCCAGCGATCATGGGGTTGTGGCGGGATAGCCAAGGACGATATACATGGGTTTCCGCAGGATGTCTCTCTACCACGAAGCGAAGAAGGGGCCAAACCGCTCCCTCGTGGGCGCGGATGTTCTAGCTGCCGTTGTGGCTGACCCTTCGAAGCTCACCAGTCTCGACTAGAAGCCGTCGCTGCTTCGCGTGGCTTGAGACAACCGCGTTTAGAAGAGCAAAATCCCATCTTCGCCTGAAGCCTACGTTCAACGTAGATCGCTTCAAGCCTAGCTCTCTCTTCTTTCGATGACAGGGTCGGTCCTGGGTCCCTCAGAAGAACGCCAGTACGGAAATCGTTTGGCCGCAACGGGGGGAAGCCACGGAATGTCGACGTTCCCCTTGCTCATCAGCTCATAAGACAGTACTCGTTAGTTCTTGACGGGCTAAGACAACACGAGGTATACCAGGCCCGTTTCTCTGTCCCCCGGAAACCTAATCTCCAAAGTCCGAGAGACGAGATGCGATGCCGTAGCACTAATCTAGATCTCGTCCCATCGTGATCACGACGATGTGATAAATCTGGCCGTTGCCCCTCCGAAAGCGGTAGCCTCGTTCCTTGATAGCAAAGCAAAGCAAGCGCAATGTAAACCCCCTTGTCTAACCCTGAACTTTTGGGGTATCATTCATCGGAGGACTATTCCAAGTTGGACAACCACCTCGTTAGCTCTGCCCTTCCAAAGTGTCTCAAAATCGGCGACAACACGGCAAGAATATAGTGAAAGAGAAAGAACAAACCTACCGCCTGCTGAGCCTCCCGAAAGTCCCGCCCGCGCCTCCTTCGTTCTGCGGCTTGCGCTGGACGAAGCGTAGGAGTGCTTGTTTCTTCTTTTCGGGGCTTTTCAAGGTCCAAGAAACCAAGCTGCGTCTCTCTCCCGCAGACGGGATCTCTCTGTGCCCGGTGCTTTCGTGATTCTCGGTTCCCCGGTATGCAAGATGGGCTTGCTGGGGGGGGTCTCAGGCAGGTCGCCGATGTTGATGTGGGCGTAAGGGGGTGCGTAAGAGGTGTGGGTGGCAGTAAGCGAAGATGGAAAAAGCAAATATATCAAGAAAACACCAAGCCTAAACCGCACTGGCCCCAACATCATGAGCTGATGAACGAACCATTCACGGGTAGAATCCGGGTTCAGCTTGTGTCCCGATACCATGTCACCGTGAACAGCACCCCCGGCGCGCGGGTGGGTGCAGAGAAAGATAAACATACAGCGAGAAAGGCAGAGACAGAGAGAGGGCATTCGGAAAAGCAAAATCACATTTCTACATCCGGAATACTCCCCCAAACCACCCGCAGAGCAGCACTAAGAGCGATGACGGCGATGATACCGGCCACCAGCAGGTAGGGAGTGCCCTTACGTCTTTCGTCCCGCCTGTCGTCGAAAAGAATAAGTTGGTGAAGCTAATGCAGCAAATGCCCGCAATCACGTACGTCGCCCATCATGTCTGTCTCAGCGCCATGATGACCGCGCATCGATGATCAGCAAACGTACTCAAGCGCGGCCCCCCTCCCCCGTTTCCCTCCTCCGTGCCTCCCACCCCCGTGGCCGCCGTGCCGCTTCCCCCCCTCACATATCACATAACCCCTACTGATCCTCCTCACAGCGCATCGCCTAGCGTGGGAAAGACACTCTGGCCAGCAAGAAGAACGCACGCTTATGCGGTTGCGGACCGGTGTCCCTCTGAGACATGCAGGCCGGTAAAGACCCGGCACTCGGGCAACTCCCCCCCCCCCCCCCCCCTCCCCTCCCCTCCCTACCCTACCCTTCCATCCCTCTATCACATCACGGACGTCTCATTGAAACAAAAACTTCCTTTGTCATCGGGAGTGATGAGATCATCATGAACAACGGGTGGTAGGACGGGTTCGTCGTCTCTACGGTGAGTTGTAATAAACTCTGCGCTATTATCCAGGGGAGGGGGGTCTCAGTCTCTCAGAGACGACATGCTTACCAAAGGCTTACAACGAAAATCGAAAAGCAAACATTATCCAATATTTCTTGCTATTTCGCCGTTTGTTGTCTCGGGCTCTCGGTCTCGCTTAGAAAAATCTACGAGGGTGGCCCATCATCGATTACGAGTCAAAGGAGACAACATGGCGTAAGGTAGGATCTCGAAGCGATCTGGAATGTGAATTGTCTTGAGCGAAATATGACATGGCTGGCCGTTCTGGCCACGCTGCTTTGGTCAACCCCAGATGTCTTGAACTTCTTCCTGTGTGAAACGAGACTAGAGCAGAACAATGTGCTTGGATGCCACGGGGACCACATACGGTTACAGTAAGTTATTCGTCAACGTGCCGCTCACGTTGGCAACTATTGACGCGCGAGCAACATTAATATGCATGCCGTGTCCGATACAACGAGCTCGGTCATCCTAGAGCTCACAACGTCATTGTACAAAGAGATCAAGACATACTTGAGAAGATGAATATTTGTCTCGTCCGTGATAAAACTACACCTGCGATGCAAACCCCTTATGCAACATGTACAAGTAGCCAACAAAACAATCTACCAAACGCCGTAGCAACGTCTGCATTGAAAATGAAACCCCCAGCCGAGTCCGGCAACACCGTACCGTTCCAATCCAACACCTCTCCAAAATCCATCTTCATAAGTGTGAAAGTCAAGAGTCCCGTCTGGTCATCACCAGGACTCAGGATTGCTGTGTATCAACACCCACAATTACCTCCATCTGAGGATATCCTCCAACTTTTTTCGGTGCCGCCAGAACAAAAGAGAGTGATAAATGAGCAACGACAATAACAACCAATGAATGACCCGTGTGCATGCTATGGTATCTTCGCCACCCAACGCTCTTGTATGCCAACTGAAAAGAAATGATCTTAGACTCTGGCCATGGGCTTACGTCTGATCAGGAACGGACTGGGCATCTCGTCCCGCTCAGGATCCCACACCGCGGCAGGCTCGCCGCCACTAGCCCGACGGTCCGCGATGCGATCCTTGAATGCCCTCTTAGGGCTCATGTTCTCGCCACCAGACATGACAGCAGAGAGGGGACGACCTCCTGCTCGGGCCTGCTGAAGTTCGACCAGCGTTCTGCCCTTGATGTTGTTCTTCGCCGCAACCTTACCAAGGGGCTCTTGATCCTTCTTGGTGGAGTTCTTGCGGGAAAGACCGCCGGGAGACTCGCTGCCGTTTGCAGCCGACAAGTTCGCCGCCGAAGGGATCTTACTCAATCGGCGGTTAGGTGACTGACAGCGCTCACGGAGTCCGCGGCTGAGGTCGGGGTTCGATGCCATGTTGGGCAACGAGGGCAACGTCTTGTTCTGGTTCAAGCCAGTTGCCGATCCTTGAGGCTTGACTCGAGTAATGGGAGCGGTCTTTTGAGACATCAAGACCGGACGGTTCTTGGAAGTGAACGGGTTGTGCTTCGACTTGATGTTGCGAGTTGGGGAGGGAACAATGTCCTCGTCGTCGGATTCGATGTTGATAATGTCACGAGGCACGTCCCACATAGGGTCGCCAGCAGACGCAGCATTGCCTGAGAAAAGGTTCCCGTTGTTAAGCTTGGGCACCTGAGTTCCGGCATGGCGTCTAGGTGACAATGAAAGCGAGGCGATGGCGATGGGTGAGGGGGATGCCATCTCAATATCCATAGGAGTGCCTTGGCCACCGACGAACATGGTTTGGGCTCTGCTGTAGGGGGTGCGAGTAGCCTTCTTGCTCGTGAAAGGACTGTCTGAGGAGATATCGGTGAGATCGGTGCAAGATGAGAGCTCGTCGTCTCCGCTACCGTTACCAACGGAAGACCTCGGGTAATCTGACTTCGTTTGCGATGTTGCGAGATCGAGCGCATGCGTGGGCTCAGCAACCAGGCTAATCGTCTTCTTCTGCAGTTCAGCGTCGACGCGAGACTGGACCTCGCTCTCGAATCGCTTCCGGAGGGCCTCGATTTCCGAGTTGATTTGTCGATCAATCTCGAGACGCGCCTTGACCTCCCACTCTCTTCGCAGCGAGCTGTCAACCTCTTGTCTGACCGAAGCCTTGCCGGCCTCGAAATCGGCCATTCTCTCGTTCAACTCCTTCTCGCGACGGGCCAGTGAATCTTCCTTCTTCTGAACGACCTTGTTGAGCTCAACAACCTCTCTCTCCTTTCTCATCAATCGAACAACAGGGAGGTTGAGCAGCTGCGCGGTGTCCGGGCGGTGGTCTGGGTTGACTCTCAGGCAGTCCTTGATGGTGCCCATGAGTTCACTGGAATAGCAGCTGGGAAGAGGCGAGACCTTGCCCTCCTTGATCTTCTGAACAAGCTGGAAATGCGACTTGGCGTTGAAGGGGGGTTCGCGCGTGCAGAGCTCGTAGATGATGCAGCCCAGGGACCAGATGTCCGACTTGAGGGTGTACTTCTCGGCAGCACAGATTTCGGGCGACATGTAGAATGGTGTGCCGACGTAGGTGGAGGCGAAGTCGTGGGACTGAATCATCTTGGACAGTCCAAAGTCACCAAGCTTGACGGAATTGTCCTCTCCAAGGAACACTGTTTTCAATTAGCACATGTCACGTCGATTGATGGGGCGATGAAACGTACCATTCTCCGGCTTGAGGTCGCGATGCAGAATGGTCATGGTGCCCGGTGGCGTCTTGGGCTTCGATGCTGTGCTGAATAGACCCAGCACATTGCTGCCAACCTCGGGAGGATCGATGCCATAATGGCATCTGTAGAGCGCAGTAACCAGCTGCGAGAAAATGCTCCACACGAATGACTCTTGCGCGCGTTGGCCCTTGACGGCCAAATCTCTGATGACCCGGCCGAGATCGCCATTGCCACAGTATTCCATGTAGAGGTGGAGGTCTTGGGTCGACTTCAGATGTTCGCGATGGTAGTAGCCGACGATATTTTGATGACGGAGAGTTGAGAGGATCTGGAATTCGGCGTGGAGTTGCTCGCGCTCCTTTTGCGACATCTTGAGGTAGCTGATTTCCTTCCGGCACATGACGAGGCTATCGGCCTTTCTTCGAACCTTTCGGATGATTCCAAAGGAACCATGGCCTGTTAGATTGTTTGGTCAGTCAAGAGATTCTTGATCGGTCGCAACGTGAAAAGGTCGTGAATGGGGGTGCCTACCGATTTTCTCCAGCACCTCATACTTATCCGCCTCCAAAGACATCTTGGATACAACACGCAATGAATTTGATTAAAGTGAATCTTTGTATGTATCCATAGAAGTTGAGAGGCAAAGGAAGGCGACGGTCGCGAACCTGCTATGTTAGTATCCGAGCTGTTGGTGGTGGTTGACCGGGAAAGGTGCACTGCAAGTCAAAGCTGTGAACTTGGTTGCATGGGACTAACAAGATCGAGCTCGGGTAAACAACTGGGGGCCGATGCCATGGCAACGACGCTACCGACGGAGCTGAGATAATCCAGCTCCAGCATCCATAGTGGGTCTTTTCCTTATCGATAAGACTGGAGGGGTTCCATGGTGGGGCACCGATGATGAACAAGAAGCCGTCACGTAAGGAAGGTCCCAAGTGGCCCGTGCAGAGGCGACCTCATGGACTTATCGGACTTCACTCTCACTGAGATCTTCATTGTCCCAGATGTGGAGGCGAACTTGAACTTCTTACTTGTTTGATGCATTCGCTTCATATCAACGTTTGTTTAGACTTTCAGGCTATAGAGACTCTGGACATTTGATTAAAGCCGTCATCATGGTCATCCGAAAAGATGAATTAGAAGTACAGCTCAAGGAAGAGCATGAGTTGATCGCAAATGGCGTGCTAAGAGAGGACAACCCTTTGGATCAAACGACCGAGTTTGAGGCTTTCCTGCTGGCGTGCAGAAGAGGCGACCTGAAGACATGTCAGGAGCTTATTTCGGCTGGCATAAATATCAACGGCAAAGACCGTTTTGATTACACACCGTTGATCGTTGTGAGTGCGCGGTCACCGTACCTCGGACTGAGGCTTCACTGACGATCGTTTTCAAGGCTAGTCTATGTGGGCACCTGGAACTCGTACAACTACTTTTGGAGTCTGGTGGGTTGTGTGTGTTCATGTGCCGATAGAACCCCGCGACTGACCGATGTGAAAGGTGCATTGGCCGAAAGGAACACGTTTCAGGGCGAACGATGCATTTACAACGCCCTCAACGATAGGATACGAAATCTCTTATTGGAGTATGATTATTCAAAATCTACAGACCCGCTCCAGCCTTGGGCTGGACACATCACCAGTCTACTCTCCAAGGCCGTTCCAAAAACAACCGACATTAGCCTCATTGCAGCAGCACAGTCCTTTGACATGCACAAGTTTCTTCTGGCAGCACGGACGCCGTACTTCAGGAAGAAGTTGGATGGCGCACCCGACACCGCAACATGGAAGCTCCCAACCACGTACCCGCTCGAGTCTTTCCAAGTTGCCCTACGCTATCTGTATCTAGGAGAAGTACCCAAGGATGTGGTCAACGCTCGCAGTACCGTGACGGAGGAAGAGGTTCTCACTGGTGTTGATAAGCTCAGCAAGCAGCTCGAGATCGAACAACTATGGGAGGCTATCCTTGTGGGAAATGACCGAAGACTGGCGCGCCAGAGATACGAGGACGAGGTAAGGCGTGCGCAGGTCCAGGTCGATCGGTTCTACCGGGAGAAAGTCCTGGGCCACAAGATGATCGTGGAGACGAAGAGGGTCGGCGAGGTGAAATGGCGTCACGACAACTCAATCTTTGCTGATTGTCTTCTCTGTGCGCACGAGCCGGAAAGCGACGAAATCGAGACTGATGCGGAGGACTCTGAGAGCGTCGTACATGCTGTAGGCATCCCGCTGGGCCTTGCGACCAACGGCGATAAACCCAAGAAACGGCCTCGAAAGTCGGTGGTCTACCCCGTTCACAAGGCGATGCTCATCCGCAGCCCGTACTTCGAGACCATGTTCTCCAGCGAGTTCAGGGAGGCACAAGACTCAGAAAACCTACACGTCGTCACGGTGGACTGCATGCCCGAGGTTCTCGAGATCGTGCTCACGTTCCTGTACACCGAAAAGGTGGACTGCCCCCTCGAGCTGGCCTTGGACTTGCTATACACGGCCGACATCCTGTTCCTCGACAAGCTTAAGACGAAAGCAGCGCAGGCTATCAGTACCCTGGGAAGCGGTACGAGCAACATCTGGGCTGATCGCACCCACAGGCCCGACGTAGAGGACCGTCCTGACGAAGAGATGGAGCCCATCAACATCTACGACGTGATTCACGCGGCATGGGATCTGCGCGTCCAGCGCCTGGAAGAATTTGCTGCGCGGTACCTGGCCAACCGGTTAGAGGACTACATCGACGAGGCCGAGTTTGCGGAGCTGATCAAGGAGAGTGCGGAGAGGCTTAAGAACCGTGAAGAGACGGATACCATTGAGTTGCTGGATGATATCCGATACTATCTGGGCGAGCGCTTCCGGCTGCGTTTCGAGGACGCCAACCTCGAGGAGATGATGGACGAAGAGGGGGAAATCAACGCCGAAATGGCCGAAGCAGTTGCTGCGCAGAGCGAACAGCTGAATGAGGAGATGCGCGAGGCCAGTGCTATCTCCCAGGAAACCGCGTCCGATCCTCCTGATGCCACAGCCGTTGAGAACGGCGAAGACGGAGAGGGTGTTAAGACCCTGGGCGGTGAGGTGGCCGAGGACGAGTTCGCTTCAGATGCGATCAATTATCAGATCCTGCTTGGAAAGATCGATACGATGCTGGATCGTCTGAAGCTAAATGCATAGATTCCTCGGTGCAGTAGGATACCAAAAAGTAGGCAGTTTGAAACGCCCACAACCCCATCATCAACATCAAATGCGTCGAAGTAACCAAATCCGTTGAATTTACTCTGTGAGGCTTTGAAGAACCGCTTTCAACTTGAGTAGCTTTCCCGGTCCATGGCTCGGTCAAGCACTGTTGGCAAGTCGTAGTCATTCGATGCTCACGAGGTGGAGTTTAACATGCAGTCCATCGGTCAGGGAACGTTGCTGAGACATACATTGGGCAAGCACGGCCGATCGGGCCAGCGGAACGAGCGAGAAAGAAGCATGATACCAATAAACTTCGTTGATGAATCTAGCTTAGAGATCGTGAGAAACGCCTAGTTAAAGTGTCTTGCAAAGGATACCCATCTCCATTCCCCAGTCTTCGCACGTGTACAGACATCGAGCAGAGTTTGTGCCGCCCACTCGAAATCATTCAATGTCAAGTACACCTGACCACTAATCCGGCACCAAAAGCTACCAGCATAGAACTTGATGGGAATGTACGTCTCATACTCGGCTGGCGTCAGTTCTTGCATCCACTTCGCTACCCCTCGTCCCGCTGACGCGTCCGCGTCAAGTTCCGCCAGAGTCAAGGGAAGGCGAACATTAACGAAGCAGCAGCTCCGAAAGGAGGCGGACGAAGCGCCGAGGACTTCTGTGCCGAGTATCTCTGCCGTCCTGTCACCGCCTAGACGCGCAATGTATTCGCAGTATTCCCTAATCTTCGCCTCGCCGCCGCAGACTCTGGATCGGAATCCAAGCGCCACGGGGATGCAATAGTACGGTGTGTTGTCTGTTGTAGATATCTTGTCAAACAGTTTAGAAAAGTAGTCTCCCGACTTCAAATTATCTCGCTCCTTTGATCTCGTAGCCCCAGGATGTGGGCACCGTTGAAGTAATCTTCTCTTGGTTCCGGTATGGAACATAGAGGGCGGCGCACCCCCTCGGCACCATCAACCATCTGAAGTCGACATTAACGGCCCGAAGTAATTTGAGCTATTTGAGGGGATTGACTCACTTGTAACAATTGCTGATGAAAAAGTCAGGTTTGACAACGCCACCAAGGTGACTCAGATCAATGTGGCCAACGCCATGAGCTCCGTCGATGAGACTCAAGATCTTAAGCTCTTTGCAGGTCGCCACTAGTCTCTCAAACGGAAACATGACTCCTGGAAACGTGAGGACTGTGTCGAAAATGGCGAGTTTTGGCGTCTGTCTTTGACACTTGACCGCTTCCACTGCGCATCGGAATCGCCTCAAGATTTCGTCGTCGTCGATTGGATAAGTAATGCCAATTGCGTGTGATGAGACTGAACATTCTTCTGACAGCGACTGAATAGTCTTGAGGCACGAACCATATGTGGTGCTGAAGTGAAGAACTGTATCGCCGGGCTTAAAGTTCAAGTTTCGGAGCACGGTATTGACGCCCGTGGTGGCGTTCTGTACAAAAACAACTTCGCCGGGCTCTGCTCCTAGGAGTGGTGCCAAGGCTGCTTTGCTTTCTCTGAGAAGCTTGAGATAAGGTGTATCGTGTAAACGTATCTGGCCTTGCTTCGATTGCGTCCTGTAGTCGCCTTTAGTGATTCCGGACCTCTTTAGGAAAAGCCCCGAATGAGCCGTGATTGAGAGGATGGTAACCCTCGGCAAAAGAGAAACATTGCCCCCGGATCTCAGTTCCAAAGGCAACTGCTGATGCTGGTGACTCTGAGCCGTTATGAGAACTCATTTTAGGACAATGTCAATTTGAATTAAATAGCAATTGCAGGTTTGTTTTAATGATTATGGGTACGTTCTACTCAAGATGTGAGGGGTTTAAATTAAAGTACGCCTCTGCTCGTGTTGGTTGGAACTGCGGACAAAGACGCTGTTGAAGAGACCCATGCAAGCATCACGTGTTTATCTGCACGTTATAGCTGATAACGATGAATGAATGTTTGCCTGTTGGTTCAGTCTTGAGTCCTTCGATGCTGTCAGGTCCGGGGGAGACATGTCAACTGCTGCTGCTATCAGTCTTGGGGACATGAAGCAGTTTTCTTTGAACCACCAAGTCTCATTCGTGCCTCCTACGCTGACGATCTTGATAACTCTGATAAACCAGTGGGCATGTTTGCCCGCTAACCACAGCTCATCAAGAAGCATCTCTCCATCTCGCATCCCATTTCCAGTTCCTTTGAAGCCAGGGTGGCAAATCTAGTGACTTTTATATAGCAAGCAACTGATAGTAAACACAAACTCCACTCTTCAACACCCTCCTCACGCAACAACCTCATCAAAGCTCTTCCCCACCAACTTGACAAACACATCCTTATACTTCTCCGCCGTAGCCTTGCACACATCCTCGGGCAACGCAACGCCCTCCTTCCCCTTAAGCCCCTGCTCAATCAACCAGTTGCGGATAAACTGCTTATCAAAGCTCTCCTGGTCGCGGCCGACGGCGTACTTGTCAGCGGGCCAGTACCGACTGCTGTCGGGCGTGAGCACCTCGTCCACGAGCACGACCTCGTCCGTGTCCGGGTCGACGCCGAACTCGAACTTTGTGTCGGCGAGGATGATGCCCCGCTCGGCGGCGTAGTCGCGCGCCGCGGCGTAGAGCTCGAGGGCGAGCTCCTGCACGCGGTTGGCGTACTTTGCGCCGACGAGCTTGACGGCCTCGTCTGGGTGGATGTTTTCGTCGTGCTCGCCTTGTTCTGCCTTTGTGGAGGGGGTGTAGAGGGGCGTGGCGAAGGCTTGGGACTGTTGCATGCCTGCGGGGACGGGGATGCCGTGGACGGTGCCCTTTGATTTGTACTCGTTCCAGGCGGAGCCGGTGAGGTAGCCACGGACTGAGGGATGTGGTCAACAACATTACACCGCGAGAATGTTCAGTATTAGAGGGATGAGACTGGAACATACCGATGGCCTCGAGGGGGATGACCTTGAGGCGGCGGACCAGCATGGCGCGGTTCTTGATGAGGGCGGCGTCGGCGGCGGGCAGGCCGGCCGGGGGGTCGAGGGTGATGAAGTGGGTCTTGAGGCCGGGAACTCGGTCGGTGAGGACCTTGAACCAGTGGGCCTATGTGCCGTTGGGCAGTCGTATTAGCAAATATGACTTCTCACATCATCTGATATTTGAGAATATAAAGAGAGGAGTGGTGGTGAGGAGTGAGAATGCATGAGTGAGTGAGTGAGTGAGTGGAATGTATGTGAGAATGAGCCTTACAGAGGCGTGGGTGAGAATGGCACCCTTGTCAGGGATACCGTTCTCCATAACGACATCAAAAGCCGAAACGCGGTCGGAGGCGACAAAGAGAAGCGTCTTATCGTCGACCTCGAAGACATCGCGGACCTTGCCCTGGCCGATCTTCTTGAGGCCGGTGAGGTCGACGGATGTGACGCTAGCGGTCGCCATTGTGAAAGCCGTTTATGAGTTGACTGAGGTGGGGTGGAGGGGTTGAAATTTGGAGAGGTTCGTTCAATGGAGGGGCAGTCGAGAGTAAGTAGCTGTTCCTGTACATCAAGGGACGGAGCTCCAAGTGTAGAGATGTGAGCGATTATCGCCTTATAGATAGTAGTCTGGCGCACCTTGGTGAATTGAAGACGAGGATGAGTCAGGTTTTGAAGCCGAGTTCGGGATGAGATGGGAACGTTCAAAGGTGAAAAGTCGCGGCGCACCGTCCGCTCGGCACGGGTGACGAAAAACCGGCGTGAAAAAAATTTCCCCTTCGGGTGCACCCGCTCCACCGATCCCCCTCCTCCATTGATGGGCTCGAACCTTTAACCAGTGACATCGGCGGGTTGAGACGGCAGTCTGAATCATATCTCACTGACTACCTTATATGAACTTATTCATTATTTCAAGTGAAAGTCATGTCTCAAAAATAAGCTGCAGACTGAGGAGATATACAGTGAATGCCACGCAGGCCACGCTCTGAAGGCATCCCAAACTCGTTGAATACGTCAAATTACATTATCATTTAAAAGTGTGAGTAAGTATGTGTACATGAGAATTAACCCGCCATCAGGGCCGCGCCCACGACAGCAAACACAGACATGAGCATCATGACAAAAAATCCATCCGTTTCCGAGGCCACCTGCCCAGGATGTGACGCAGCATTCGGTGACTCGCTCGAAGACGGCGTCGCAGCGCCTGCCGAGACAACCGACGTATCCATCCCAGCAGCCGCCGTCCCCGTCATCGTCCCGGTCCCGGCCCTCGTCGGCGTCGGTGCCGGCTTACTAGCCTGGCTCGCCACGCCCGTGGCCGTCGGCAAAACAGTCTCGCCCGCCCGGAGCTCAATGACATTAGTCCGGGTCGCGTTAAGATTCGACTGCGCGATGCCCACCTGGCGGTTCGCCTCGTCGTAGACGACGTACGCGCTCCGCAGGAACGTGTCGCCCAGCAGCGCGAAATCTGTGCTGTTGACGTCGAACGTGGCGCTGTTTTGTATACCAAACATGCAGGGCTTGTCGAAGGGGGTGAGGCCCTTGAGCTGGTCCATGATGGGGTCCAGGTTGTCCAGGACCATCTCCTCCATCGGGATACGAATCTTGACGCCGGCGAAAGCAAAGTCGAAGAAAATCCCCTCGCCTTGGGCGCCTCGCCACTTGCAGTCGATGAAGCCGTACCCGGCGTCGACGACGTCGTATTTGACCCAGATTGACTTGGCCATTTGCTCTGGGAGGAGACACACCGTGGACCCGGAGTCGAGGACGGTCGCGGCGTTGAAGTTATCCTCGGCCATGTTGACCGTTTTGCCGTCTGGTGTTTCGATTTCGACACCGGTCATGGATACGCTATAGCTTGTCATGTTTCCGGAGTGGTGGTCGTTGACGAGCGGGACCGTGGTGAGTGAGCCGATGTATTTCTCCGTGTCAATGCCGCCGAACAGCAAGGTTCCCTCAGATGATGAAAGATCATTCTACTCAACACGATTAGCGGACATTCTGCAGAAGTTACGTTTGCAGAATTGCTCCCTTACCAGCCATATACTGAAGGCTTTCCTGCCTATAACGCCCTGCGTGACCATGTTGTCGAGAATGGTAGGATATTTGCGCTTCGTCGCCACAGTCTGCGAGAACCCCAACCCAATCAACCCCGTACCCTTGACCGTCTGATACGCCAAGCCAAGCTGCTGATCATTGACCGTCTTCCCATTGATGCTGACGACATCCTGGATGTAATCTCCCTTGATGTTCTTGCCGTCAAGGTACGTGATATCAAAACCATTGCGGCCGACGACCTTGTACGTCGAGCTGGCGGTCGAGTTGTACGTCTCAGTGCACCCAGTCTCATATTGGCGCTGCAGCTTCGTGCTCGTGCAGAGGTCGGCCTGCTTGTCGACGATCCAAGTGTCGCTGCTGCCCGTGTCGACGTGCAGCAGCGCCTTCTGCCCCGGTGTGCCGATTTCGACTTCCGAGTAGTACCCGCCGCCTGTGATGTTGTTGAGCGCCGCGAGGGTGAGGGTGTCGCGGCGGGTGATTTGAACCAGGTCTACGGGAAGCTGGATCTTGTGGAAGTTGGCCGAGATGACCTTTTGTGAGATGGCTTCCGACGCCAGGGCCGCGAGGGCGAGCGTCGTGGATAGCTTCATCCCTGTGAACGGGGGGGCAAAGCTACACTCCCTCGAGAAACGGAGACTAGGTGTCGTCTCCTGCGGCTTGAAGATCGGGGCCCCTGTTGTTTATGTCTGCTCCACCCCCGCAGACTGCTTCCTATGCGGAGAAGCTTACCCTGGCAGACGTCTGTATAGGCATTCGATACACCGGGGATATGTGTCGTTGGCAGCAGGAGGCCGTTGAGACTGCAGGTGGAAGAAGAAAGCAGAGTATCGCTGGCCGGACAGTCAGATGCCAACGGCGACGGGATCGCACGTCCTTTTCTGTCAATGGCAATGGCGGGAGCTCCTAGTACAGCCGCAAAAATGGGGAGGAAGGCCTCTTGTGGCCACGCCCAGCAGGGCTACCTGGGCCGTTGGAGCTAGCCTGACTGCATAATAGACCTGGCGCCACCTCGAGGGTTCGTTGTTTTTACGAGATTTGGAGATTTGGGGTTGATAGTCTGGTCGTGCCAGCCCCGAGAAGGTTAGAGAGGCACAGCAAAACACCCAAGATGGGCACGACGGGTTCCTCGGCTCAGTGCTTGGCGGCAAGGGAAATGAGGCCACGGGGCCATGGGTGGGATATCATGATGGACACGAGGTGGAATGCTCGCAATCAGGGGCTTTGTTGTTTTCTTGTCGCATTCTTTGTGTGGTCGGTTTTGGGTGGGAAGTATGACGCGTGGAGCATGCCAACATAGGCTGTAAGGTAAGTGGTTAAATGAGATGATGGGAAATGGGTGAAACTGTTTGGTGGGCAAGTTGAAGGATCAAAGACAGGCAGAGACAAGTCGCGGGCCGATTTGACATCTTGGCATATCCGGGGTGCTTAGTCACTCGGGATTTTACGAGGTGAACAACCTGTCGATGGATGTTTGATCCCTTGCTTCCAGAATTATGGTAACACAAGATGCTTAACCTCTTGATAATCTGTTTTGCTCCTTGGACTATGAATTCTGAACAAACATGTCGGCTGATGAGATACATTTACCGATTGCAAGGAATCTAGGAATCCGAATAGTACTCATGGCCCTGAAGGGAAGGCACTTAACAAGACCATCTTCTACCATGACCATGCTCGCGTTTGTATCAAATCGTGTTTGTGATTAGATGACTTTCCGCCATCTGTTCAAGATATTCCGAAGTGACTAGGCTACATCGTCTTCCTGTTCCAGTGTCTAGCCACAGCTTAGGTATTCTAGCTGTGCACTGCCATATCTCAAGCCTTTTTTGTCCCCAGAAACGCCTATCCACGCCATCGCAATGAAGAATCTTAGAAATTGGAACGGGGAGCCATCTCACGTAGCTATGGGCGGGCCCAGGGTTCCATCCGGCAGGACGAGCTGCACAGTATTATGCTCCGCCTCCTTCCTCAACTTCCGCTCCGTCGCCGCCTCCTTGATGCGGCGCTCCTCGTCAAGCTTCGTATTCGCGTCCACGGCCAGGAGCTTCATCTGATACTTCACATCTCTAGTGTGGATCGAGTACCATCCTTGATGGGGCTTGCAACGCTTCTTGTCGCAAATGTTCTTATCCTCGCCGCTCAGGCGGCTGCCGACGTCCAGGTTGCCCGCCTTAAAGACTTCCTTGGCCTCGTCCGATTTGAGCCAGTTGGCAAAGGGGCCTACGACGCCCACCTGATCGAGGCGGTAGTCGTAGCCGCACGCGGCGTCTTCGAACTGCTTGGAGGCAATGAGGGCCTTTCGCCGGTCGTTGGACCACTCGAGAAGTTGGAGCATCTTTTGGCAGAGCTGAACGTCTTCGCCCAGCTTTTTGCGTTCGGCGGCCGAGACTGTGAGAATATCCTTCTCCTCCTGGGTGAGGTACGCCGGTACAAGATTCTTAGTCTTGGATTCCGGGCTTTCAGCTGCAATGAGTAATTAGTCAAAATCCGCACTCTAGTTGGGCCGTTGTACGTACCTCCAACCTTCTTTGGAGCAAACGGCTTGGTTTGGACCTTCCACCTGCCATCATCCGGGTCGATACTGGCAAGCTTGCTAGCCAATAGACCCATAGCCTCCTCCTGTGTGAGCCCGTTCTGTGAACCACTATTGGACGAATGCTTCTTGGGCAGGGCGGCGATATGCTTCTCCCAGAACAGATGCGCGTGATCATCGCTGCAAAAGACACTGCTGTTCTCCGGACCATCATAGAGACGTGCTGCCTTCATGCAGTTCCGATAGGAGCAGGTCTTCTTGAAGAGGCTGACGTTCTGGTCGCCGTCTGCGCAGTTAGGACAGACGAAGCGCTCAATGAGGTTCTCGCCGACCTCCTTGCTCATGCCGATACACTCGCCGTGGAACCAGTCGTCACACATATCGCACGAGATCATGAACCGATGGTCGTCTGGACCACGGCATATGCAATACGGTCCGTTATCAGATTCCTCATCCGAGCCTCCTGCCAAGTCGTCGTGTAGATTGGCGGATGATGTCGTGGACGCCGCGTCGGTCTGCTTCTTGGGCTTGCTTGATTTCGAGGGACCGCCCTTGGGTCGCTTCGGAACCTTCTTGACCGCAGCGGTTCCCTTCTTCTTCGGGCCCATCTTTTGAGATTCCGATGGCTTCTCGGTGGTTTCTAGAATAGTGGAAGGTGAGAGAGTTTCTCTGGTTGGAGGTGGGAGAGAAGAATCGGCTTGTGAGGAAGCAACAGTGTTTGAATCCGTTTGTTCTCCCTCTACGTTTTGAGGTGCCGTTTGAGGCATGATGGGAGCATGGCCGGGCGCGTCTGCCATCTCGAGATCCTCATCCTCGCCGCCTTTGATCTTTGGCTCCACGTCTGAATCCATGGCTTCCAACATGTGTCTTTCTTACAACAGCGACAGCCTAAAAGTGGAACATGAATATTAGAAGCGCAGCACAAGAACAAACAATGACTTTAATAGAAAGAAAAATGAAAGACAGTTTTGTTTGTTGCGTGATGGAGGGGGTTGAGGTTCACTTGAGTGAAGTTACAGAGTGAGAGTGAGAGTGAAGGGTCCATTAAGAAAGACCCACAACAACCTCGGTGAAATGGGCAACTACTCGGTCTGGTTCGGTGAACTGCACAGAAGGGAAGGAACGCCGCATCAATGGTTCTTCCGACCCACAATATTTTGGAAGATGGCCCGAGCTCACCGAGAGCTTTTTGGAGTCTTACGATTTTCCAATGACGAAGGATCCCAGATTTCCCGGTCATATTAGCTCACCTCGTTGATTAAACCTTCAATTACCTCAGCCATGTCGCAAGCCACCACGAGGCTTCTGTGGAAGTCCGTTTCCTCTACAACTTCGACACAATGCCGGCGATGCATTTCCCAAACGACGTTCCCTAAGCAGACCCGGCCGACTGCCGCCGCGCCGAGCATGCTCCAGACAAGACCTTCGCCGGCGCAAAGGAGGACGAAGGCGTATAAGACTGTGGAGGAGGCAAAGAGCAGATACAGAGCAGGGGTATGGTCTCTCCCCAGAGTACTTGGGTGTTGTTGCCATTGAGAGTGGCCATGCTGACTGGGATTCTGAACCAGCCCTTTTCATGGAAGGCGGGCATGCTGTTCGTCGGAACCGGTGTCGGTCTGACGTGGTACTTTGAGACTGAGAAGCAGCGCATGGAGCGCAAGCGCATTGCGGAGGCGACGAAGGGCATGGGCCGGCCCAAGGTTGGAGGACAATTCGAGTTGACCGACCAGGACGGCAACAAGTTCACTAGCGAGGATATGAAGGGCCGCTACGCACTGGTACGTGGAGCCATATGGCATCTCCATCACGGAGATAGATAAGAAAAGGGGGAGAGAGAAAACTAACATTGCCTTTCGCCACAGGTCTACTTTGGCTTCACGCACTGCCCCGACATCTGCCCCGACGAACTCGACAAGATGGCCCAGATGTACGACCTCGTCGAGAAGCAGCGCCCCGGCTCCGTCCTGCCCCTCTTCATCACCTGCGACCCAGAGCGCGACACGCCCAAGGTGGTCAAGGAGTACCTCTCCGAGTTCCACCCCAAGTTCATCGGCCTGACGGGCACCTACGACGAGATCAAGGCCATGTGCAAGCTGTACCGCGTCTACTTCAGCACGCCGCAGCACGTCAAGCCGGGCCAAGACTACCTCGTCGACCACAGCATATACTTTTACCTGATGGACCCCGAGGGCGATTTCGTCGAGGCGCTGGGGCGGCAGCACTCGCCCTCCCAGGCGGCCAAGATTATTCTGGACCATATGAATGACTGGCAGGGAGGGTGGAAGAAGGAGTAGGTAGCGTTTGGAGGAAAGACTTGATGAAGGTGCGGCTGTATCAACTTGTGTAATATGTACCATCAGCTGTTCTATGGATAGACCTTTGAGCCATCGTTGCTCCAAGACCACTCAATCACACTGTAATACCATTGAAAGCTCACAGTGGACAGGACCATTTTAGGGGTTCACCTCATGGATCTGCTGCTTATTGGAGATCCAGTGTTTATTGCTCGTGGACATAGATATGGAAATGGATGCTCAGCAACTGCAGCTCGGGAAATGTTTCCTTAAGCAGGGCATCTCCAAGCTGCGACCCTTCGACATTGATACAAACTGCCGAGCATGAATTTCTGCGGCTCGCAAATAAGGAAAGAAGTTGTCAAGAAAGACTTGAGCCAAAATTTTCTCAGAGGTATCAAAACACAGCTTACTCTCATAAACCAAGTCTGATCTATTACTGGCTGGTTTCGAACCGTTGCATTCAACAAAGGCGCAAGACGCACCCCGCGGCTCTCTGCAGACTGCAGCGGGCAGGACATGAGGTCGACTTGGCCGCTAAAATTGGCGAGCGGAGAGCATTGGGTGGCAGGGGTACCTTAGGTTCCCTGCAGGGGAGAGCTCAGTCAGTGTTGACCGTTATCCGTTATCCGTGCCCGCCGTTCCAACCTCAACCGTGCCGAAGGACCTCGATTCATCATCACTCTTACATCCAGAAGCAGCAACCATTTCCTTTCACGTTCTACCATGCGGCATATTTGAAACCCCAAATTGATTTAAGGGAATTGCATTATACATCATGAGACAGGCTATCAGGGTTACGGGTCTCGGTCGGCTCCTCTCGAGGCCACTCACTACTTCACCGACACCGTTCAGATGCGCAGCTGCCGGTATCGGGCGTCACGAGAGAGGGATTTCCGGGTTGAGGAGAGTTACGCTGCCTTCGACGAGCTTATCGTGTGTCAAGACTGTTGGCGCGGGGCGGTATTTCAGTAGCAAGAAGCAGGTTTTCGAGGCGGGCGAAGCTCCGTCGTTTGCGTTTGCTTTTGAGTGAGTCAAGCCCAACGGCGCGAGGTCGTGCAGCTCTTTGGGAGCCACGTATGGCCCTGGAGCCCCAAAAGTTTCGAGCGAGAAATTCACCAATAACCATGAAATTACCGTGACTAACGGTAGAGCAGCATCGACGGCGTTCTGTTGCACGTGGCCAAGCCTATTCCCGGGGCCGCCGAGTCGCTTCAGTACCTCAACGACAACAACATCCCCTTCATCCTCCTGACCAATGGCGGAGGCAAGCCAGAGGCCGTCCGGGTGAAGGACCTGAGCGACAAGCTCGGGGTCAAGCTCTCGGTGGACAACTTTGTCCAGTCGCACACTCCCTTTCAGGAGCTGGTGCAGGGGCCGGAAGGGCTGGGGGACAAGACCATCTTCCTGACGGGTGCGGATGCGAAGAAGTGTAGAGAAATTGCCAAGCTGTAAGTCAGCAACCTTTTGAGAGCTTGTACGTTCTGCGAACTTAACGTCAACTGACAACTCCAACAAGGTACGGCTTCAAGAACGTGGTGACGCCAGCAGACATCATCCACGCCCACCCAGAAGTATTCCCCTTTGAACTCCTCAAGAAGTCAGTCTACGCAGACTCCCACGAGCCCTTACCCAAGCCCATCCACAACGGCACCGTATCAGACGCGGACGCGCTCAAAATCGACGCCATGTTCGTCTTCAACGATCCGCGCGACTGGGCTCTCGACATCCAAATCATCACCGACCTGCTCCTCTCGCGCGAGGGGCTTTTGGGGACGTACTCGGCCAAGAACGGCGATGCGTCGCTTCCCAACGGCGGGTGGCAGCAGGACGGGCAGCCGCCGCTCATATTTTCGAATGCGGACCTGTTCTGGTCGACGACGTACCACCAGCCGCGGTTCGGGCAGGGGGCGTTCCAGGCGGCTGTGGCGGGGGTGTGGAAGGAGGTCACGGCGGGGCAGGCGGAGTTGAAGAGGACGGTGTTTGGGAAGCCGTTTGCGACTACGTATCAGTATGCGGAGCGGGTGCTTGATGCGCATCGGCGGGCGCTGCTGGGTAAGAAGAGTGGCGGCAACGGGGAGGCGCCGCCGTTGAAGACGGTGTACATGGTGGGAGATAACCCGGAGAGCGATATCCGGGGCGCGAATGATTATAGCAACGAGGAGACGGAGTGGGCTTCGTTGCTGGTGAAGACGGGGGTTTGGAGTCAGACGAGGGGCGCGCCTACGCATAAGCCCACGATGATTGTGGATGATGTCAAGGCGGCGGTTGAGTGGGCGTTGCAGAGGGAGGGAAGGTCGACTAGAATCTGAGCATGTGTTGGAGCATGTTGGTACTAGAAGCTCCAGCGGATGGTCCAAATAGTGTATTGTATTTAGGTAGCCGTAGCTCGTCGATGAATGGCATGGAGTGAGTGTGTAAGTACTCAGCTGGAGCGTGGAATATAAGGTAAGATAGAATACCTTCCTCTCCATTTCAGACTTGTCATCATCTTATTGAGCATTGCAAAGTATCTTTTTAGAAGAATATACCGAGAGAATAAGCTGGCTAGAAGAGTTATAATAGATGATAGTGAGAATGTATGAGATAGAGGGCAGTGAAAATGATAGTGGTGAGTAGCAAGTCATTCTGGTCATTGCTATACCTGCCTCTCAAAGCAGGATTTTGCGATTTAGACTCTTCTCCCAGTGACATGGCGTCGTGTTTGTTCAGAGGAAGAGATTGGACGGTCGATTTTAGCACATGGCAATTACCGGCATGGCAATTGGTTTTCCCCAATTACCATTTCGCCCTATGTGGTCAGTTGCGAGTTATGGTGTCGCCATGTACGTCACATGCAAGACGCGCGCCATGCCTTGAAAAGCAAGGGTCGGGAGCTCCCGACTGGTACAGTAGGGTCCCCCTGACGTCACATTTAGTCTTGTCTTTTAGGGGGTGGTTGCGTGGGTGCGTGGCATTGCCATGGAACTGGGCTGACATGTTGGATGCTAAACTTGATGTTGGTTCTGTTTTTCTCTGAGACCTCGTGAGATGTCAAGTCGGTGACAGAATCCTCCCGAGTTTTTAGCTGGTGGTGATGGAAGAGCGAATTGGTGTTAGTGCGACGATAAGAACAACCCTTGCTCTGTGGCAGAAGGCGAAGCTAACATGTGCAACTGAGCTGAGGTGGGCGGAAGTCGGTGGGATACCAAATTTGTGCGGTTGTCGTCGGGTGCGGTACTGCGGCACTGCGGGACAATGTACGGTCTAAAGTACGCTATAAGAAACTGGGACCAATGACATGATTAGGACATCAATCCACTGGAAGCGAGCAGGGATGGCGGCGAGGGTGCACCTGACCACTTCAAGCTCGTAGTGGAGGTCCACTACAGGAGCTCTCCCCAGTGGTCCCCGTCCGTCCCCACGGCTCGGTCAACCAAAGCGTCCAACGGGCCCATCCAATAACTAGGTACCTGAGGTAAGTAGTACCTTACGGAGTACAACAACCTCACCAGAAACCTGTCAACCTCGCACCACACGACTAGTTGCCCTTTTGCTGCGGCTGCAATTCGCCCAAACGACCGCTCTCAACCTGTCGTGTCTTGTCTTTCTTCCATGTTTATCCTTTTCACTTCATCTGAACACCCTTCTTCTTCTTGCATCGTTTTGCATCGCCTCCCCGCACAAACTCTTGCCATTCTCGTCTCATTCTTCCGTAAATCCTCCTCTTCCAGGACCCCCTCCCAACTTTCCAACCCAACCCAACCTGCAGGCCCCCCCCCCCCCCCCCCCCCCCGTCACCCCTCACAGTTGGGGTCCAATCTGACCCGTGTCGCCTGCCTGCCCCACGATAAACCCCTCCGTGTCTTTTTTACCTTACGCCGGGCCCGATAAGAACTTCCAGCACCCGACTCCGTAGTACTCGCCCTTTATCGTGGGATTCCCATTCTCTGGCACCCCCCTCCCCTCCTCCATAGGCAACGAACCTAAGCTGCAATCGCAAACTGTCACCTCTCACCTCTCACCTCCCCAAAGGAGGATAACCTCGATTTCTTCACCGACGCACACTGCAATCCCCTGTCGTCTCACGCGAGCAAATTTTCTCTATCCGTGTAGCCGCGAACTAGCACTACCCGACTTGGTGCGCGCGACTCCTCTCAGGCTCTCATAAATACTCTTGCACCCGCTTCTTCGTGTGTCTTGCCTGCCAAGATGTCATCCTCTTCCTCGCCCCAGATCACTGGACAGCAACAGCCCCTGCGATCAGCCATGAAGACGGACGAAGAGTGCGCTTCCAACCCTGGTAAAGGTCAGTCCAAACAAACGTCTGGCTTCGTCCCATTTTAAAATCTACCTGCCTATCTACAGTCTGCAGGCTCGGCATCCGCATCAAGTGGTATCGTGCCATCTCGACAGTGATGGGAGAATGAGGGATCGCGCACATGTGGCTGGCAGTCGAGCCACGATAGTGACTTGTTCTCATGTCAACGCCTGCCTGCCTGCTTGCCTGCCCCGCGTCACTCAGGGATACTTTGCTGCATGCCGCCGCATCACACTTTCCCGCAGACACGGCTTGATGGACCGGTATCTTTGCTGGGCTTGTGACTTGTGAGAAGAACTACATGATTTACTAACCAATTCGCAGTCGTTCAAATCGCTGAGCCAGAGGCCGATGCTGTCGCTCCGCCTCCAACTGCCCCGCCTTCCGATCATCACCACAAGAGACAGTACGCCGCCAACATGGCCAAGAGGTTGACAGGTCGTATGGGTCTCACCAGCTCCTCATCCTCTCGCTCTTCCCCCGTCATGGAGTCATCGCCTGGTCCGTCTTCCGACGATGCTACTGCTGCTGCCGCCGGTCAACCTTCTCACCACCATCATCGCCACGGCCACAAGGCCCACTACGAGAGTCAGAAGCTGCTCGCCCAGCTCAACGACTGGTTGGAGCATGAGAAGAAGAAGAAGGCTGCCCGCAAGAGCAAGACCTCGCCTCGACGCCGCTCGCCGCAGTCCAAGAGCAAGAAGGAGCGAGCTTCTCCATCAGAGGCAGCAGACCCTAGCGCGCAGCCCGCTGCTCCTCGGTCACGGTCAGACTCCATTGACTCTGATTCCAGCGACGTTTCGTTCGATAGGCTGCAGAGGATTATCGAGGACAGCATGGCTTCCATGGGCATCAACGCGGTTCCTCAAATGAGTCCCAAGGTCGGCAGGCGCCCCTCTCTTCGCCACAAGAAATCGCCGTCGCGTAGCATGCTCCATAGGACGGCGAGCTCCGACACCGATTACATTGGCGATGACGTTGTGGTACCAACCTGCGACGCAATTCTCGACAACTCAAAGACTCTCAGCTACAGTGGTGGAGGCAAGAGCACCGATGACCTGACCCTTGGTGGCCAGGCGGACGAGAAGGAAAAGGCCTGGGAAACGTTCAAGAATGAGATTGTGCGTTTGGCTCACACCCTGAGAATCAAGGGTTGGAGGAGAGTCCCCTTGGACAGTGGCAATAACGTCTTGGTGCAACGTCTTAGCGGAGCCTTGACCAACGCCGTCTACGTCGTCTCTCCCCCCGAAGACCTCGAGGAAGTACCCGGCAAGAAGCCCCCGCCAAAGCTCCTTCTGCGTATCTACGGACTGGAAGCCCTCATCGATCGCGAGAACGAGCTCAGCGTGCTCCGGCGACTGGCACGGAAGAAGATTGGCCCGAGGCTCCTCGGGTGCTTCACCAACGGCCGTTTCGAGGAGTACTTCAACTCCATCACCCTCACCCCCAACGACCTGCGCGATCCCGATACGTCCAAGCAGATTGCTAAGCGCATGCGGGAGCTCCACTTTGGCATCGACGTCTTGGAAAGGGAAAAGGACGAGGGTCCCGCGGTGCTCAAGAACTGGGATGCCTGGCTTGGCAACGTCGAGAAGAAGATTTGTGCTCTCGACGAGGGCGTACGGAACGGCAACTGCGTCTTCCGCGATCGCGGTTACGTATGCGGTGTGGAGTGGAAGCAGTTCAAGGAGCTCTACGACAAGTATCGTGAGCTGGCTCTCAGCGCCTACAAGGGCCACGCCATCCGCGAGCGTCTCGTCTTTGCCCACAACGACGTGAGTGCACTTGCTTCTCTTATTCCCCCCAAAGTATCAAAGTCAATCACCAACTAACACGCCCATCCAGACCCAATACGGCAACATTCTCCGCATGCGCCCCGAAGACGAGAAATCCCCCCTCCTCAAGCCAGCAAACGAGCACAAGCAGCTCGTCGTCATCGACTTCGAGTACGCCGCCGCCAACGTCCCGGGCCTCGAATTCGCAAACCACTTTACAGAATGGTCCTACAACTACCACCACGAGTCCCTCCCCTTCGTCTGCAACACGGCAGTCTACCCGACCATCCAAGAACAGCGCCGCTTCCTCAAAGCCTACGTCGAGCACCGCCCGCAATACACCCACGGCGGCGCCTCCACGCCCCGCCTCACCCCCGTCCCCGTCGACGGCAGCGGCAGCACCGGCGCCAGCACTCCCGCCCTCCTGCCCACCTCCTCCTCGTCCTCCATTGTCGAATTCATGCTCGACGCCCGCGTGCCGCCCAACCACTGGAAAGAAGAAGAGCGCCGCGCAGAGGAAGCAGTCGAGGCCGAGATCAAGGAACTCTACGAAGAAACTCGCCTCTGGCGCGGCATCAACAGCGCGCAGTGGGTCGCGTGGGGCGTCGTCCAGGCTAAAGTCCCCGGCTTCGAGTCCCAGGAGGAAATCGAGCAGCAGGAGAAACAGGCGCAGAACGAGGCTGCCGCGGCGGCGGGCGACGCGGACGCCAAGGCCGAGGTCCAGGCTGCTGCGGAGGACGAAGGGGATGAATATGATTACCTGGGCTACGCGCAGGAGCGCGCCTTCTTCTTCTTGGGCGACTGTGTGCTCATGGGGATTGTGAAGAGGGAGGAGTTACCTGAGGATGTGCAGGCCCGGCTCAAGATTGTGGATTACTGAAGTTATCTAGGGGTGCTTGTTCAGTGAGACGCGCCAACATCTTTCTTCTTTTGCACATAAACCGTTCACAATATACCAAATTTCAAAGGCAAAAGTCAGGCAGTAATGCGGATTGTTTGATTGTAGTGGGCATCTGATGTATTTCTATGCCATGAATCGAGAACAGTCCTCGCAAGGTGTGATGTTGGGCCTAGCCTCTCTATATCCTCAATGTACCTTTGCAAGTGCCATGTAGTATCGCAAATCGCCCCCAAAAAGCACCTCAGTTCATCTTATTATACCGCTCCCTAGCCCGGTCCTGCACCGTATTCACATACTCGGCATAGCTATTCGTAGTCTTGCGCTGGGCCAGCTCTGCCGCGTCGCCCAAGTTTCCGCCCTCGGCGCCGAGGCCGACGCCCTCCTGGTACGCGTGAGTGGCAATCACCTCGGTGCGGCCGTCACCGTTGGCACCCAGACCCTGTCCCGTGGTCCAGCCCATTTTAGCCAGCATCCCCGCGCCCTTGGACTTCGGAGGCGCCGGTGGAGGTGTCTTTTCCTTGGATGCCGCCGCCGTCGCCGCCGGAGGGTTGGTCGACTTGTCGTCTTTGCGCCCTGACTTGGCACCGCCTTGGACAGGGGGGGCCTTGGGTTTCGCGGGTTGGTTAAACACCTCTCTTCGTTCCTTGGCGCGATCGCGGTATTGCGGTGCCGATTCTTCGTTCCCCGCTGTCGTCGGGGGTTGCTCCTCTGCCTGTTTCGCCATCCTCTTGTCGCGGGCAGCTAGTCGCGGCTTGGCTGCCTTGACCTTCTCCTCATCTGCTGTGGCGTTCTTGTGGTTTCTCGATTTTTCGTGCGTGTTAAGATCATCCAGAGACTTGTACTTCATCATACAGATCAAGCAGCAGATCTTTTCGCGGTCCACGTATGATGTTGGCGCTTCTGGCGTGGATGTCTTATCTGGAGCGCCAGCTCCCGGCAAAGGCCCAGATGTCGCAGGGTCCTCAACCGCAGGAGCCCCATTGGGCGATGCCGTCGGAGCGGGAGCTTTCGATAGACTGACGCCCGTTAAAGAAATCTTGATAGGGCCGGTAGATATCGCGTTCGCGCCAGACAGAGAGATCTTTACCGGCGCGCGCTCTTCAGACTGGCCATCTTCACCAACAGCATCAGCGGCTCGCTTGCCCTCGTGTATTTCGACGTGCCGTTTCTGCCAAAACGCCATTTGCCCAGCCATCGGCACCGACTTCTTGGTGGAAGAGGCGGGCAGGTTTCCATCTGCCTTGCGTTTCTTGCCCTTCTTCGCCTCGTCGGTAGCATCCCCTTTGCTTCCGTCTCCAGAGGTGCCGCCGGGAGGTACCTCGGTGATCACTTTCTGGCTGGGATATACGTGAGGCTCCCAGTACTTGACCCGAATAGCCGGGTTAAACAGCGGGTTGAAAGAGACCCGCTCGTTGAACCTGGTCACTTCCCTCAGTTCTGGCACGAAGACGCCGAGATGGATGGTCGAAACTGTCACTGGTTTCGAGGCAATGGTGAATTCGCGCATCATCTTGAACTTCTTCATGGCCGCCAACGCGTCTTCCACGGTCCAGAACTCGGCAAATCCAAAGTTAAATGACTCGTTCGTCTCTTGGTCACGCATCATGAATGTGCGGTGCAGAGAGCCAGGCCTTGCGCCGTAGCCAGATGCATCGCCAGTCGGAGCAGTGGACTTGAGCTTTGGACCGTCGCCCGAGTTCTTTGCTGATGCTTGCTTTTGCACGAGCTCCAGTTTTCCAACTCCCGCCGAGAACACATCCTCGGTAACGGAGGGCGCCAAAGGGAAGAAAACCAAGATTTGAGAAGGTGTATCCGATGCATCACTCTCGCCAGTCAACAAGAACCGGTACTGGGACGGATCTGGACGGGTCAGTACGGGCCTCAAACTCTACAAGAAGGATTACTAAGTGTGCATACCTGTAGGTGGACCACCGCAGTTTTTGCAGCGGCTCCTTGTCGCATAATTTGAGAAGTCGCAAGTCGGACAGCTCCAGTTGGCGGCAGTTCCAGCGCGACTTTCTCGCTCGGCGTCATCGCGGTTCCTTGCGTAGTGGATATAAATGAGGGTCATGCCGTCCGTAGTATCATCAGCCTCTCCGCTGAAGAAGTTGATGACAAGCTTAGGATAGTTTCCTTTGACAAACTCGACCGCTTGCTCGACATTCTCGAACTGCGCGAAAGCGCGACGCTTGCCTGGTATGTGTGTGAGCAAGTGCGGCCAAGTGAGTTGAGGGACAGGTGGCTTACCTCGCCCAGCCGAGGGAATGCGAACATCGACAGATGGATATTGTGACAGATCGGACTGTTTGAAGAGACAATCTCGCAGCGTCTCGAGAGATACATCGGATGGCAAGCCTTCCAGGATCACAGTATCACTCGGAGTACCAGCTTGTCGAAGAGGCGATGTAGAACGATCGCGACGAGGATGGCGATCTGGGCTGCCACCTGGAGAGGCGGAAAAATGACGAAGATCCTCGTCAGGACCACGTCGGGCATCATCGCTGCGAGTGCCATCGTCGTAGTAAGGGCGAGAGTAGCCCCGGCCACCTCGATCGTAACGACGTGATCCGCGGTCGTCGCCGTCATGTGGGTGAAGTAGCGCAGCGTCTTCATCACGGCGATCCATATAGTCATCCCGACCACCGCCTTGATCTCCCGATCTAGGACGTGACTCGTTGGCCTCACGCGACGGTCCATGGTAATAACGGTCGTAGTCTCTCGCGCGGTATTCTGCAGTCTCACGATCCCAATTCCGGTCCCGATCCCAGTCGCGCTCGCGACGGCGGGTATCCTCAGGGGCGTAGCTGTCGTCGTCGTCGTCGTCGTCGTATGACAGCTCGAGGTTATTCCTGGGGGGAGACCTAGAAGAGTCTCGTCGTCCCGTGGGCAAGTTAGCAGAAGCTCAAACCAGCCAGATGTACTGCAGATGGTCATGTCCTCCGCAGGCTCAGCTTAGTCTCTTTACCCTGCCGCGTTCGAAAGCCGTCGTTATCTGAATACTGTTGTTGATCTCGTAGAGGGGATCTTCTTCGCTCGTGCGGTCCCCTCTCGCGCGCGCGATGGTTGTCCTCGTACATGGTCGCGGATCGCAGGAAGGGGTGTGTCCGGTCTTTTATGCGCGCTGATTCGGGAGTGAACTTGGTTGAGTTTGATTTGGTCCGGAAAGAAGCAGAAGAAGAGGGAAGGGAAGAGTAAGGCGCGGTGCTGTCCCTCGTGAGGCGAACGACAAGACCGTGCCTTTATGCTTCAACCTGGTATTGGTGGAACGTCAAAGGGCGACGGGCCTCTGCAATGGGCTGCGGGCATGCGCGAAGGCGGGAATGAAGAAGGGATGGACCACACGCTGGGCCGGCAGAAGCTCAACCCTGGCCATATTTGTGGTCGAATTGCGGCTGCCTTTGACGGACTTGCGCCTTATCTCTTGCTTAGTCAAGCGGGGTTGTCGATAAGGTTGTTATGGCCCTGGTCCGCGCTCCTTCACCCTTGTACCTTGTACTTACGTACCCATCCACCTCGTCCTCCCCACGTTCAGCATTGCCATGTGTGAGGTAATTTTAACCCAATATCATGAAAAGGGTTGAGCATGCTGCTGGTATCTGAGAGAGAGGCTTGTTGATAACTTGAGAGACATTTCGTTGAATATTCAAGTAAGACTTCAGCCGTGTTGACTAAATTCCTTCAACTTCAAAAGGCTCGTCGTCATCTTAGATACTTACACGGCCTTAACCCCACCATCTACTTCTGTTATCAACTACGACGCAAAAGACCAAAAACATCTTCGCCGCCTCCATTATTCGTCCATTACATCGTGTAAAGCCATGGAGAACCAAGACCAAGGGCCGTGGGAGGTCTTCGAGGGCCCCTGCTACGTTGCCCTCACCTACGATCTCCTCGACGCCTCAGCCATCATGAACCGAGTCCGCTCACCACAAGCCGGCGCCATCGTCCTCTTCTCCGGCACAACACGCGACACATTCGGCGACAAGCCCGTCAAAGAATTACAATACAGCGCCTATACACCACTCGCCCTCCGCACAATGATGTCCATCGCCAAGGTTATCCTCGAGAAGCACGGCTTAAAGGGCGTCGCCATGATCCACCGCCTGGGAACGGTTCCCATCGGCGAAGAGAGCATCTTGATCGCGGTATCGTCACCGCATAGGCAGGCGGCATGGAGGGCTGGCGAGGAGGCTCTAGAGGAGTGTAAGGCCAAGGTTGAGGTGTGGAAGCGGGAGGAGTTCCATGGCGAAGAGGGCGTGTGGAGGGCGAATCGAGACGGGATTGCTGGGCAGAAGGAGGCTGTTGGGGATCAGAGTCATCCAGAAAGCTCTAATTCAACTGAAAAATGAAGTCTTAGAAATTTTAGCATCATTTCTTTCAAAATAGGCATCGCCTTTGGACAGGTTGCAGGCTGCCAGTATCCGAATTGGGGAGTTGGTCATTGCACGAAATGAGCTGCTCGCAACTCCATATGTGACACCTGCTGGAAAGCTGTGCCACTCGGTCAAGCATCAAGCGTATGAATTTGATATACCTTGTGGGCATCAACGATTGCGACTTGCCAACAGTGCTCACAAGGCCCTTACCTGATGTCTGAAGGTGCCATCGTACCTTAGTCGAGAAGTCCTGCTGATGTTGCCCATACTCAGGCTAACCAACCACTGCCTGACGTTGCCTTAAAATCCCCTTAACTACAAATGCCCATATTTGAAGCAGTGGTGTCGGTCTCGACGGTCTCCTCGCTCTACTTGTCTACCTGTACCGCTTCTACTAATGCTGGTGCCGGAGTGGTCCTCAGCTGTATGCTTTTCAACATCTTGATTGATTCTGTTTCACTCAATCATGGTGAGTGCGTTGTCTAGGTAAGTATTGACCATGTCGAAAGGCTTGCTGAGCAGGTGATTGCATAGTTCGTTAATTTTCTCCTTGATCCAACCTTTTGACATGCTTTTCCTATCGACTTCTCAAGCAACGTTTCCTACCCGATGGACGTGGTGCTGGACTCCAGATTGCCAAAGTCAACACTTACTAGGTTTAATTCAGCGAGAGGACTCACGGAGACACCGAGGTAAACTCCTGACATCAAGCTTCCAACACCGTAGTAAGCGTAAGTGGAGAGGAGCTCTTCGAGGGCCAGATTCACGTATACCAATGACATGGGGAGAATCAATATCTCTACCACTGGAACCGGAGCAACGGTTTACAATGTTATTGAAAAAAGAAACATCCCTTTTCTTTCAGTAAGAAGACCAAGGTTCAAGTCATCTTATCACTCAGGCGTTTTTCTATGGTGTACTTCATTGCGGGCCAGCGGTAGCGTCCCCCACCAAGACCGCCCGCAAGTGGACCACGATAGCTTCACAAAAACACCAAAAACATACAACACCAGGCATTCGCTGGTCGTCACCGACCCAACTACTAATCCGGCCCTCATTGGCTTGTCTATGGGAGAGCGGACGGGATCCCGAATTTTCCAATGGGTATGGTCGTATGTGAAGGTATCGTGAGATCTTGGGAACTGTGACGGCCGAGACGCCACGCGGGGAGAGACAGAAATCAACTCAACACGGAACTTTTTTCATTCTATGCGTTTCCAGTAGTTTACTTTCTGGGTTAAATATATTTTCAGTCATTGGGAGTAACCACAAAAGCCAGCAGGTGGTGGTCTCTGGTTGAGGCTGATGGAGCAGGTTTGCGCCCCAGGAAGCTTCGTATAGCAAACCAGTGTTGAATCTCGCAAAGACGGAACATGCTATAGCCAATCGAGCTGCATCCTAGATAGAAGGCAACTAGCTCTACCCCAGGGACTGATATAAAGGGCCATTCAAGTATTGGAAAACGCCCGCCGCATGCTGCAAATGCGTCACAAGAAACCGGTCAAGAGGAATTAGCCAAAGCAAGCAAGAACCTAGACTCCACGAGATCAAATTACTGGTAATACACAAGTCACCGCTTTCACTTCCGCGTCTGTCTATGGACTAGGTTTTATTCCTTGATTTTCCTGCCAAATTCGGCAATGATTAGATGGAAACTCGGGCTATCCTTAAACTACCTGTGGAACAGGAGGCGCCATCGTTCTCCCTTAAACCCCGTGCGCGTTACGCGATTCGAATAACTGTCCCTTCTTCACACCTTTCAGTCCTCTTTATTCACATCAGTGGCATGGTTTCCAAGCGACATTTTGTCACACGCACTGTTGAATCGAAGCGTCTCTATCGCGGGTCCCCGTCGGCGACCGGGAGATCTTGGCCAAGCAATTGCGACGGGATTGAAAAGGGCAGGCTTTTACAAGACGAAAGCCGGGCCTCGGATGAGCCTTGGGCCCGTACTGTTGCGTCCGTCTGCGATGTCAATACACATGATGCTATGTGAATAAGAAGAAGTCGAACGTCGGTAGCTAGCTACTCCGATCACGGAAAACGGCATTCGTCAATCGCCGTGCTGCCAGGACGTCTAAGGCGATTGGTCCATGACGTGTATCCCACCGGCATGAATGTCTTCATCGTGCCCAGGGGTACAAAGTACATGGCTGCATTCAGACACCCAAAGTCAATATCTCGCGGACTCAAATAAATACCCATTCATATCAACACCATTCAGTCTCTTTTCCGTATGAACCAAGTCCTATGATCGCGTCTGCACCTACTCATACCTTTTCATTGTAACTTCAAAATGGCCATCAGCATCAAGATTCTCCAGACAGGGTCGATACGAATCCGCCCCTCCCACCGTCATCAGCCTGCCAATAAAGCTGTGCTTGTGCGTCGCCTGTCAGTCTTGCTGGACACGTCCTGGACAGCTCCGTTGCCTGTCAACACGTACTTGATCGATCATCCTGAGAGGCCCATTCTGTTCGACTCCGGCGAGTCGCCACACAGCATGGAGCCCGGTTATTTCCCGCTCTGGATGCCCTTTTTCCATCTTGCTGTCGATATCGATGTGGGAAAAGACGAGGGCATTGGCTCTCGGCTTGAGCAAGAAAACCTTGCTCCGGGTGACCTCAAGGCAATTGTTCTATCCCATCTTCATCATGATCATGGTGATGGGCTGCCCGACCTCGTCGGAGCACCGGTCTGGATCACCTAAGAACAATGGCAGGCGTATAAGACGCCATTCCATGCTACAATGGAAGGAGCCGTTCCGAACCAATGGCCAGCAACTTTTAAACCTTCAATTCTTCAACCAACCGGTGGCCCCATTGGTCCATGGAACCAGAGCTATCCCATCACTGGAGACGGGAAGGTCGTGGCTGTCGACACACCCGGCCATGTACCAGGACATCTTTCGGTTATCGTTCGAGCTGACGATGTCAATTATCTCCTGCTTGGGGATGCTACCTATGATCAAGACCTACTCGACCAGGAGCTTACGGATGGTGTCAACAACAACCCGGCGCTGGCAGTCGATTCTCTCAGGAAAAATCAAAGAGTTCGCAAGGAGCGAGGACGTTGTGCTGCTCCCTGCTCACGACCCGCAAGCAGCTCACCGCCTCCCGGAGAAGGTCATTTACAGACCTAGTATGGTCGAGAGCCCACTGAATCAAGGTTCTCTGTACACAACACCCGGGCTGTTGCTGGTGCTTTTCGGGACTATTGTGTTTTTATGGCTGAGATTGAGACGAGGGCATTAGTGACAAGTTGCCTACGAAACCCAGCATCCCCCAATTCAAACCCCTGCCTACTTTGAACTTTTCAGGCTTCCTCTTCCACCTGGTATTTAGTGACTTTAGTCGGACAAAATAGTCAAATTATTCCTACTCATTCTTAGTCCTTCATTAGAGATAGATACAGAGGTCGCTAAGGGAGGACTCGGATGAGAAGGGGGACCCAGGCCTGGCAAGAGCTTGCCAAGGTTCTTGCCTTATCTCTTCCTAAAATTCCACTGTAGTCGGAATTCTAAAGCCCTAAATGATGCTACCGATACTCAAGCTGACAAAACCCAGCTTGCAGCTCTCTGACATCTGACATATGTTGTCCTATCAGTGTCTTTCTCTGGGTCATTTAACAGCCTCTTCGCTCTCTTCATCTGGCTGTACCGCTTTGACTGAAGGCAGATCCAGACTTTTCGGGGCCGAATACTCTCCAGCACCATTGCAGATGCTATCTTCTCCGTTCATGCCGATTGTATTGTTTGGGTAAGCAGTGCTTGTGTCCAGGTACCCGTTAGGCAGCTTGTGATTCACTTGGTCGAAGTTCCCCTCAAGCCAGCTCGAATCAAACTCTTCCCAAAGCGTTGATGAGTAAGTCTGGCTGTCTAGAAACGTCTGAGTGATGTCGTATTCATGAGATGGGTCGAACGCAGGGAGGCATGAAGCAACATCCAAGGCGTCATCAAGCTTTTCCACATCATTCTCTGGTACCAGTGAGAGGACAGGTTCGCATCGGGGAGTTTCCGCAGACAAATTCTCTACGGGACCGACATGAAAGGCTTCGTCCGACGTCGGTAAGGATGTGGCTTTGCTTAATGAGATGTAGGCTACTTTCGGCTGTCGTTGGCTGTGATCCCCATTCAGCTCGGCAAGCTTCTCCTGAGGAAAGGTTTGGAAGAACCCTAGCATCGCGCGTCTTGTAGGGCTGTCGAACGAGACTCCAACAATTTCCTCTAATCTCGAGAAAAACTTTCCTCTCAGGCTAGAGTCATCGTCTTGGGTGAGGATCCTCTCGAGACTACTGCCTTGCACAGTGCCATCGTCAAATCGTATCCTGATCTGTCACCTGCTGGTCGCTTCCTGCTCTTCAGCGTCTCCCGCTGTTCTTTGTCGAAACCTTCGATTGAAACATCTTTGACCAGATTGCAGGGTGCCTCTGACTGAGCATGGTTTGCTCAGCCTCATTGCCAAAAACTTTACCGCAACGTAGGTAGTGGGGCTCTTGCTCGTGATGTCTGTATAGATGCTCTCTGTGGGTAGGACCACAGATTAGTTTTCATAATTTGAAGGGCAAATAGCATGACTTACTTCAGTCTGTGAGTGGGGGGGAAAAATCGTGTGCATGTCAGAGTTTTACCATAGATTACTGGGTTGAACTTCAGATATGGGCAAGCTAACCCGAGTATCATGGAGGATGTGGGTGATGATAGGCTCTTCGGCTTGAGACAACTCCTCCCCGGTGTTGTGCCCTCTTCAATTTCTTCCCACGACCCGCCAGCTTTGAGCCCACTCTCACTATTTTTGAGAAGCTCAGGCGACTGCCTTGACCACGTCGATGGCAATGTTCCGTCTTGTACAGAATCACCGCCCCGCTGGAGTCTTTGATTATCATCAGTCGTCGCTCCAATGGCAGCTCGCGAGCCTTGGAAGTTACTGGTCGTAGTGAGGTCCTGGATGAGATTCGAGGAGCTTTTTTCGTCCTGCTGCCTTTTCGCTTGATTGACCACGGCGGTTGAATCGCTGTGATCAACCGCAGGCACGTTGTCTTTTCCAGAATGTCTTGGTGAGAAGTCAGATTCTTGAAGGGGTTGGCCTTCGTTCGCAGTTTGTACTGGAATCGACACAAATGGCCCAGACCCATGTGCCTCGTCAAGTCGCAGCTGATCTAATTGTCTTGTAAGGGCGCTTGTGCTGAATGATTCGAAGTCATGTCGATGATGACTGCGCTTGATCGAGGAAGAGGTCGAAGCAATCGGGCGAAGCGCAACGGTACCTCCCTCTCCTTCTCCTTCATCTTCTCGGTCTCTTAGTCCTTCTCCTCCTCCTCGACCGCCGCCGTCCCATAAACCTCCTCCTCCACCTCCACTAGTAGGATCGTTGGGGAAAGAACACGCATCCTCTTCACCCATGATGATTCGTGAAAGAAATGCGCTCAAGAGAAAATCAAACACACAGAAAGCCAGGGGGAGAGTAGGTCCGATAGTTTTGTGTATCAACCACACTGAGCTCACACCCGTATCGCAATGAGACTCTTATGAGAAGACAGGCTGGATGTTATTGCTATTTTGCCGATTTGTGAATCTGCGCATATTTCTGAATCGCACAAGTTCTGCTCACTCTTCGGCGCCCAATTAGCTGCCATCACCATTGTCATGAACGAGGCGTTATCATTTGCTTGGTTGGATGGTAGGTAGCCAGTAACATCAGCTGTGCAGGCGCTCGATATGTACCGTAACGTCATGCCAATCGGCTGGCCCGTTCAAATCACGACGGAAAAATGTTTGCTCTGTACATAAGGACGCCTCAATACATCGATTACTTGGTTAGAATCTCAATGCAAGCTTCGCATAGAGTCTTTGCAAGTCTGGTTGATATTATACAGCACTGGGTTGCCCTTCATTTCAAGAAGTCGCATCCCTCCCGATAACGAGTCGGGTCTGCCTCGGAATGGTCTCAACGCAGTCGTAAGCATTCGCAGGCTCAATCCCAACCGTCTTGTCTTGTTCTTGGGCGAAGCCTCCCGGTAACGCAGTTACAGTACGCAGCAAATCGTCCAACCACGCATCTTCGTTATCATTGGCAAATGCCGCATCCCAGGCCGGCCAGAAAGCTACATCCGAGTCAATGCCGAGATCAAAGGCTTGAAAATCCAACGGAGCGCTGCGCGGCATCGTCCCTTCCACCGAAGGAAAGGAGCTCAAAGTCATGACCGGGTCCATTGGCGGCCCAGACATTGAGGTTTGCGTTGCTTCATGAACCACGTAGACCTCGTCTTGCTTCCTTTCCAACTTCTCGTTCGGTTTTTCATCAGCCTTCACACGCTGTAACTCCTCACCCGGAGCTCTAGCGGACCGTGGCCTCTCAACCTGACTAGACTTTGACATGGCTGTGATGGCTCTGTCCGTGTTGTCTCCCTCCGCGGAATGACGGAGCATCTTGACGGCGAACCCCCTAAACACATTCATGAGCTTCCTCCGCTTCTTCTTAGTCAAGCGTCCCCCCACAGCTTCCTCCATCTTAGAAAATGTTTCCTCCTCTACGGGCGATGGTATATCTCTGGTGAATATGCTTTCTACATCATCTTGGTCCTTTATTGGCACATGGATCACGAGACTCTGGTCATCGAGAGACGTTTTGTAGACTGTGCTCAGTGTCAGCTAATTCCCACAATCCACTCGTACTGAAAGTACTCACAAGGATCAGGTACATCTTGATGACCGGGAAAGAGGATCTTGAAGATCTCCCTCCACTTATCCTCTTCCGTGTCAACTCCCTTTCTACGCTTCTTACTCTTGAGAAGCTTCTCCTGAGCGGCGTCAAATCCTTCCACGTCGCCATCGCCGAGGATGACTTTACACAGAGCCTGAGCCTTGAGATGATTCCCCACTTCAGCTTCCGTCTTGAAAAGACTACGACAGCGCGGGCAATTCGGCTTTTGCCTATGGGTTCTATGTAAGTGCTCCCTACGTACACGTCCGCGTCAGTCATACTGATACTGGAAAGGCACACAACAACAACAACAACAACAACAACTGTTAAGTGGAGAAGGACCGCGACTCACTTCAACCGATGTGTACTAGGAAACGCCGCCCCACGACAGCCCCGTCTCTGACTATATGTCGACGGATCGTACTTTAGATACGGACAAGCCAGTAGCAGGGGCTTCGCCGAATCAATGAAGGAGTCCTTCCTCGCCCCACCTCTATAGGAGTCGGTTCCTCTCGTCGTCTCTATGAGTGAATAGCCAGGGATGAAGGGACTATTGGACCCATCTTGATAACCACCCGCGGTGCAGACTTGGTCTGGCACCCATGTCGGAGCCGGCTGCGAAGAGATGTGCGGAGGGTAGTCCAACGGCGACGGACATACCCCGATGTTGGACGTACTCCACACCGACGGGCGGTACTGCGGAGCATACGCTGTAGACCCGTAGTTCGGATTCTGTGAGACCGGAGCCGGAGTCTGGGCTGGATACAAAGCAGCAGCAGCTTGCTGAGGGGCATATGCCGCCGGCACCGGCTGCTCATAGATGGCCAAGTGCTCAAGTTGTTGCGTCAAGCGCGCCGTGGGATCGAAGACCGTGCCGGTAGGAGTCCACATTGGGTCACGCATGCTGAATATCATTGTGAAAAAAGTTCGATTCAATGCTGCGCTGCAAATCAAAGGACTCTCAGGTGTCGTAAACGAAAGGTCTAAATATCTTCTCCGTCGAATTTGGCTTTCGGGGAGGCGAGAGCGGGAGCGGCATCACTTTAAAAGACCACACGCCCAAATCTCGCAACTTCGCATTTCCCATGATTGGCCTGTGTGACGCAGTCCCCCGCACACCGCTCCTCGAGGCGAACCACGAGGCAGAGAGTTCAGCTCAGCTGAATGATCGATGGTAATTGATAGCAACCAGGCTGGCGCTAAGTTGTATTCTTTTTTTTTTTTTTTTTTTAACTACTGGGCACTCTGGCGTGAGAAAAAGATCATTGGTAATCAGCTTATCACTGGGTTTACTGCGCGACGGGTAGCTACATTGGAACCGTTTCATTGCCCACCAACTAGGTACATGTGCCCACCGCGGGTGTTTTATTGATTAAATTCAGAGAGGAGTATGGGCACGGAGATGCAGAAAGAGTGGCAAGAAAAGAAGTACGTGATTAACGTCATGGATGATGACGACAAAAGTGATAGCGGCCTAGAAGTCAAGGAGGAAACAACTTTTAGACGGGGGGAAGGCCATTATAAAGTAGTGGCATTAGGAATTGAGGGGAAACTCAACTCTGCAGAATCTCCTCACCCTTGTGTCTTCCAAGGTCCACGAGGAACAACGCTAACCCGGCGCAATTGAATCAAACGGCAAGGATGTCATGGGAAATACTCACTCGGGATAGGTACTCTGTTCAAGACGACTCTGTGGATGTTTGCGGCATCTGAGTTTTTTAATCAATTTTCGCAGCAGTCAGATTCATCGTAGCCAAAATGCCATGAGTGCCAGAGAAAGCTCACACTCGCACTTGAGGGATGCCCGGCTGTGAGCGCGTGAATGAGTGTCTTACCTGGTTATGAGCCAAACCCCAGCCTGATTCCAGGAATGCCGGTGAACGATAGACAGGCATGGCGGTGCAAGCAAGCTGGGCCATGCTTGCCTGGACCATGCCCACCACCAGCCAACACGTACTTATCCATAGATACTCAGCATTCTTTCAAACACAAGCCGGCCACGGAGACCCAAGCCATTTACATCACAAGGCTCGCATTCCAGGCAATGATGCTAGCTAGTATGCGCATAGTACATGCCCCACGTACTCGATGCAATGAATTATCTCCTACAAAAGTCTTCTACAAATACAGGGCTCCTCCTTCCCTTTCCTTTGCCCAAACGCCGAAAGATTTGCACTTCTTTGCTCGTGCCTCCTTCCTCGAGCATCCCTTCCTCCCCCCTCTCAAGTCTGAAGCCCACGTGTGGAGTTGCCGCCGAGGCTGGCTGGATGCGAGTATTCTGGTCTGAGGCGGGCTCTGTTGAGAACCTACGTCTCTGGTGCCGGGGAAAGTGGGCCAATTCAATCACTCGAGGAAGTTTTCGGATCGAAGTCGGAAGGAAAGTCATGATTGATTGCCGCCAAAACGAAGAAAAAAGTATGCCATGCTATGCCATGCTGACCCTTTCATGCCCGACCGTCCGTCGCCGTGTCAAACCATCTCTCAGAATCGTTTCTTTTTTTTATCGCAAAGGTCGCCAAAAAAAAGGTGTGATGCCAAACAGAAAAATTAGTCGTCAAGTCGCGCTTGAGAAACTCCAACAATGTCTAGACGGACAGTCCGTATCTGCCACAGGTGCATTCTTCTAGTTCCGTGCCAACGATGAGGGATGAACATCAGGCCATGCTGAAACGTCCGTGAAGTCTGCCCTGATCGATGGTGCTCCCATGACGCGTGAATCGTCGAAGCCGCCTCGTCGAAGCCGCCTCGAAGTCGTATGTTCGTGTAGAGGAATTATGTAAACTTGTTCAGTGCCATCATTGGCATGGTTGAAATGTGTGCTCGCAAGACGCGATAGTCACGCAAGCGCGTAGCTGTCCCCGCGGAGATGCGCGAGGGAACAGGGTGATGCCGTGCCATCGATGTAAAGAGCGTATTGCAAAGCGAGCTCTGGCGCCCTTATTTTCTTCAGGGGCAATGTGAGTCGTGTAAGCACTGCGAGGATCGATGGTTCAAGAGCTTAGTGCTTTCGGACCGGGGAGTACTAGTGTCGGCCAACTTGACTGTTGCTGGCGCGGCTGCGCTCATCCTCTTCCATGACATCGCTCAGGCGAGTCGGGTGATGATGTCTAGGGACAGTCTCCCAGCCTGGAGCTGCATAGCCCGAGCCGGAATAGTCTTGAGTGGCTCCCTGCTGCGGTTGTTCTCCAGCAGACGTAGTGGGGGTCTGCAGGTAGCCGGCACTGGGAGGGTTCGTCGCGGGGGTTTCATACTCTTCTATACCTTGGTCAGAAACTGGGGAAGGTGGAGCAATAAAGGGAACTTTGTGTCCCTGAGAATCGCGAATGAAGTGGCCTTGCGCATCGATAGCGTACTCACCTTCAGAGTATCCACCCTCGGAACCAGCACCCGTGTAGGTGACGCCCTCCTGACCAGCGTCGCCGGATGTATAGGGGTTGCCAGAGGTAGCGGGGATGGATTGACCACCAGGGGCTTGGGAATAATCGCCAGCGTAGCCGGCCTGCTGGCCACCATACTGCTCACGAGAGCTGCCGTGGCGACTAGGAGCACCCTGCGTCATCGGGACGACCTGGACGCCGCCGAGGATGGTAGGCTGACCGCTCTGCAGAGACTGGGTCCGCTCGCGCTCTTCATGCTCACGGCGACCAAGCTCCTCCCAAGCGCGGCGAGCCTCTTCCTTGGAGATCTGGAGCTCCTTCTTCATCTCTCTAACGCGTTCATCGTTGGCGGAGTGCTGACGCTCCTTCTGGATGGCTGCCTGAACAGCGTTCTCTCTAGCACGTCTCTCCTCGTCAAGGGCCGACTCTAACATGGCGTTGACCTCCTGAGCACGCTCCAGCTCAGCCCGGGTCTCGAAAAACCATCGCTGGAACTTGCGCTCGGAACTAGCGCGGAGGCGCTGCAACTCGACAACGGCGTGGAAAAGGTTGGCACCGGCTGCAGTAAGGTCGGTGACCTGGCGAGAGAGCGCCTGATTAACAGGATCACGCTCAATGTCCTGGTTGTTCTGTTCAAGTCGTCGAATCCAGAAGCTGGTGAGACCCTCCCAGTGAGCTGATAAGGTTTCCCAACGCTCAAACGCGTGGGGGAATGAGTTTCTAGGTCTCGATCCCGCAGCACCGGACTCCTGGGCTCCTTGAACAGAGGTGTTAGCAGGCTGTTGAGTGGTGCTGGCCTGAGGGGCTGTGCTGTAGGGTTGCTGGCCGGGCTGAGAGGTTGACGCCGTTCGGCCGTGTCGAGTCTGCGGCTGAGTCGTCGTAGGTTGGCGGGAACTTCCTCCCGGGTTGGTTCGGGTTTGTGGGGTATCGGTGGCTACGGGTCGCCGATGAGAGGTGGGGTCCTGCTGGGACACGTTGGCGGCGCCACCAGCTGTTCCTCCTCCGGCAGCGCCAGTAACGGCGGTGGCAGCTCGGCGCTCCGCATTCCGTCTCTGCGTCTCCTCCAATAGGCGAGCTTCCTGCTCGGCTCGCTGTCTCTCCAACTGCATCTGTTCCTGTTCGGCTCTCTGACGGGCTGCCTCTCTGGCAGCGCGCTCCTGCATGATCATTCTAGGACCACGAATTCCAGAGGGCGAGCTGGTAGGGTTAGGGGCGCCAGTGGTGCGCTGGCGGGTGGAAGCCGAGGCATTACCGTTGGAAGCGGCAGTGCCGCCTCCGATCAGGTCAGCCATTGATGCGCCTTCTTCGATTTCGTCGGGCGTGAACAAGTTGGGTTGCCGAAGCGCTTCCTCAAGAGCAAAGAGGATGGCACTGCGAGTATTTCTGGAAACGCGATGAGGTCGGTGAGACTCGCGTCGGGTATGAGAAGACGATGATGTCGGGTCTCGGAATAACAGAGCTTCGTCAGAGGACTCTTCGTCAAAGTCCTCGCTCAGATCCTGTGAGAGGACTCTTCGTGCACGGGAATTTCGTCGGTCGTGGGGAGCGACGGTTCGAGGGTAATCGTAATTGAAAGTCGGGGCAGGCGCAAGTGCTGGCGTGGGCGCAGGCGCGGTCGCAATTTGAGGTTTGGGACTGAAACCTACTGATGCGGCTTCAATGTGGACCTGGCGCGCAGACTGCGGTGTAGGACTTGGGGTCGCAACGGATCGCGAGGTACGTCGAAGGGTGCGGTGGGAGAGTTGGGACGAAGCTGGAGTGGTCGGTCTCTCAGCAACTGGATCTGGGGTAATGTTTCGCGCTTGCCTCCGCTGCTGCTGGCGCTGCGCAGAAGGGGCCGTGATTTCGTGAATTTCGTGACGGTCGTTAGAAGGCGTGGGGGGAGTTTGGTCTGTCAACTTGACGATGTTGTCCAGGTCACTGATCTGACCTGTTGGGGTAGACAAGTTGAAATTATCACCACGTTGGTGGTGATTCGGACTCGAGGTATGAGGCAGTGTGGGTGGTGTTGAGGAGGATCTGGGGGAATGCTGATCCAGCAAGAGTCAGCAAGTACCGAAAGGTAGGAACACGGAGGTGGTGTGGATTGTGCGAAAGTCGGGTTACATGGAAACCAGGAAAAAAATGGGTGAGGTTGGAGGGAACAGGGTACTACTTACTCGGTAGGGTGGTATCTTGATGATGGGGTTCTGATACCACACCCAAAACTATTGTCGAAGGCGGTCTGTATGAGCAAAGATGCTGCTGCTCAGCAGAGACGAAGTGAAGGCGGAGAAATGAGGGTCCAGAGAAATGGAGTCCAAAAAGAAGAGAAAGGTGCTAGCCGGAGGTCTGAGGTGAAGAAATTCGAGAGGCTGGAGGTTGGAGCGTGGTTCGAAAAAAGAGGGTGGCTAGGCGACGATGCGCTTTGGTAGCGTGGGCGGAATTGGACGGATAAGAGTGAATCTGGAGCCACCTCACTGCTACCAGTGGTCAAATTGAGCAGAGCGGCCTCTTCTGAACTGAATTTTGTTGAAACTGCTGCTGCGTGCAGTGAAGGTTTTGAGAAATGGCGAAGATGGCGAAGTTGAGGATGTGAGATTTTTGGTGGTTTGAGTGAGAGAAAGAAAGACAGCAGTATGTTGGAGCAAGGATAAGAGTGAGGTGCGTGTGAGAGAGAGAAGAGGTTGTCCCAGTTGGGAGGCCTGCTGATTGTGCGTGGGGGAAAAAAGAAAAACGACAAGAAAAAAGATCTTGTGAAATTGGATTCTTTTCCCCCTCGTGCAGGTTGTTTTGTTGATGAGGATGAGGCGTGAGAAAAACCCAATCTCATGTGAAGGAAGAAGCGGTCAATTGGGCAGTGACCAGTGGTGGTTGGTTATTGCCTTTCTTGCCCAGTTGCACCTTCCTTTGATTTTCAGTCTCAACTCCAAGGCGAGGAAAGTGTGGAGAGCATCACGTAGGACACTCCAAAGGAAGGTACAGAAACCTGGGAGTGAGAAGGAGGCAGGAGGGAACCAGGAGCTGAGGTACCTTGAACCTTCTCCCACTTTCAGGTTGCTGCTCTTCCTCTCTGCAAGGCGGTCCTCCTTTGATGCAATCCAATTGGATGCGACCTGCTTGGAGGCTTGAAGTTGGTCGCGCAGGTTGGGTTGCGACGACCAGGCCAGGTACACGTCCGCCAGCCAAACAAGCCGCCCAAAAAGTCAGCCAGACAGCCTCGAAAGACGCGCTTCCAGTTCCAATCTCAATCTCAGTCTCGGCCCGTTCAGACTGTCTGATTGATAGCAACGCCAATTGTCTCGGGTTGCCCTGGTAGTGCTCGTCCAATTCACCACATCCAGCTTCAGCTCAGTCAATGTCAGTGCTGCTGCACGCGTACTTGACTGGGCTGACGGGAGTGAGAATTGTTTGGTGGCTGCTGTTGCTGTTGCTGCAACCTTGGGCCAACACGGACCTATGGCAGCTCACCAAGCAACACCTCCTCCATGCGACCTCTGTCAGGATGTGGGTGTCGAGGTCATTGACGGCTAAGTGGGTGGGCGGTCGAAGTCGGATGCGCGCGATTAGTTTCGAGGTCAGGATGACTGATGATGCAAGTCGCGCAAGAGCAGGGCAGAAGCAGGACGGAGACGGAGACGTGGGACACAAAACGGGATGGGACAGGTGACGGGTTTTAATTGTTTCGGCAGGGCACCGGCATCGTACCCAACACCCAACCCATCATCGCCTCAAATTACGAACCACGGCGGAGCTTCGCTTCTCACCACCCGGCGGACAAGGCAGGGTTCGAACCATCTCGACATGGAGCTGGGGGGACACTGGAGTCTATACACTGCACTGGACAGCCGATAATTAGACAGCATCCGTACGAACCTGAGTCCTGAGGTATTACTTCGTACGTACATTAATACCTTACTTGCTTTAGTCTTGGTGTACGGATACGGATGCAGAGTGGCAGAGTACCAACAACATCTCCCGCAGGTGGACAACATGAACACGGTCCAATTTCCTCCATTGGCGCGCCCCCAGCCAAGGTACAGCATCCATCAATCCACGACGTGCAGATATTTGCAGGCTTTTACAGCTCTTTGCAGGTTGTTCCCCGTCTCGAGGTAACTGGTCTGACGCCTTGGCTCTGCCATCCAACGCCAGAGCCGGCCAGGTACATTGAGATGTGCGCCGTGTGGAGCGTTGAGCTGTCGCCTATTGCAGCGCCGGCGTGGAACATGGCTGCAGCTTTCAGGATTGGGCCCTCGGGGTGCCTTAACGGCGCCTTCTTAAGTCTGACCGGTGCATGGCTCTCCCCGCTGAACATCATTGCCATTGCGCGCATGGGATCGCGGGATGTGCAGCCTAGGCCGCCTGGTTATCGACGGCCACGCGCGACCCGGTCCAGGAACATCCCGTCTGCTCATTGAGATTTAGGGGAACATGACCTGCCCAAGACCCCAAAGAGACTCTGCCGGGCATGAGCTGACATATCGGGCATTGGGTGCCAATTGGGACGGAGTGACGGGAGGATGGGCCAGACAATGTGCGACCAGACGAAGGCGGCGCCGCGGTGGCAGCGGCCACGACGGGAGATGGGAGATGAGAGATTGGAACTGCTCGCCTCACCTGTGGGATTGACCAGTGACCGATCAGCCGTGGCAGGGAAGCTCGGAGAGGCAGGGAAACTGCCTGCGGTGGCCGCGGTGCCGACGATTGAGATTGAGCCAGTGGGAGAAAATCGGGGGGCTGGGGACATGTGGTGGGAGACGCACCGGGGTGAGCTGTACCTAGCCTGTGAGCCTGTGAGCATGGGCAAGGAAGTGGGCGTAGGTTCGGCCGGAGAGGATGAGGAAACACCAAGAAGTCGGCCCAATCAGCCTTAGTGTCGACCAATCTTGCGCATTCTGACTTCGGCCTCGACCTTGATTGATTGTGGCTACAGCACCGGCTTCGATGAATGACGAGGAGATCCATGACAAGTTCATGATCTAAGAGCACTCGTAGGCCGGCGGTGAGAGTGAGCTACTTTCAAGAGTGAGAATGTGAGTTTACTGTATGAGAGACGGAGAGTGAGTGAGTGAGTGAGAGTGGGCTTCAGCAGGCAGTGAGAGTGAAAATGAGGTGTGGGTGAGTGTGAGTTGTCACTGCGCAGTGACGAAACCCACCTAGATTGCCAATCACCCGCCCTTTGGCCTCTCCCCTTCTTCAGCAATCCCAATGGGACGGTGTTTGCCCGGTAGGACCCCGTCTGGACCTCGGGGGTCACTTGTAAGTATGTCTGCCTTTTGTCAGGTAATGCGGGATGATTGTGTCGTTAACGTTTGGATACAGTAGGATCTTGAATCCGAGACAGTTCGTCTAGAAGTGAATAAGACAAGCTATTGCAGGTACGCGGTTACCAAACGAACTGAAAGGTCTTTGCTTTGCATACGTGCCTGGTCTGGAGAAACAAGCGGCCCTCTCCGTCGATGAATTGTCTAGACGATCGGGTACGCGGTAAGACCTGCATTGGCGCGAGGTTCGTTCGTCCTTCTCTCGATGTTCTGCCGCCCGGCATCTGACACACGCAGTGCATTGAACAATCCATTGATATGAAATCAAGGAAGAAGGAAACGGTCCTGGAAACGTGGAAGAGCGTTGACACCCACCGAGCGTTGGAACTTTTTGCCTAGCTATGATAGCCAAGGCGTTCCTGGGAGAACATGGCAATTCCAACCTCTTTGGAAGCTTAAGCTTGAGTTGCGAGAGGTGCTTGCACGGACTGTCCATCTCTACCTATCAGGTTGTCTGGTTGTGCCTTCTTAACCTGCAACTTGGCATGCTTAGGTAATGTAAGGTTCCAACTTCAACCTGTAAGGGAAAGGCCTGGACCCATCTGCCAGCGAAGAGGGAAAGAGCAAGGGTGGCCCGTGCTGGAAAGGGAGCACGGTGATCAAACTGGGAAACAACGGGTCGCTCCCGATGACTTCCCCCTATTCCCTGATCTTGCAGGACCCAATCAGACTGCTCAATGGACCTTCCCCATGAATAAGCTCGCAATTGCCTCGTGGGCCTGGAACCGAACGCTCGAAGCAAGTGCGGTGCTTTTATTCATTCACGGATGCAACTTCCTACCTAAGACTTGGGGGCCATTCGCCAGATCTTCTATGATTCTTCACTTTCATCTGCAACGGTTTCTACGCCTTTGGGAACCAATTTTCGCGCCCCCCCCCCCCAACTTGAAGTCTTGAACTGCTCAATTTCAACGTCACCCATCCGATTTCTGCCCATCGCTGCCCGTCCATTCGACCAAATCATCCGTTCCCAATCGACGACCAAGGACCATCCTTTCTCGGCGTCTCTGATCCAATCTGCCGTCGCTCCAAGCAGCCTCCCTGCCTCACTTACACTCTCGAAATCTCTGAAGTCAAGGATACCTGCCTCCCACTATCTATCTGAACCCTCGGGTCTCGACTCGTCTCAACCGTAAAATTCGGCACCCGACGAAGAAAAACTTGCGTTTGCTTGCATCGTTGGCATCCTTGCCCGACGACAGCCACCAATCACTCGCGACCAAAGGGCGCGGGGACGCTCAAAGTCGGTCTCAGGGATGGTCCAAACCCTACGCAAGCCAGTGCGCTGGCAAAACCTCACGATACCGGAAATCAATCGCTCTGGTAGCTAACTACCTTACCTATGTCTCGCGTGTCTGCAACTCAACATGATCGAGATCGAGATCGGACCCTGCCCCTGATTCACATCCCTTCGAAAACATCTGTGAAGAAGTATGTCGACAAGGCCAACGACCCAATCGAATCGTGCGAGACAATGGACCCTTCAGGCACCATTGCGAGATATCGCAGGGAGAAGTGTAGAGCTTCGAATGCGAGGGGATTCTCGGGACGATGCCCCGATGTAAGAAAGCACCGGGCACGCTGTTTCCAACCGGACTAGAATCTTTGCACTTTCATCCGGCGTTCGTGGACCGCAATTCGAAGCCATCAAGGAAAACCGAAAAGTCGCTCACTTCTCTTCGACCTCCCTTGCAGCATGTCTCTAACCATACACTCATATCTCCGACCCGCACACAATCCTCCGGAGCCACGGAGCATAGCAACATCCCTGGCTTGTGATGTTAGCTGACAGAAAGGGATCGGTATGCTAGGGGCGATCGTCCCCTGTCGATCGCCCAGCTACTCAGGCCCCTATCGGATTGCCAGGTCGAGGAAATCAAGAAGTCTCCATCTTTGATGGGAAAGCTCTTTTCAAGGGTCACCACTTGTTCGCTGGCCTGAATCACTTGTCGCCCTTGGCTGCGGACGATCTCCCGCATCCTAACTTTCGGGGACCAAGACCACGGAAAAGACTCTCTACTTCCTTTTAACGCTTGAATTCGCGCGACTGTTTGCTCCCAGAACAGACCATCCATCCCACCCAAATGCACGTCGTTCAGAAGTCTGATATCGATCATTTTCCGAAGTCAACAGCCAAATGCGCCTTTGACGGCATGAGGCGTATGGCAGGCGGCATGACGTCTTCAATACAAATTGCTGAAACTCCCGCTGCGGTCAAGGCTTTTTCCCGTTTGCCACCATTCTGACCATTTTTGGCGACAGGCACCTTCAGCTCGAGTTGTCGTTGGAGCGCAGTCCCGCCATCCGATCGATCGAGCCATGCAAGGTTTGTCACACGGTGGCTGCTGTTGCTCCGGAACGCCGCATGCCTGCGGCCCGTCGCAAACGGCAGTATCAAAACAAATGGCCCGCATGTTAAGATTGTCACCAAACAAATAGGATCAGTGGAACGCGGTTTCCCTCATCCACGGCTGTGGCCATCAACGTCTTGTAAGCCCCGCAGCAGAGGCGCTTCGCCAAAGAAAAGGCTGAAAAAGATGGCTGCGCTATCGTAGCAGAAGTTATCGCCACCAAGAGGCAGATCGATATCGCACATGAAGCTCTGAATGAGCAACATTGAGATTCGCTTGTAATTCTGAGTCTCTTCCAGACGAGGACTGGCGAGCTCACCAGCTTGTCAACCAACCAAACGAACCACTATAGCACACGGGGTGATGTGTCTCGTTTCTCTTCAGAAATACTTCCCTACGAGACCATCCTACGAAATCGTAGCCTTCAAGCCTGGATTACGTCAAGTTCTCGTGAGATTCTGGCTGGACTACTTACCCTTTTCTGACAGTGTCTGTTGCATCGAAAGAGAAGGTGGGTATTCCAGGCCGGCCCTCGCAAGTTTGCTGCAGCAAACGCAGGCCGAGAAGGACCTCCAGGCTCATTGTGGCGCCATTGGCTCGGAGAGTAGTTCGTTGTCACCGTGGAAGCGAGACAACGAGGAGGTCGACACATTCCAGAGGGTTGGTTCCCATACGATCTCTTTTCCCGCCTTGCTTTTTCACTAGGTCCCTCTCGGCTGCTAGTCAAGCGATTGCCAGCTGCAGAAGTGCAGGACTAGTCTTCCCCGTCGACCCCGTTTTCTAGACAGACGACGGACGCTGAGGAAGAAGTCTGTGGATGCAGGGACGTTGTTGAGGCTCTTCCGATCGGCTTTCCCGCATGACGGTGCGCCTTTTTCTTGCTTCTTCGTCCCCTGCGCAGATTTATTGACGCTGCAGGAAATCTTGCTTTCCCTTTTGGCATATTGAAGCACGTCGTCGGAAAGAGTAAATTTTGAAGATCTCTCGGTCCACGAAGGCCAAGCCGGCAGACTCCTCGCTTGTTGTAAACGACACACCAACGCGATTACTCCAGAGCGCGTTTGCTGCTACGTTGAGCAAACTCGAGTAATGCAGAGACCCAAAGTCAAACCCTTTCTGTCCACTGTGCATTCCGTTCGAGACGGAAGTCGCCAGCGGGCAATCTACCATTCCTGCGAGAGCCGTCGAGGCCATGCAGCATCCGATGCCCACCGACTCGCCCACAACACACCGGGCCACATTCGGTGTCTTGCCGGGACTCTGATTGGCTCCAGGCACATCTGTCACCGAACATGCATATCACACGAGGGATGGCCCCTAGGCGAGGAATGTCTGAGAATTGCAGAGGATGGTCTGGTTGTCATAATCAGCCACCCGGGTGGACCAGAACCCACGACGAGACCTCGAGTATGGAGAGGCCAAGACAAGGTGCTGCATATTTGTGCTCCTGTTGTTGTCCACCGTTGGGTGGAAGGCATATGACTCGTGCCGCCGGGCCAGCCGTGACAGAGGAGGCATTCTTACAACTTGTCTGGGGCAGGGAGACAGGCTCCGCTCAGCTCAAGACGGCCCATGCATATATCGTTGCCTCTCCCTCGACCATGAGCGCTTCGGCCAGTATATCCATCGTGGCGTTATTATCCCCAGAGTTTCACATCCAGCATTGATCGAAGCCGGTGTTGCAGACGCTGACCGCAGCGATGTCTGGCGCTCAAGAGGACATGATCGGTTACGCACAGGAGCTTGACATCACGGTAGCTCCTCGACCATCATCTCGGCCATCAAGTATGGAGCGGCAAACAAAACTTGCTCATCTTAAGCTCGTTTCCAAGTATTACGGATACGCCAACTTCTCATACCCTCGACCCGACGGCACTCCCACTCGCAATCCGTATAGAAGAGCCGGGCAGACGTACTCGTCCGAAGACCTTACTCAAGACTTCGACCACCACGACCTGGCTTGCCCGGAAACACCTACCAAACGAGATCGTACTTCCATGGGCTCGCAAGGCTCCAATAGCTCAGCACCCAGTCTCATTGATGATCGGACTGATTCCGAAGTTTCACTCGACGACGATTATCAGTACCACGCTTCCGCATCTCAGCTTTGGGACACCTTCTGGCCTATTGATGAGGGAAAGACTCAGCAGACTCCAGAAAAAGCCAAGACCCAGTATCCCGCCTTGATCCCGTCACCACATATCCGAAGGGCGAAGAAAACGGGCTGCATCAACTACGAAGCTTACCCCCTACCGCCCCGACCTGTTGAGTATAACATCCAGGTCCAGCACTCACCATCTCCAACCCCTTCCACCATCGAGGACCCTGGGACACAACCCCAACCACCCGCAAGTATGCCACAGTCACCGGTCCCTTATCCTGCTCAGGACCCCGAGGACCCTGAGCCTCGGAGCCCTCCGGAACTTCGACGGACCATTCGTGCCGTCCGCTCTTCTTACAGCCTCTTCCCTCGCACTCGGCCTCAAGCTCCGAACTATCCTCCACCACCCCCACCACACTTTTCTGCCCTCTCAACTCGACCAAGTATGGGCAATCTTCGCAAGGGACATCGTCCACCACCCATCCACCTCCATTCCATGCCCATGTCCACGGCCACGGCCACCGCCGCTCCTCTTTACTCTCCCGCCACGGCATCTCTGTTTTCTCCTCTCTCATCGCCTCTGTACTCTCCCCTGCCTTCTGATTACACGAGACCTCATACCTCACATGGCAACTATTACCCATGTACTGCCGACCTCACCCATCCTCGTTCTGCCCCATTGCCGCCGCAGACACCGACAATAAGCACATCGTCGGGTCTGGACACGCCTAAATCTTTCTTCGACTTTGATTCGGACTCAGAATCTGATGACGAAGAGCCCGAGCACACCATCTCTCGCTTTGTCAAGACGCTGCATAAGCGAACCGCCAGCGAGGCTCGTCGGAGTGCCAAGGGGGCGGCCTATGCCGATGCACAGCTCCGCAAGATCCGCGTTGAGACTGAGGCCGAGAGGATTCGGGAGAACCAGATGATGTTTGAACGACACAAGAGGTCTGGTGCCGTCTTTGGACGCATGTTTGGACGCACGCATGGAAGATCTCCAAACGCATGAAGACCATCTAGACATTTGCACATTTCGAGCATATGGCCTAGTTACGACGGAAGGCGTCGGATCAGCCGGCGTATTTGCATTTCAGCGCAGCGATTGCATTTTCCTCGTTCATCTTTCTTTTGTTTCGTTGTTTTACTTGCTTCCATCCTCATTTGTTATGTTTCTTGCTCTACGTTAACGCCTGAAATGTTCTCATTACTACTGCCATGCTTATCATTATCTCATGAACAAGAATACGGTCTAGGAACAATTGGAACAAGAGTAGGATCTAGTCGGCAAGAGGAGGATAAACACAATGTTACGCTGACCATCTGGAGGTGGTTTGCGCGGGGAGGTCCCTGCAAGGGATGAGAATCCGTGTGGACCCCGGGGAAAAGAAGGTTTCCAAAGGGATGGGTTAGGGGAAGGGAGGCGGAATTTGGATCAACGAGTCAGACGGATCAACGACGAACGACCAAAAAAAATCTGGTGAGAGCGGGCTAGACTTGTTAGTCTCCTCGCAAGGGAACGCAATATGAAGAAACAGCCTTTGAGCTCGGAGATGACTCCGTCTCCTGTTTTGCTCGTCAAGAGCGGAGGGTGTCGTCAGTCCACAAGTCCTGTCTGACGACTTGGCCAATCTAGGAAGAGTACAACAAATTAACAATAACAATAGGATAGGATAATTGCCACAAGGTAGACTAACTAAGAGTGGGAAAGCAAATGCTTCCTCCGAGTGTCTTTTCAAAAGAAACTGCAATCCATTCGCCTCTGCTACACGGCCGAGGAGAACTCACTCGCCACACACGAAGCATTTGATGACGTAACATGACGATAGAAACTCTCACTTGTCGCTCCCCTCTCCTGGTCGAGACGGGATCGGTTCGAGAGCTGAATTTCAGGCGACTGGGGTAACACAGGCACGGCGGGGGGGCCAGACTCTCACTCCGATCAGTTCCATTCCCCCCCCCCCCTTTCCTTTTCCCACCCCGAGTCTCGATTCTCGACTTGTTGCGAAGCTTTTTTACCCACGTGAAAAAAGAGATTTAGACTCTTGAGTTGCTGGAGCAATGCGCGACGGTGTGATATGTAGAGGGAGGAGAAGACAAACGCTTACGGGCGTTGGGACAACGTTCTCGTTGGCTCGTTGGCTTTTTCGCTCTCGTGTAAGCCGGAGGGAGCCGAGAGGGGTGGGAGCAAGCTCGCTTCGGTTCGGCGGGATTGTATCCGTAGGCGAGAATGGCGAGAAAGGCGAGGCTCCGCGAGCATTACAACGAAGGTCTGACGAAGGAAGATGGAGGGTCTTGGCGGAGAAGTATGATGGGCGTGTATTTGGAAAGCTAGAATTCCAGTCGCTGTAGGGTTCAGAATCGTTGGAAAGATTTTTACCCTTCTCTCCTAAAGCGAGATGGCGAGGTATGCTGTAAGGCAGTCTGTCTGGAGGTGCAGATTCGTGGGGACGTTCGATCTCGCTACGTTGCCTTAGTCTTGACGCTTGCCGAGTTCGAAGGCGAGTAATTGCCGGAGGGGTTTGAAGTAGCGCCTGGATCGAAAGACATGTGGTAGAGCGATTAGAAAACTGATGTTGATGGGATCAAGACGATGATGGGATGATGATGATGATGATGAATAGGTGGAGATGACATTAATGCATTTGATGCGTGAAGACATTCTATCGTGACTACCATGTAAATCGTTCCGTACACTCATATCGTAAAACCCACTCCTCCCCCCTTCTTCTTTCTGGCTCTCTTTTTTTCATTCATCTTGGAAAAATTCGTGGATATGCCCAACCTGTAGAACGCCTTGCCAATGCCGGAACCGTGACCCGTGAAAATGCCAGTAAAAGCCGATGAGTAAAAAGAGATACCAGAAACAGCAAACATTAGAAATCGAGGTTGAAAATCAGAAAACCAGACTTTTTATCCCTCAATGGCGCGGGAAAAAGACAAGACGCCTCGGAAAAAGGCAGCGGAAATATCGGATCTGAGATGGTTCGAGAGGACTCCAACTCGGCCATCAAACCATCCCCATCATATCCCCCCCTCGAAGAAGGCCTCCCCTCCCAAAAGGCCCCTTCTCACCACCATCCCCCGTAAACCTCTTCAACCTCCTCACCCCAAGCCTCCTCCCCCCATCGCGAGTCGACTCGGCCGGGGCATACCCCAACACCCAAACACTCTGACTCATCCCCGCCGCCGCCGCCGAAGCACCCCTAGCAGCGCTACCGGGCCCGGCCCCAAGATAGACGCGCAGCTTCTCCGCCGAGCGGGGCGCAGCCTGGAACGCCGGGTCCGCCGCGCAGTCCTCGTTGGCGAGGAAGGAGAAGATTTCGGCGGGGCAGGTGACGGCGTGCGGGAGGCGGTATTGGTTCCGGCCGAAGAGGAGGGAGACGAGGGCGGCGAGGTAGAGGACCAACAAAGCGAGAATGACGGCGAAGACGGGGACGTTGGGGAACATGCGGACGCCGCTTTCTTGGGCGCGGGTGGCCGTCAGAGCCATGAAGAGCCCGCCTGCGAGGGCCGGGAGGAAGACGAGGAGGAGGGAGAGCGCGGAGAGCGCGGCGACGCGGTAGTGTCCGTTGCGGAGGGCGTGCGAGGTAGATTGCAGCGGCAGACAGGCGGCGTAGTCCGCGAGCACGGAGCGGGAGGCCGGCGCGCCGTCTGTGGTGGTGAGGAGGTCGGCCCAGGGCTGGAGGATGCGGAATTGCTGCTCGAGGGACTGGAAGGCGAGGAGGAGGACGAGGCCGAGGAGGCTGGGGACGAAGCTGTAGAGGAAGTTCGCGGCGGAGAAGGCGCCTGCGCGGGCGGAGGAGGGTGCTGCGGGGACGCCTGGGCGGAAGCCGGCGGTGAGGGAGGTGCGGTGGAGGAAGGAGATGACGAAGAGGGCTGTGAGGAGGATTGTGGAGGCGACGACGTAGAAGAGGACTTGGGGGGTGCGGAGGGACCAGGGGAGTGTGTAGGTTTCTACGAGGCTGGAGCGGTTTGCGGTGCGGTTTGCGGAGCGGCCTGCTAGGAGGGTTGATGTGACGGAGCGGCGGTCGTTGTCGTTGTCGCGGTCGTCTGCGGAGGAGGAGGAGGAGGAGGAGGAGGAGGAGGATTCGTTCTTGATGTCGTAGTGGAGGTCGGACGGGGTGTGGCCCTGGGAGTGTTCTGTACCGAGGCCGTACCAGGGGGTTTCTTGGTTGTTGTCCGTCATCCAGTAGCCTAGGCGGTCGACGATGCGGTTGCGGAGGAGGGAGCGGAGCTTCTTGCGTGTCGGGGCGACTTCTGCGCCGCGGTAGGCGTCGCGGGTGTTGCTTCGGGCGATCATGACGGAGAGGTCTGCGATGGAGCGCGGGTCCCACATGAGGCCTGTGACGCGGTTGCGCCAGAAGAGGAGGAGGGTGAGGACGGCAGCGAGGATGAGGATGTACAGGGCCACGAGGGTCCAGACGACGCCCTGGACGGCGGTCCAGTACCATACGTCGACGAGGATGACGGTGAAGGAGGCGCTGGCGAGGGGGATCGCGAGAGCCGAGAGCCAGAGGATGGCGAGGGCGATTTTGACGTGGACGGGCCCGGCGAGCTGCGGGAGGAGAAGGGTCTTTGCGTAGAGGTTTTGGAAGAGGGCGTTGCGGCGGCGGAGGGGCTCGTCTTCGGAGAGGGCGGCGAAGGGGAGGATGCGGAGGGTTGCTGCTGCGACGCACTGGGCGTAGACGAAGATGAAGGAGGCGAAGAGCTGGGGCAGGATGCGGAAGAGGAAGTATTTGCCGCTGTAGATGGTCTCGCCGTAGGTTAGGAGGCCGGGTTGGATTGGTGAGTAGATGGCGGCGACCATGAGGCAGGCGATCATGACGAGGCAGAGCGTCGTGAGGGCGATGAGGGAGGGGAGACGCAGGATCGCGGGGACGAAGTTGAGGCGGGGGTAGATCGCGCGGTCCTCGTCGATGGTGTCGATCTTTGTCATGCCTGGGAAGACGCTCTCCCTCTCGCTGACGGGGAGCCATTTTGGCGTGGTCTCGGTTGGGTTTGCGCCGGCCGGGGTTTGGGCTTGGTTGTGTTGATATCTCGAGTCTGCCGAGTGCGGCGGCGACATGGAGATGATGCGTGTGCCGAGGGACATGGAAGGTCTCTCGGCGCCGCCGGCGTTAGAATGCGGCCGAGACTGGCGGCGTACCGAGTCCCGGGTGTGCGTAGGGACGGGGACCATGGGGGAGAAGCCGGAGTCAGGGTCGCCGCCGATGAGAGGGCTCTGAAGGTCGTCCGGGAGGTATCCGGCAGCGCGGTAGTAGCCGGTGTTCTCGGCCGGGGAGGGGACGCTGGACGGGGGGGAGAAGCCGCCGCTGTGGCCGTGCTCTCTCGTCAGGGCCTCCAAGGCATAGCGGAGGTAAGGGGTATCGTCGACGCCGGGTGTGACGGAGCCGTTGGCGGCGATGGTGAGCTCGTCGCGGAAACCTTTGCCACGGGCGCGGTTGGTGACCTCGTCGACGGCGAGCTGGGCCTCGTTGAAGTGGACCGCCGGCTGAGAGGTGTAGGGGTCCTGGTTCTGGGAGGAGAACATGCTGCCGATGACGACGGGGGCGGGGAAGTTGTTCTGCTTCGGGTGAAGTTGCTGCTGGGAGGGTGGTGAGGGAGCGTGGGGCACGAAAGACGGCGGCGGAGAGAGGGGATCCCGGGGGCTGGAGTCTTCTTCTTCTCGCTCTACGCCGTGCGCATAATGTTGTCTTGCGTGGTGAGGGCGGAGGGTGTTTGGTGTGGACGAGTGTTGTGATGGCGTCTCAGCAGACCAATATTGAGGAGGATATTGGCCGCCTACGATGAGATTGTTAGTATGAAGTAAAAGAGGCGGGTGGACAGGGTTGTCGTGAGTTGGAGGGGGTGGGAAGGATGAGGGTGTGAAGGAGTTGCAGATGAAGCTGACGATGATGAAGCAGAGAGGAAAAGAGGAAATGTGTGTGAGAGAGACAGTGTGTGTGTGTATGTGTGGGTGAAGGAGTGGGAAAGAAGATCAAGTTGCGATATAGGGTGTAGACAGACAGACATACGTTGATGTTGCACGTAGGCATTGTCGGGATGGGCGTTATCAGGATACATTGCGCCTTTGCCTTTCCTCCTATTTCATGGGTCGTCGTTGTCGTCGAGGATGTCGTGAGAATCTCTCTGCAGCTGATGCCGCGTGATGAGCCTCCACTTTGAAAGGAACCAATTACCAGCGAGAGTGAGGGCGGAGATATCTGCAATAGACTGGTTGCATACGCATATCCGTACTGCAATAAGGGTCAGGGAGGGGGGGGCAACAAGAGAGAAGGAGAGAAGAGAGGGAAGGCTGTGCATTGTGGTTGGGTGTGTGGTGTGGGTGGTGGTGAGGTTTTTGCTGTTTGTTGAAAATACGTGGTTGGGAAGCAAAAAAAAGCATGCATCATCAGGAGTTGTGACTGGTGATTGCACCCTTCGTTGGTTACGATGGTGTTGCAGGTCGGAGGTTGGGAGGGAGCGGCGTTGCCCTCCCAGCCACCGAAAACCCTGGGAGTCCCGGGGGTCCCTGGCGGGTACTAGGCCCCGTAGCGCCCCGGATGCAGGAACCAGTGCCAGAATAGGAACAGAATAGCTTACCTTCAAGGTCGCCAGGAACAAGAAACGATGTCTTTGTTTTATATAGAGAGAAGAGGTGGGAGGAAGAAAAAAGACATCACTCAGATAATCACTGGGAAAAGACTGAAAGTTTATCGCGTGGTTGCAGTTCGTCCCATGTTGCTTTTGTACAACCAACAAGGCCAACAAGCACACAGTTTTCAGATGACAGACCGGTACGTATCCTGCAGTACAGCTGTCCTGCATACATCTCCCAACTTACCTAGGAAGAGTACGATGTGCCTAAACACCATGCAACACCACCCAAAAGTCAGGACTGCTCTTCTTGGGCTCGCACCTGTGTCTGGCAATGAGAGAGTAAGAACACTACGGACGGTGACTCCACCCGGCAGCAGCAGGTTTCCACATCCGCTGCCACCTCTCCCGCCGACGAGGCAACGCCACCTCATGACAGGGGCTCATTTCGAGTGGCTGGGCTGCAGGGGAGCCCGGCCGTTTGCTTACCTAAACATCTCTCAATCTTCTCTTTCGTCCTTGATGCTGCCATTGCCCTCGTCGATTCTCACCTAACTGTGAAACATGCTGATTGTCTCGAGCCAGACTTTAAAGATCTTCAAGTACTCCCTCCGTACGGAGTATTCCAGTGATCATAGAAATAGCCTTGACATGCCATGTCCCCGGACTCGGTGAGAGACGATGAGGCGGGTGTCCCAAGTGTTAGCTGCATGAGGCGCCCGAGACCCAATCTTCACCGCCGGACGCCTGTCAAACTCAAGACGATAGGTCTAGCGGTCTACTAGCAAACTGTCTTGCTCACCAAGCAGCCGCACTCTAGGATCCGAGTCTAGCTTCCATTTTCGAAACCTGCACCCCCCATTCTTGATGTTCTTCGCTTGAACCTTGGCGCAACTCAAGAGGAACAAATTACCCACTTGCTGGTTCAAGTTTACTCGCTTCTCACCACGATCCCGGAAGTTCCCAATTATCTGGTAATGATGGATGGCAGTGGACAGCAAAAGGTTGATGACATACTGATTGATATCTTCGGACAAAAACGAAAAATGAAAGGGACGAGACTCGAACTCGCGCGGGTTGCCCCACCAGGAAACAGATGTTAAGCTGACCTTAACCTGGCGCCATAACCAACTCGGCCACCCTTCCGTAGGGACCTACTCGCTGAACAGGGGTATTGTGACGACCTCGCCGTCAGAACGAATCAACAATGTCATGCAATAGTCAACGGCGTCAACGCCAATCTGTTAGAAACATCGCGGGCTCTCATACCAACCACTAGCATCGAATCGACGCGATTCATAGGCGTTCTTATCGCCTGGCTTCTTGAGCACTTCTAGATTAAAACTTACTTGTCGATTAACGATATTACTGTCATCTCATTAGACGAACTAAGGTTTATGTCACGAAATAGGAATAGCATCAGCACTCTATAGCACTTTTCCTTACTCGATTCTGTTTGGGTCAATACAAGCCACTTTTACCACACTTCATATGCCCATTTCTGTATACCATAACTCGTGACAGATTAGATAGCACGAAACATCTCAGCTTCCGAACTCAGCCCGCGGGCGACGGCATGGCCTTGGTAGGGTTCGACGATCAGTCCTTAACTTACCTAGCGACTCCATGATTTGCTGCCTGCCCGATAGTTTAGACTGTGGGAAGACTCTTTCATGCACGAAACATCCCAATTCATCTAGGTGCTCGTACTTGGCGCTGCCTCATGCATGTTATGGTTCCAGTGAGATAAGGCCACGTATTCTGCCGGCTGCAGGATAGCCTTGTCGAAACATGCGGGCGCTGGTTCTGACGAGCCAAAGTGGTATTACATACAAATCCGCTCTCAACGGAGTGAGACGAGCTGCATATGCACGCAAGCAGAGCCAATAGCTCATCGGAAATTCAAGCTGGGGGGGTTCTGATGAACCAAATTAGGACAGTAAAACGTTGACGCCCCGGTAAGACATATTTAGCCAGCAATCTATCCGCATGTTCCTCCACAGTCCTAGCCAGTTCTCATCTGGGTACGCCGTGGATTATCTCTCTAGCTCTCTTCCAAACTCGAATGAAAGACAAACCACTACGATCATGGCAAAGGCACAGACAGCCTCGACTTCCAGAAGGCTCCTTCTCCCGGGCTGCCGAGGAAGGCAAGAAACGCAACACATACCATTCTTTCGGCGATGAAGGTGTCACTGCGACTGTCGGTACATCCGGGCGGTTGTTGCAAATAAGTCGACACTTTCCGGACGAGAAATTTGGTTTCTGCGTGGACGGGCCAGGTAGGGCTCCACCTTATTTTGCACAAGCTCGTTTTGGCCAAATTCTTGAGTGGGCCATTGGTCCTCTCCTTGAAGGAGACATTGGCCCTAACATTGATTCGGATGATACCTGGAAGGTGCTTCCTCACGCGGGGGTGGAATGTGTTCAAGAATGATGGCCAACTTTCAAGTTCAACGATGAGACTGGGGCAAAGATCAAGCTGCAATATGTGGCTGCCAACGGCACTGTTTTCCAGACGTATCATTTCGACTACCGAGACTGCGATGTGGAGAAACTAGACACGTGGTCCTGCCAGTTGTTTCTATCATGGGCGATGTCATGATACGAAATCTAGACTACGCCAATCGGGACGAGGCCTTCAACAATTGGGACTATTTAAGTGAGGGCTACACGGCGCCGTATCTTGTGGATGTTTGTAACACGGCGCCAGACCTTGTGGATGGTTGTATTGTCCGAACACATGATTGTGGAGGCAAGAAAGCGTCGCTCTGCATCATGGCACTCGAACAGCAGGAGCACTTTCTTTCTTTTGCTGGAAAAAGCAAATCCAGCAGCGACAAAGATGACTCGAACATCGGGGATCACGTTTTCGAGCTTAAATTAAGTGACACCGCGTTATCGATCCCGAAGAACCGTCAGATGCTTTCTATCAAGATAGCTTACACCCTCCTGTGCGGCGAATCCATCGTGCCTCCTCAAGTTTCGCCAAAAGATATTTCCGAAATCCTCTACAGCACTTATGAGTCGCAATTCATCACTGAATATCCCGAGCTAGACTTCTGTTTGAGAAGAAACTTAGAACACATACTGTCTGTGTGCAGTATCCCAGTCGGGGATGGAGAACCGCCTGCCATTGCTCTCACATGCGGTGACATCGATGGTCATCGCGTTGGTACGGTAGCTAGCTTGTAAGTCTATGAATTCTAAGAATACCTACATGTAGACTATTTGGCTTATGACGACATCTTAGCTACGCGTTTGAGCTTCTATTACTGGCGTGGGATCATTTCCAACGCCGGATACGCGAAGTATCAACCCTCGAACACGATGAGAAGCCTTCCCGCGCAACGAGACTACCTTACATTCACAAGATGGCATAACGCATCGAAAGGGTATGCAGAGGACATGTAAAATGGCTTTTGGAACGAGCCAACAGAGAGGAGGGGCTCTTTTGTGCGGGTTATTGGGTAAACGGCGACAAAGTTGAGGATACCGACAACTTCCTTGCCAACATTCCCTTCCAGATTATCAAGATTGGAGACTTCTACGACGTATTTGGGGGTCCAGTGCAGAATCGCGGGGTTATCCCACAGGTTGTCAACGCATGGATCAAAAACCTTCACGGGAGCAACAAGCTCGGGCTCTACGCATTCCCCCGCGACTACGACGCACAAATGCAGACATTTTATCTCACCGATCACGCGTTGATCTGGCAAGCTCTGGGAGCTGCAGAACGGATGGACATCAAAATTGATTCTCAAGTTTCGAAGGGGACGATTTACTCATCAAAGACTCCAGCAAAATGTGCTAAAGAGATTCACCACGGAAAATCCGATATCAAAAAAGCGAATGATTGCGGTAACTCGGAATATCAGTCAAACTAGATTTCTATTCCGGTCTAAGGACTCCCCGCTGTTTCTCTCAATGGAGTTGGGCTTCTTGGACAAGCGCAACTCTGATTTAGAGAGTCAAAGCCGGAAGAACGAAGATTGGCAGTATCAGATCGACCCATGGATCAACACTGTCGATTCCCAGAAGTCTCACGAGGATAACAATGGCACAGATTGGAACGACCAACGGAGATACACTCTATCCATTATAATGGCACAACATGAAAGACGTATAAATATGCGATCTACAGACGACACTTTTGAGCATGCCATCTCCACCTTGATCAGGAACTCTGCGGCCTCCGGCATATTTCCTGGAAAGATAGACGACAGACTGGAAACCGTCGAGTACGACTACCTTTCCCAACGAGACGCCTAATGGGGGGCGATCTTTGAGATTCCATACACCCTGTGGAAATACTGTCACAAACAAAGCAGTCAAACGAGCGCTCTCAAGGAGTCAGCCACAGATGGAGGCTCTGGGTTGTTACGAATAATAGCCAACCATCTCAGTTCGATATCCGACTCCTCTGACCAAATTTACGCGCTCCTCAAGGAAGCTCCTAGACAAACATACTCAAAGGGGCATCAGAGTTCAAATGTCTATTCAATGAAGAAGTACTTTTCATTCGGCAACACGGTTGAGGTAGGCAACATTGTGGAGCTCCAAGATGAGTGGCTCTATGGAGAACCTACATTTTTCGTCAAGCCAAAACAAACGGAAGGCGATAGGAGGACAAGAGGCAATATGAGTACTTTAGCCAGAAGTAGCAGTCTGAGACACATTCCGAGGCGCAACTTTCTTGGATTTGTGGTCGACGTCTCAAGACACACGAAGACGGGGGAATCAGGACATAGGGCCTCGCTGGAACCTAAGAGTGTATCAGCACCTTACATAAGGCACTTAATGAGGGGTGGAAGAACGCCAGAGAAAGCCAAAAAGAGATTTTGGCATTTCTTCTCCTCAAGGCCGTTGGGAAACAAAATCTGCCTCGAAACTTTTACAGCCACAGACACGGAAAGCATCGACAGCTTTTTCAGCAGGCACTAATCCTACCAAAAATACTTCGGAGAAGTGTTTCGGAGAAGAGACAGCAGCAGCATTGAATTCTTGGACAACCGAGTTCCACTTGTTCTTTTACGATCTTGATAGGCATAGCGAAGGTGAAGATCGAGCGCAGTCGAGGATGCGCCAGGTAAAAGCTCTCACCATGCCTGCTGATGGGAGCAGAGGATCTCAAGAGAGTGAACTTACCAGAGTTGTCATGAGCTTCCAATTTGAGGGTGACTTTTCGGATCGATACTGGACATGTCGCCTATTGGAAGCAGACAAGCCAACTGCGAGGAGGTATAGAGAGGCTGCAAGTCAGTTATGGAACAAAAGTGACGAGGATTCTAAGAGAATTTACTCCGAGGCCTACGAAATATTGAACAGGACGATCATTGAGGAGAACCCAAAGGAGGGCGGCATCGAATATATCATGTGGATACGATACCTTGAAGATTTGAAGAACGCCATTAAGTTTAGCCAAATTTCTTGGCAACAACGAAGAGTTCTGGAGCTCTTGTTATTCGAAAAGATCATTAGGCGCATGCATGAAGGCGCAAATAATATTCTTAACGAGGTGTGGTTGTGTATGCGCAGAAAGGAGGAGAGCACGCAGAACAAGGGAATCCCTGAGGAGGAGACCGAGGAACCAGACTGCGACGCTCTCGACATCACAACGGACAGCTACTTCGTCACGAGGAAGCTGATCAAACAAGTTCAGCAAATTCTCCAGGCAGTAGAGGGAGATCTAAAAGAGAATATTGCACAAATCGTGCAATGGGGAAACCGAGAAAAGGATCGAGACGCCGAGAAACCTCGATGGACCTTCCACGACGAGAGTCGATATCGGGCCACTATCAAGAAGTTACTTGCCTCGAATGAACATGCCATTCAAAAACTTCTGCGAACTCACCTTAAAGTTTCGAAGTTTGAGGCTTTACTCACTAAAACACTAGAGATCTTACGGAGCGATCTAGATGAACGACATGCTGGAGATATACAACGTTTCACATATGTGACCGTTGTATTCCTGCCCTTGGGATTAGCAACTGGTGTGTTCAGTATGAGCGAGGCACCGAGGCTCGAAACGCTTAGAAGTATGATCGTCACTGCTGTGGTGGCCTTGACTATCACAGCATTCTCGCTGTTCGCTGCGAAACTTGCCGACGATGCGGGCCTGCTGAAGCTGCCAGAATTCATACACAGAGGATGGGACATCTTCGTACAGTCGCGTCGGTTCGCGGGAGTGATGCAGCCCGAGTCTGAAAAGAAAGGGGCTTTGGGAGTGAAAGGGCGGCTCGGAAGCAGTGAAGGAGAGGTCAGGACTGAAAGTAAAGACGATGGAACCGTCTTACCGAATGAACCGAACGCTATTGGATCGGCAAGATGGTTTCCGATCACGAGTTGGCGTAGAAAAAAACGACTGAATGGTAAGAAAGGTGAAGAGAAAGTGGGGGATGTGGAGGGCGGTGTTATCGCGCGTTAGACATGTAAGCCGGATGTTCCTAGGTAGTTGAAACACTTAAAGCTATTGATCATTGATTCTTGACGCTCCGCCCACTGATGAACTGTCTCGACATGCTGCCAGCTATAGTAGGAGTTGCAAGCGTGATGCAGGGGATCACCGGGTCAAGTTAGTTGTGGTCCTCTGGCGAATGACCTTCGGCATGTTAATCCTTGAACGTCGACCAACTTTTCTATAATAAGGTATCGTACCTTTTCCGTTTTCGTTTTCGTGATTCAGTTTTGTCCTTAATATCTGGATCGCCAATTTAACTTTCAAACTCAGCCCGTGCCAACCAACCTCCAGCAATGTAAACTTAAAAACACCAGACCTACGACGGCATGTGAGCCAACATCACAAGAACGCAGAGGCAGTCATTGATCAAATCATCACTTTGGTATATGGCAACTAATATCTCAACGCGAAAAAGAGAAACTCCGTAACTCTGTCACGACTTAGCAAGTAGAGCCACCCTTGCAGTGCTCCTCGCACTTGGCCCTCCACTCCTTGCCACCGAGTCCCTCGAAAGTCAAGAACTCGTTGCCGTTGTTGTACACGGCGTAGCATTTCTAGATTTTCTCCGCAGTTAGTGACCGTAAAAGACAACGACCTGTTGATCTCAGAAGGGGAAAAAAAACTCACGCCATCCTTGACTTGGGAAAAGACGGTATCCTCGTGGCCCTTGGGCTTGTTGAAGAAGACACCGGCGCCCGAGTATCCGTTGCAGGCGGCCTCGAGGCATGTGCCGTCGCCTGTGTTGCACTTGCAGCCGACGTGGGTGTTGGCGGCGGCCCTATTGTTTGCGTTATGATTAGTAGATGCTCGGGGGATTTGGAGGTTGAGAGAGGTCGACATGGAGGTGCTTACATGTAGGGCAGGACAACTGCCAGAACAACCTTGGTGAAGTGCATCTTGAAAAGAGAGTGGATGGCTAAGGTATGCCGTGAAAACGAGTGTTTGGGCTGTGGAATGAGCAGGTAAGGCGAGGATGACTTCGAGTTCTCTTCAACTCCCCAGACGAGACTCGAATACCCTTTTAAACAGATAGCATTCCTTCTCAACTTCAACTTCACAAGGGGAACGACAAATTCCCGGCTGATGGATCTCTAGAATACACTAGTTTCCCTATGATGATCTACTTAAATTAAGCCAGTTTGAAGTCAAACTCTATGTCTAATTCCATATTCCTACCGGGCTCCTAGACTCGCGCAACTCGCCTCATTCATCAACGGCAGTTCCCACAACTTCACCCAGCCATCGCGGCCTGGCTCTAGCCCTACCAGGCTTAGAGGCTTAGACCCTCTAACGTGGAGAAACTGAGAGAAAAAAGGAGTCGTTTGATCTTGCGGTAGTTCATCTCGTGGGGCCTGTTCCTGAGTCGGACGAGATTGGATACATGTGGAGAGCGTCCGAGCAAAAGATAATCGGAATCCCAATCTCTATCCGGTGCGGGAGGCATCAGAGAGTGCAGCAGAACACGGATAACCTAATCGAGATAACGCACGATTCAGGCTTCCCAAATTTTGGAAGCTTGGGTCCGTACAGCGGACTACTCCATATTGAAATGCTCGAGTCTAAATCCTATTACTCTCCTTTCTTGTGTGGGTACGGATAGCCCGTCCCTTGGCCGTACGGAGTACTCTAATGGAGAAATCTCTCGGAGCCGGATTGCTCCGTAGCGGGTTTTGCTCTCGAGCTCTACGACGTTACAAGCCAGTACGCTCGCCAACGGGTGATCCGAACGTTCATCTTGTGCTTCAGCTGCCCAACAATGCCGGATACATGACTAAGTCTAGCATGTAAAGAACAATTCGGTAGCCTAGAGCCCTAGACCGGGGGCGCAAACTGAGGAGTAAAGACTGTAAGGCGCAGCGAACTGCCAAGACTACGCTCAATCTATCTTACGTGTAAGCTGTTATGGTTCTCAAACTTTGTACCACAATTTACACTACCGAGCTTCAGTCTGTGAGCAATATGGCGGCTCCGCGTCGCTGTCCGTCAAGACCCCGAGCTGATTCTTTCTGGGGCGTAGGCGGACATATAAGGCGTAGTCCAGCAGCATTCGAGCTAAATGATTTCTCATCACCATCATCCAAGTCCCTCATTCTCTGGAGCGGTGAGGTCCTTTGGAGAGTCCTATTGCGAAGGCTGTGCCTCCTCTTTGGTTATTTCTGTCAGGAAAAAGAGTCGCAGTGACATTCGCGACCACACTCAATTGAGCTGTACTGGCGCTTCAGTTCTATGCTTGCTTGCAACTGTGGATATCTTGAGGCCACTGCAGTATGGAATCATCGCTGTTGCAATCCCGGCAACAGGCTCAACAACCGGCAGGCTGGAGTCTGGGTATCTTCAACACGCGGTATTATTGCACCTGCGCGGTAGCAGCAATCGACTAGACCCTCTCGAAAACGGACCGGCGAAGAGATCCAAGTTGCACTGGTAAGCCGCGGTCACGGAGGATGCGGCAGCTGCGGGGTAAGCAAGGTGGGCGATGCGGAGACTATGCGGAGGGCCTTTTGCCGGGCGGCCTCTTCCGCTGTGGGGCCGAGAGGCCGGAACTCCGGAGTCATCCCATCAAAAGGGCAAACAACCATAACCCCCCCTCTCGACGGACTGAATTCACGTAAGGGCTGATATGCAGTTCTACGCTCTGAGCGCTTTCCAGTGGAGACTCGCTCCTAATTAAACAGCATGTGGAAGAGATCTCAAAGTAATTCAGGGCATGTAAGGCCCTGTGATTGTTATTCTATGAAGAATAGCGACTCCATTCCGCTCCGTACTACATATCATCATGATGCTCATCGTCATTACTCGGCCATCCACCTATCCTGGGTATGTTCTGTGCTGAGTACCTGTGTCCTGACCAATCGAGACACTGCCGCTGAGTCAGTATAAATCAAGACTATGCAGGCTCTCCAACTCGACTTACGGCTTCTGCATCCTAGAGCCTCAATCTCTTATCTATGGCCAGCAGTAAGTGCAACGTGCATGAGTACACGCTACAAACGCCGTATTGGGCTTGTTGTATTTATCGCAGTACTCGTAGCACTCCATCAGGTTCTTGTCGGGGCAGACCTGTGCGCTGGCGAAGGAGAGGCCGGCTACGAGAATAGATAGGACGGGTGCGAGCTTCATGTTGGCGACTTGTCTCTCTAGTGTTGAAGGTCTGAGGATCCTGCGTGCTGCGAGGAGGGGGGCTGCTTAAAGGGCTAATTGTCGACTTCCCCTCTCGCCTTCTTATAAGCAGACCTGCCCATACAATATATCTTAGTTTGTTTTTGAGAAATACGCTCACAAGTGGTAGGGCCTGGCAGGGCCGGTGTTGATGATTTCCCCGAGTCGGGAATCATAACACTCGCAACCCGACTCGGGAAATGACCACGCGTGGAGCAAACAAAAGCCTGGGCCTTAATCTAATGCTTTGACACATGAACACATGATAACCGTTGTGACTGGAGAGAGAGATGGAGTCGAGCCTATGGCAGACTGTCTAGCAATAGAACATGACTCAAAGCCCCAGTCTCCAGCACGGCTATACGGCGCAGGGCCCAATGTATAGCATTGGAAATGAACTTACGCAGTAGTAGCGAGAAGGCCGTGCTTCGAGTGGCGAGGGATCATCATCTTAAGGTTCATGACTATAATCTACACTAGGGCGTCACCACTGTTTTTTAAAATTACCAAGGCGACTTTTTTTCTCCGGGAGTAAAACGTTCATCAGGTGCTTGATTTTCAACAGAGAACCAGCGCCGGTGCCGAGCGTTTGACATCGTGGGCTGTTGAGCCTGGCCGAGAGCAACCCTACCAATTTCCAAAGAATGGAACACTCAAATCCCAGCTCTAAAGTCATCTGATTACAGAACAAATAAAGAGATACCATTGACAAACTACGCCGACGTTCAAGGCATCCTACAACTCTTCGCTCCGACCACCCTCCTCTCCCACCTCAAGGAAGCGGACCAGCCGCCTCTTGAGTTCCTCTACACTGATCTTCTCACCACTACTTCTCTCAATAACAGTTTCCTCAGACGAAGACGACGACAATAACGGCGGCGGCGCTGGAGGCAAAAGAACCTCATCCAGGATATGCACAACGCCATCCCTGACCGGCACATCTCTCGCTGATACCGCCGCCCCATTAACACTCACTTTGACTTCAACCGGCCACCCACCGCCGCCCGTACGTCCCGTGCGAATACTCGTATTCGCGCTGCGAAATACCGTCGTCTCGACCGAGAGTGCGACTCTCGCCCCGTCGAGCAGAGTCTGGACCTCCCGTCGCATCTGCCCCGCTCCGTCGGCGTCTTCCCCGAGCTCGTCACCCCCGTCGGTGTCCATCTTCATCTCCTCTTCCATCTCCTTCGTATCGTCCTGGAAAAAGTCTGTATAAAGCACCTCCGCAACAAAATGATACCTCATAAGCGCCTCCAAAAATCTCGCCCCGTCTGGGGAAGAGAACAGGAAATCCATCACTTCTTCGCCCAACTTCGCCCATGCTGCGTTCGATGGCGCGAATACCGCAAGCCCTGAGCCACGCTGGCGCCGCAAAAGCTCCTCGCCCACGCCGCTCCTCTTCATCGCCTTCACAAAAGTCCCCAGCGTCTCCTCCGCCAACGAACCAACAAGCACATCCCACCGGGGCGGCGGGATCAAAACCTCATCAACAAAGTGCACAACACCACTCCCGCTCTCCCTAGATTCAGAAGCGAGCACCCGGGCGTAAAAGTTGACTTCAAACCCCGACGACCCATCCGCGATCCTCGCCCTTTGCTGCTGCCGCCGACGGCCGTCACCGACTTTGAGAACCGTCTCCGCCGTCCGCAGCCCACGGAGGTCCTTGGCGGTATACCGCCCCGGAAGAACGTGGTACTCGAGAATCTCGCCCAGCAGCTCCGCTCGACTACGTTCCAAAACGCCCTCCAACTTCTGAAAGGCGGAGTCCGTGGGGACGAAGACCGTGAGTTGCTGTTGTTCCTGCGTTCCGTTGCTGAGAAGCATATCGTGGACTTTATCGTATGAGTCGAGGAGTGTCGTGAAGTATTCGGTCTGTATGCTGCTCTCCTTGATGATTGTCAGGAGATTCTTCTCTTCGTCTGCCGCACTACGATGGCCATCGTGCTGATTTGATGCCGGATCGCTATTCGTTGTTTGTTGTATGATCGGTGCTATAAGGCCAGTCTCAGCATCGTGGGCGCCGGTTGAATGTCCCATCACACGTCTACCAGCCCAAGCTACAGCCCCAGCAGCTTGGTAAAACATGCCGCCGACAGCGTTTACTACATCGTCGAGTGACGACCGTTCGTCACTCGATACCTGTAACCCGTCCCGATTTGAAGTCTTCGAGCCCACACCCTGAACTTGTAAGGTCGATTGCCCGGGTGTCACACTCCCTGGAAGACTTAAGGCCGAAGCAGCCGCAGCCGCCAAAGGTAAAACACAACTCGCCTTCATGTCCTCGCAATCTTCGGTATCCGATTTCAAAGCTGCAACAGACGACGGCGAAGAATTCGATGATGACGAGTGAACGTGACGTATTAGCTTCTCAGAGAGACTTCGACGGAGAGAGGTAGACGGGTTGAAACATATTTGTATTCGACGCCCCGTGGGGAAGTACTCGCTCCCGATCATAGCTCCTATATAATAAGAATTGTGTCAATTCTTCAGCAAAGAATGGGTCTGAGACATCGCGACCCTGATGAAGTGGGCGGCCCGGGCTCCGCTGATGTAGACTTCTTTGGATGGAGACATAGAGGTTCCCGTCCACCCCCGGGCGGGCGGGCAGCAGCATCGCGACGGGCCATCCGGGTCCGCATATATCGTTTGACTTACACCGCACCGTCGCGGCTCTGCATGTTGTTCCACTTCCTCCCGGTACATGTTTATTTCCAGATTTATCATAGACTGTAACTGGTTAAACATGTCACAAACATTGTCTTGGCGGTGTTGCATAGGACAACAAGGTTGCCGTCACCTGAGTCGATGAGAATACCGGGTCCAAAAGGCATGATGGATTCCTAGGTTCCCTGTGTTGGTCCGGGGTCGGAACGAACCCCACGACTGTTTTGATTCTCGTCCTCTCTGTCTTCATCTCAGAGATGCTCGACTTGACCATGTTGATTCCGTCGAGTTGCGTGGCTCGACTCACACTCTCGGGCCTCCAAACCCGCCAACGACTCGAATCTCCCCAACCTTCTTCTCCACCGTCTCAAACGCATCAACAACCCGTCCACCCCTAACATCAACAACACCCCATCTCTGCTCTCTGCTCTTCCTCGCGCCCCTCTTCTTCCCTTCCGCCCCCGCTCCCGCTCCCGTCTCGTGTTCCCAAACCCCAATCTCATCAAGAAGAACCTCCAAAGCCCAAACAAACCTCACCCCCACGCCATCATCCTCCCCTCCACCCCCGATACCACCAGGCGCAGCAGTATACAGCCTTTCAGCATCCTCCTTATCCCTAGGTATCTTGGTACAAAGCAGGTGCAAATCAAGAAGCTGCGAAAAGACAAGCCCAAATGTAGGTTTATTCCGCCTCGATGCCGCTTGGTTTCCACCGTAGCCGTAGCCTGTGATGTTCAGCGCAGGCGGGTTGAAGATTGATCGGAGGGTTGGGTCGACCGCCTTACTACTGCTGCTCGTGCCGGTTTCTCCTCCATTCGGTGGTGGCGGCGGTGGACCGCCTTGCGCATTCACGGAGGTCTTGGACATCGTCGACTCCTTTGAAGAGCTCGTACTGTTGAGGAGCATGATCAACGGGCTAGTCTCTAAAGTCCTGGATATATATCGCAGGTGGGAGGATAAGTGTTGCAGCGAATCGTGCGCGGACTGACGGTCGCGGCGGGTGAAGAGGGCCGTCATGAGGCTGTGGAAGTGGGTGATGAGGATGATGTCCGGCAAGGCTGAGTCTTTTGAATCGTTTTCTGGGGATCTGCTCTCGGGTGCTGCCACGGCTGGAATCGCGTCGGGGATCTCGTCTCCTGGTGGTCTGCTCTCAGTCTTCTCCTCGTGAGACTCTTTTGTGACTTGGTCTGGTGTTTCTTCCAGGTTGTTGTTTAGGTCGTTCTCCTCTGCGCCTTCAGTGACTTCCTCCTCATCTGCTCGTTCGGGAGAATCTGCAGCCGTGAACGGTGTCGGGGACCGAATCGTCGAAGGCGGCGGCGACAGCGAAGACGACGAAGAAGATGGCAGCGAGATGGCGTCGTCCTCATCGTCGCTGTCGGCGATCTCTGTCCTCGTAGACTTGGTCGGCTGAGGCAGCGGCTTGAGTTCCGGCAACACAATCCTCACTGGCTGCCGTGGTTCCTGTAGCTCTGGCGCAGTGTGTCCACTCGACGAAATCGCCGCATCCTCAGCAGAAACTTCCACACTACCCATGCTTTCCACGACCCCTCCATCCTTCGTCTCGCCCGCCGCATCATCGTCATCCTTCTCCAACCGCTTCTCCCCAGACGGTGCCCGGAACCCCGGCGGGGAGGAAGAGACCCGCGGCTCAGGACTCTCAGGCGGAATGTCCAAGTCGCCGAGAACCTGCCACAAACCCTCGAGATCGAAAACTCTAGAAACAGAGACCCTCTCCAGGCACCGCCTCAACCTCGTCACCAAATCCGCATCCGCCTCAGCGGTGCTGCGCACCACGAGTTCCGTCCGAATAGCATCCCTCAGCGGCGGGAGAATAGCCGCAGGAGGCTGCGTCGTAACAATCATCACCCTCGCTCCCTTCCCTCGGTCACCCCCAGACTCGTCTCCGCAGAGTGTCTTCGCCAGCGCCTGCATCGAAATCTGAACACCAAAAGTCAGCCGATTTCGCTCTGCTCATAACTCCCCGCGACATATAAAGATAAGCCAAGGATGACAGAGACAAGCGACAAGACCTCACCAAAATTCCCATCTGCTCACTCTCAGAACTAAGCCCAACAACACTCCCCCTCTCGAACCCGCCGCCGAGAACCTCCTCATCGACGTCCCGGCTCCCAACCTGCACTTTGCCCCTCGCCATCGCCGCGCCTCTCCGCTTCGTCTCCCGACTGCAGAGGACGGCCGCGGAAACCGGCTCGAGAGGGAAATGCGAACTCGCCTGCGACGCGGGGAAGATCATCATCTCATCACCGCCGTCGTGGCTGCCGGCGCCTGCCATAGTGTATCGTATGCCTTCCCTCCTTCCTTCCTTCTTCCTCGTCGGTACACGCGCGCCTGAGGCTCACCGTTGCCCTAGACGTCATAGAACGAGACAGATGACCAAATCGAAAGGTGTCATTTCCATGTCATTCCAACATTTGCTCTTTTCGTCGACTTCGGCGTCTATACCCCCAGGGCTTGAATGATGCTGGTGAGAAAGGTATCGTCAAGTCACATGACAGCAGCTGTCGACAATTGTGCGGACAAAATTCCGGGTTCCAGGCCAGGGGGGATCTGATGTAGGTAAATACTCCGCTGGAAATCTCGATCAGGTCTCGGTGATTTCAGGGCCAACAGGCACAATGGACAGGGCCTTATCAGCCACCTCAATGACATCACCCCTGTGTCTTGCATGATTGTCACTCATGCAGCCATGTTCACTCCTTACCTTATCTTACTCAACACATCCCATCCGGACTTCGCCAGACCAAAACCTTGCTAGGGGGACTAGTCATGCATTTTGTGCTTTTTCGTGTCAATAAGCTGATCCCTTGTTCCAAAGATACCATGCACATGTTATGCTGTCATTGTCACTATCACTATTGAATGCACTGCACATTGCCAGCAAGGGTCACGCGAGGTTCAATGTTCTCTATTTTCAGTAAAGCTAATTCATAACAATCTGCCGACGGACTGTTGAATGCCTGCTCTATGCCTTCCCTTTGTGTAAAGTGCCTCTGCCGGCCCTGGAATATTTGTAGCAAAAGAGGCAGAAAAGGAGGCTCGTTTCCTCCCAAAGAAATATGATTATTCACGAGAAAGGTATCACTTGTCGGGTGGTGTGAAAATCCAGACGCATATGTGCGACCGCTCCGCCCTGACACTCGTAGTTCTCGTCCTGATGGCTTCTCCAAGAGCCACCCCAACCCAATTCGAGATCCCAACCGTATTGACTCCCTCCACAGATGATCCAGAATTCGATATTATCGGATCCGTAGCCCAATGTGTTCGCATTGTAACCAGATTTGGCTCAAACAACTTCACGTCGTTCGTTCTTGGGGTGCATTGACTACACCCTTCCCCTTTCTTGAAACTGATCGCCTTGAAGTGAGGCGTTTAAAAAGTGACAAGGACTCTCTCCGCTGTATGCGTTCGCATTCGTCTTCGTGTGTCCTTTGCTGTGGCTCGATGCGCTCGTGTCCAGCTTCCTAAGTTCTGCGTGACCACTAGGCAGCAGTCCCAGGCGCAGGAGGGGGTGCCATTGCATCAGAAACCTGGCGTCTTCGACCACCCTTCAGACTCTTGACTCTAGCCATGAAGCCTCCAGAAGGCTTGCTAGGTCCATCCTCCGTCGGTGACATAACGTCAGCTGTGGCACGACGCTCAAGGCCATTGGCGGAGCCTCGTCGGGGCACTGGGGGAGGTCCACCAGGCGATCGGGTACCGTTGTCAGCTCGCTTGACAGAGATTGTCTCCGGCTCCTTTCCATACTCCGAAAAGAAGGGGTTACGCTCGCCAGTGTACGAGATGCTGCCGGAGGGTCCATTGGCATCGGGGGATCGGCGAGAGGTGTATGCTCCCTCGGGATTGGTAATCCGACCAGAAGGGCCATATTCGCGAGGCTCCCGCTTCATTCCACGAATACGCTGGGCAATGGACTTGCTGCGCCCAAGGCCTTCGGAGGTCGACTGCTGGGCTTGCTCAGCTTGAGTCTTCTGGATGGCAGCACGGGCAGCAGGAGTGCCCTCCAGGAAGGTCGAAGCACCGAGTCCCATGGATTCCTCTCCGTAAACAATCGAACCGCGAGCTCGGGGGTCGAAAAGTGCGGGATCGTTCTTTCGCTCGGCAAGTCTCGCAGCAGTTGCAAAGTCTGCAGATGCCTCGCCGTCGTTGTGGCCCATGAAGACAGCATGATCAGGGCGCTTGTTGAGGGGACCGGAGCCGCCAAGGGACATGTTGAGGGAGTCCTTGGCAAAGGCTTGCATCGGTGCACGTCGGCTACCCTTGCGGTTACGGTGGGGGTTGGCTGCGTCGAAAGGACCATCGTGATGGAACACTACATGGCATTAGCCTTGGAAACTCCATCAAAATTGGGGTTTACTCACGTCCGGTACCGTAGATGCTGGTGGCATCTAGTTGGTCAATGATGTCGATTTTGCGACTGGGCTTCTTCGGGTCCTTATCCTTTCCTTCCCGGGCACGGCGCTCTCTCTCCCGACGTCTAGCTTCTTTGGCCTTTCTCTCTTCGTCGGTAGGGGACTTTTCGATATCAATCAGAACGGACGACTCGGAGTTTCTGCGCGGTCGGCGTTCCTGAGGTCGGCGTTGGGGCGATCCTGGGGCTCCGCCAGGTCGGGGAGGACCACCGCTGCCCTGAAGGCGTCGCTGTCTCATCGCCTCCTCCTGAGATCTCGACGGGCGGTGTCCGGGTGGCGGAGGACCGCGACGAGCTCCAGGCGGTACGTTCTCACGTCCTGGCACTCCAGGAGGGCGGTTCGTCGGGGGTCGGGACTGCTTCTGATCGTTAATGGTGAGACCATCCTGTCGAGCGAAAAGTCAGTAAGTTGCCAAAGCCCAGTGTACGCACGGCAATGATTTGACTCGGGCCCGAGGGATCGATCTGGGCTGCATCAATTGATTGATCGGGGGCCACGTACAAACAGCTCCTCAGCGGTAGGCGATGCCTTATTATCCAGCGATTTCGACATGGTGCCTGCTCCGATCAAATTCGGTTGACTACTCGAGTATGATGGATCGAGGAATGGGTTGCGCGAGACAGGTCGGGGAGGGTCGTCAAAAGGCGAAGCGGGCGAGGTGTTATTCGTAGTGCCGGAGAGTAGTGGGGAGGCAGCGCGGTTGCGAAAGGGGTTGTTGGATGAGAGATTAAGCGTTAAGCCAGCGCCAGCAGATTTGCTAGGTTGATGGCCTATTCCAAGGAAGTAAAGTTAGTACTCGATAGGAGGAAGGAGAGAGACAGCGACGGCTCCGTGCATGCGAATGACGGCGAGGGGTAAAGGGATATGAAACATGAGGGAGGTATACATGACACAGCAGGTTCAACAACTGGGTGGAGCGGGCGCGGTGCTTGCGTTTGCTTGGGCGGCAGTGCAATCCGTGAGAAAGGGCGGCTCTCTTCCTGTTGGACAGGGCAAAAGTCAAAGGGGGGAAATCCGGGAAGATGGTGGCAGGCATTGAAAGGGGTGGGTGGGAAGAGGGATGAAGGTTGGGTAGGATAGGACATGCCGGCGCATATTCATCCCCTACATCCGTATCAATGTTTGATTCTTGGCTTACCTGGCTGTGCTGATTGTGTAGACATTTTGGCTGTAGTTTGTGAGGTGTACCGTGTGGGATGGTGTGGTACCCGCGACGGGAGGGATGACCAGATGAGAATATGGATAATGATGATGGACAGGCGCGTCGTATTGAAAGTCAAGGGATCGGCCTTTTCTCCCGCGAAAAAAAAGGGGAGCTGTACGACCGATTGAGGAGGGAGCGGCGAGCGTTGCTAGCAAGCTTGATTTTCTTTGGCTGTCAAATGGCCGTTCCTAGCGTCATGCCTCTGCAGGGACAAACAACAACGGGGGGAACGGGTTTTTGGAGGAGCCACCCGACGGTTCCTCGGCAGGTCACTGTGCGGTGCGATGCGCGGTGTGTGTGTGTGTGTGTGTGTGGCAACGTGCGGGCGAGCAAGCTGCGGTAAGGTAGAGTGCGGTCGGGATCCGGAGTCGTAGGTGGGTGGGTGCGTGGGTTGAAAAGAAGAAAATAGGGGTGAGTTGTAATATCGTAGATCCTCGATAATAGTCGGTAATGCGCGTCTGTCTGGTTTGTAGTGCAGCGCGGTGCCTTTTTCTCTTGCTGGATCCGACGTCAGCTCAAAAAAAGCATTCCTTTGGGCCTGGAGGGGGTGAATTGGTTTGGGGGGGGGGGGGGGGATCAATTGATTATCGGATAATTGATTGGATCCAAATCATCCAATTCAGGGGGAGATTGCTGGTCTGCCGGGAAGCGAGTGGTTTGGCTAGGTGGCTAGGAATTTTTGGGTGGTAAAGTGGTGGATCTGGGGTCCACGCGCCATCCACGACTGCGAGGATGAAGGGGTTTGGCTGCTTGGGTTTGGACAGGATTGGGCGGGCACTCGACCAAAAGGCTGGATGATGCCGACGACTGGATGAACGCGCGACAACCGAGCCAAGCAGCTGTCTGAAGAGTGGGCCAGAAAGGGAAATGCAAGCTCACCTTCTCTTTTGACCTATGTCCGTCCTTTGCTTTTTTTTCTTGTTCAGTCCACGTCCTTGCCAGAGGTGCGGAACAACGTCGTCTCTCCCACAAGAGGGCGCTTCGACGGGTTAATAAGTCGATACTAGGTAATTCAAGCTGTGCGATCGAGATACCCCAAAAAGGATCCGGGGTGGTGTCTGGGTGAGTGAGGGTGCTTGACAGCTCGTACAGTCGCTGGTCTGATGTGACACGGGCTCGGTGCGCCTACGGACCCGGGTTGTCCCAAATTCTGGGTCGCTTTGATGTGGTCAAGTCGGACGAAGGTCCCAACGGGATCGGATCGCGCTCTCGAACCCCAAGTCGTCAATAGTTGGCGCTGGACGTGTACTGTATTCCCTTGATCGGGATGACCGTGTCTCTGCGAAGCGAGACGTGACGGAAAAAAGAAGGTGCAGTATTTCTGCGGAAATGGTAATGTGATGTCGCTGTTCCTAGTCGTGTTCGGACGCTTAGAGAATGCGGGTGGTCTCTGGATATGAGATGCGAAGTCGGATGAGATGGTGAGTCGAGATGAAGGCAAACGGATGAGAGAACGGACGAGACGTTGAAGCGAGAGACGTGATGCTGCTTGAGAGTCCGTTCAACTCGAGAGGATGTCGGCGAAAGAAAAACGAGGGACGGGTGCAGGGCAGTGGAAAGTCCCTTGAGGCAGGTGAGGCAGGTAAGGCTGGTCCACTCGTCGAAGGGGGGGAAGCTGCGAGGCGGAAGAGGAAGGTACCTCCCGTTGAAGGAAAGAACAAAGGAAGGAAGGCGCGAGGCTTAAAGCTTGAGGCTTGGTGTTGAAAGGCACGAGGCACTCCACGAGTCGTTGAGCAAGTGGAAGGAGGTTTCTACCTATACCTAGGTAAGGTAGCTTCGAACGGAAAGGAAGGACTGGGTGATCGAGTAAGAGGAAAGAAGGAAGCCACAGCTAAGGCAGGTGAAGTGGGCAGCTGAGGAGGGGCAGGCAAGAGCGATGATTTTATTAGTATTAGTCGACTTTGGTTCCTTCCTTTTCGTCGTTTGGTCTTTTGGGGGGAAAGAAGGCACGAAAGATTAGAAAGGGAAAGAGACAAACTGCCTTGGAACGGAGAAGAGAGAAAGAGAAGGAGGAGAAATAAAAAGGCAAGTAAAGTAGAAAAGGAAACAGAACGTGGACGATGCAGCAAGAAACATCCCAACGACCTAACGACGCCCTCCCGATCCCCGCGCATTCCACCCGTTCCGATCGCCTCCTCTCCATTTCGACATCCATGGATGTCATCCCCATCCCATCACCCATTAGTATTACCCATCACCCTCATCTGCCAGCGGCACCTGAACTGGACCAGGACCTGGACCCGGTCTGGCACATGAGCCACTCGACCTCAATCTAAGGCACCAAACCCGTTCGTACCTATCTGTACGTACGGGTAGCTTATTTTCCTGTAAGCTCACCTCCCTCCCTCCCTCATGAACATCATAAAGAGAAGAGGAGACGCTGACGACGGCGGATACGGTTGGCTGGGAGGACGCCTCCTCCAGCTTGGGGCCCCTCAGCCCGGATTTGTGGCTGCATCGTGGGCGGTGAGCATGGCTTTCGGAACCTCGTGCTTCATGCCTCTACCAATACACTGGACCTTCATTACCAGGTGGGTAACCACATCCTGTTCCCTACTACCACTACTTCCGCCTACCTTACTACGGATTATACTACCTCTACGTCCATCACCACTCCTACCCCTCTCACTGCTCCTTCTAGCTGGCTATTCGAGTACATTAGGTTGTTCAGAGAATGCGGATATACTTTGAGACAGTGACAAAGACAACAGTGACGAGGTTAGCAGTGACAACACGAGAAAAGGGGTTGACATTTAGTTGACTAGCGGATCGTTCATCACCCACTGAGAGAAACAAATTGTTCAAACAGAATACCTTACCTCGAACTCATGACCTACACGGCTATTCCTTGCCCTGTCATGGACCATGGACGCTAACTATTCCATCATCTCCCGTAGGGTACACGGCTTTCCAACCGGACTAGGCTTCAACGGCGCGATTCTTTTTCTTCTCATTTCCATCTCGCCATTCCGACCCAGATATAATAGATCCATCACCAAGTTTCCAACCAAAAAAGATGGCACGGATGGCCACCGCTGCTCTGCATATCTGCCGCTCTACGGAGTACACTCGAACAAGTATCGCGGCATGGGGTCTTTGGAAACACTAGCCATGACCAACGCGGGAGTGATGTTCCTCGGCTGACCGGGGTGCAGACGAGACGTGCCGACGACACACCCCAGGACCCCTAATAATCCTAATTATTTTAAACTAAGGCAATTCAACAAATTGGCCTACGGTTGAATGACAGGGTGCAATGCGCCTAGACTCGCCTCCGATGGAGTTCCGCAGAACAAGCCGGCCACGAACAATTGAGAGGACATGCACCACTCGTCCTCCAACAAACGACGGGCTGCGCGTGGAAACAAAACGGACGGACCGGAACAGACGACGAGCAAAATTGTGGGCGCTGGAGCCATCTAGCCGACAATGCTTCGGTCGTTTCCCCCTCCACCGGGTCACAGCCATCCAAACCATGCCTTATACTGTGTATGCACACACCGGCTACTACCGACGAGCCTTCTCTGAGCTACGGACACCTTGACTTGGCCCCGTGTCTGTCAGGTACTTGTGGCATGTACCTGACATCAGCCAGGGTCAGACTTGTCTGTCAATCCTCCCGTGCGTGCTCCTCCACTCGGACTCTCGGCTTCTTGTTGCTTGGTTCCTCTCTTTTTCTTTGACCAGAGAGCTCACATACGTAATGAACAGAACCACCTCCTTCCCGACGAACCCGTCTGTCTGCGGCCTGCCTGCGAACGTATGTCCTTGACGACAAAGTCCACAACCCGGCTATTGACACCAACACTGAAATCTTCACCTGGGATCAAGATGAGGGATGGAGCTGTTCATCCGCCCTGGTCTCTCCAGCAGCTGGACAAGACGGAATCACAAAGGGTACCACAGGGGCCTGGTTTGTTGCAACCTGCCCGCCCTTCCAAATTCGCTGGATTGCAACCTCGTGTTGGGGCCCCCTGGTCGTCTCAACCACGCCAAGGGAACATGGGGTACATCAGTTCGAACGTCAGGCCAGCAGCCAAAATCTTATGTTAGGTCCCAGTTGCAGAATCCAGAGTCTCTCGAGCTTTTGCTCGTCGCCATCAGCCTCGGCGTCGCTCCGTTACTACTACTGACAGTTTGACAGTGCCAGCCAGCCCAGTTCCAAGTCTACTACGTATTGTCATGGCACGCACTCGAGCCCGTCTCCCGCCTGACGCGTGACACTTTCAGCCCGTTCGCTGGTTTCCCCCCGCAGGCCCCGGCCATCTCGGTGGCGCCCAATAGTCACTCTCCATCGGACAATTCACTTCATCTTTCGATCTCAGCTGTCATCCGAGCGCAAAACACATCCACTGCTCTCATAGCCAATGCATCGAGGGGAGTCTAGAGACTTAACGGATACCCTTACGCATGAGACCTGAATGGCGAAACAGACCCGCATTGTTCGGAGTGTGATAAGAGCACCGTCGTGTATTCCCTACGGTGTGGTGTTCGCAGCATTCGAGATCGATACGGGCACTCACTCAGCAACCAGCAACCAGCAGAGAGCAGCTTGCCGTATTGCCTTGCCAAGCCTCGGGCAGGGTAACCAAACGGGCAGATGGCGCTCCCCGAAGAGGGAGACAAAACGCCCTCCAATCTCAGCCTCGGACGATCTGATTCGATCAGCCCCCAAATCCGACTCTCCTGGCATACCAGAAGGGATACTGCGCTTCTTCCAGCCAGCAACGCGGGAGCAGACACAACAGACATACGGCAGTTTGAAGACATCGACCGTATTCGCCAATGTTATTGTTATAAATGTCCAGCAAGACCGTGCTTCACTCGGACTGCACCTAAAACCTCATTTGACGTTGATATTTGCGGCCTGCAGGTCCTCCCCTCCCCGTCGTCTTTTTTGCTTTTCTTCATCTCATTCACATTGCGTCTTGATCGGATCGGGGAGCCGCCTTCCATCGTCACGGTCCTCCGTCGAACAAGACTAAGGCCTCAGCCCTCAGGGAACAGCGTGACAGCATCATCCTGGAATCTCATCGCCAATCTGAAACGTAAACGAGCCTTTCGTGGGCGAGAGCATTGGAGCAAAATCTTTTTGATGGGGCTTGTTCATATGAGCAGACGATCATGGGGAATTTGATTAATATCTGCAAAGTACGGATACAACTGCACTACGGATATAGCTGCGCACCAGCCGCACCTGCGATAGTGACCCCACAACAGAACGAGTGAGTGTTGCATGGGGCTGGTCTGCGTAGTGCCAAAGCTCGATCTCCCAGAGATTGCTCTAGGCCCAGCGGGGGCCAGCGCAATTCTTACTTCTTCTTTCCGTCTGTCTCCATCATGGATGGGCTGTCAGCCTGCCACGAAAGGCAGCCCTCATTGGGTCTCCTATTCTTGATTTCTTACAAGTCGCAAACTCAGACTCCCAGCTGCGATTCCGGACAAAGTGGCCGGCTTTCTGGGGGAATCTCTTCCGCCACTTTGACCTTCGGGAATTGCGGGGATACAATCAGGGAAATCGTTCGTCTCAATTACGGCTTTCTTCACGGTGACCACCTCCCGGTCTGGCCCCCTCAACCCACTAATGCCCGCTGAGCCCGAGTCTGAGCCCAACTCCATCTGAGAGAGCATTCGACGGCACCAGAACAGACCTGCTCCTTGTACGAATATACACTGCATAGTATATGGATATGCACGTCACGGTGCCTACCAAACCCGAATCCTGTCGCACGTCGCACTCATTCAACCCGACTCAGCATCCATGAAGCCTGTTCAGATCCTACAGGAATCACCTTGTCTGCATGAGTAGGGACGAAGTCTGGACAACGGGTGTTCCGTGTCCAACGTCTCTTGCGCGTAATGGCAGACTGCCGATGTGATCTCTTGCCTTGGTCAAACAGAAAGAAAACATTCCAACCCATCACCAAGGGAGATGGAGCGGTGTTGAAAGCTCCTTGCCAAGAACCGGTTCAGCCGTACCAATGTCACCTACGAAGGCGTGTGTCAGTCAATAGTGTCTTGTCCGCCAGCAGGTGTTACCGCTCGTCGGTACATGTACTTACGCGGACCTCTCGGCGCCCAGTACTCCCCCGTCTTGGAAATGTCAAGCTGTGCTGTCCACTTGCTGAGACTCTCGGCGGCTTCGTCGGGCGTGACGGCTACGGTACTCAGACGTTAATGACTCCTATGAAACTATTGTCGGGCCGGGTACGTTCACAAGGATATGAAATACTTACCACCGCCATCGTCCCAGTACTTATCGAACCCCACGCCCTTGGTCATCTCTGTACGCATGAAGCCCGGATGCACAATACTGATGATAACGCCCTTATCCTTCAAGTCGAGGCTCAGCAGCTTGCCCACCATGTTCAACGCGGCCTTGGATGCGTGGTGGGCATAGTTGCCGCCGCCCTCCTTCTCGTGTCGTAGGGTGATGCTCCCGGACTCGGACGAGACGAGCACGACCTTGGAGTCTTTTTGGAGAAGGCCGGCGTGCGCGAGTGCGTAGACGACGAAGACAGGGGCAATGGAGCTCGTCGTGTACATGCGCTGCTCTTCGGCCCAGTTTGGACCTTTATCGGCGCTGAAGTCCTCCGTCGCAAAGTAGCCCGCCGTGATGATCTGCCCTCGGCTAGTTATTAAACACACACTCCGGTCTGGTGAGAGGGGCCGCCGGCGGGCCGGATGTATGAGAGGGATCAACATACCACCGTCGACAACGGTTTCGAACCACCAAGCACACTGACTAAGGTCTTGCCGACGTTCTCATCCATCAAGTCGATACCTGGCAGCCACTTTACGGCATCGGAGAAGCCTTCGGGTCCTTCTTCGGAACGCGTGGTGCCGTAGACGGTGTTGCCCGCGTCCGCGGCGTACTGCTTGACGAGGGACGCCCCCAGGCCTCGCGTGCCGCCAACAACTAACACAGGAGACATGATACTCTGTTAACCTGGTTATCTTTAGGATTCGTATCTGCCGGTATTTGTGTTCTATTTTCGTTCTATTCCGGCTCACTCTCAAACACTTCTGGAATGCGGCACCCGTTGGAGAACTAATGGGAGGGGCTTCGAGGGAGACGGCTGAGGAATGTTAAGGGAACGGAGGAAGTGGTGAGCAAAGCTCAGCTACCTTATCGTGACGTAGGTGTCGCAGTGTACTGGCGGCTGGCCCAATTATGCATGGCGAGTCGCATCACTGTGAATGGCGGGGGAGGGGCCTGGAATCACGTCTTATCGATAAAGTTGGTGTGACGGGGGATTGCTGACTGATCCACAATTTTGACCTCGAACCTCGAACCTCTCTCTGTCATGAGGTGCCTTACTCTGAGTTGGCAGTGAGAAAGCTGCTGCTGATCAAACACACTTTAGGGAGGAGAGTTGAGTTTATACAGAAACTCAAGCCAGGTAAATATAGTCGGTGCTTCCGTTGGCGGCAACGCTGCGGCCATCATGAGCATATCACGACCAAGCTGTTGGAAAGTCATGTGGAAAGGCTTTAATCAACCAATAGAGGTTATTGTGAAAGCATAGTCTGTCCCATTTGAAAATAACACCAAGTAAACTTCGTCTTATCGCGGTCTCAGCCGGCGCGACACCCGACTGAATGGATGGCGAGCTGTCAAACGAAGTGCCGACAAACGGTTCATGAAACCAACCACGCGGTCTGAGTTTCGATTGAGATGCTACTTAGCTTTCGGTAGCATCCTTGCGCAGTGACACGTTTGAGTTCACCTAATGAGGCAAACGGGTGGTGTTCGCTGCTATGAACCATCGCATCGAATTCGTATTCGTTCCAATGTGTCCCTAGATAATGACAGCTGAGAAGGTGCTCAATTGCTCATCAAACCTGAAGCCTTTGATCTCTTCATGAAGTTCCGTTTCACTAATCCCATGTTAAATTGAGCACAAGAACATCTAGCAAACATGGCCCTAGGTTACGGGCTTATCGCCATATACATTGCTGAGATTACAATTGCATATGTGAGTTGTTACACGTTTATATTGAAGATAGTCCTAAACTGACTCAATTTCATAGTACTTCTTACTCGGCATCTACAATGTCTACTTCCACCCGCTCCGCCACTACCCATGACCATTCCTATGGCGCTTCAGCCCAATCCCAAAGAACATCTCCCTCCTAACAGGCAAATACGCCGCCAAAGCCCGTGAAATCCACGAGACCTACTCCGGCGCCGTTCGCGTAGCTCCCAACGAGCTATCCTACATTCAACGTAAATAGCAACCTCACCTCCTCTTTTCCTCCCCGAAGATGTTTATGATCTGAATGGTGTCTTCAATACTAACGCGTAGAAAACCAGCACAAGCATGGAAAGACATCCTAGGCCGCCCCCTCAAATCCGAAATGGCCAAAGACCTCCGCTTCTTCGGCGGCGAGAATTTCGGCCGCGACAGTCTTGTCACGACAAGGCCGGAAGACCACACCCGCCAGCGCCGCATCTTCACGCACGCCTTCTCCAACACGGCGCTCAAGGCACAGGAGCCGTTGTTGGTGGACTATGCTAATCAAATGGTCAAGGCGATGGGCTCGCTCGCCGACCATCAGCGTCAGCTCGCGCACGCAAACGGTGATGCTGATAAAGTCGGGTTAGGGTCCGTCAACATTGTCGACCTCTACAACTTCGCCACCGTTGACATCATGGCGGACCTGACCTTTGGGGAACCGCTTCTGTTGCTCAAGAGGGGCGATTACACCCCCTGGGTGCGTAACGTCTTCGCCGGGCTGAAATTTGTTATCTACGGGCTCGTGTTTCTTGAGATTCCGGTGCTGGGACCGTTTGTGCAGGCTGTCACATCTGCGCCGCTGAGGAAGAAGGCGCAGGAGCATACTGATTTCGCGGGGCAGCTTGTTAATCGGCGGTTGAGGGAGAGGCAGGAACATCCGAAGCCTGATATTTGGAGTTTTGTGCTCAAGCACAACGACGACAGCAGCAGCAGCAGTGATGACGGCGGTGCCAAAGGCAAGGAGAAGGGGCTGTCGGATAGGGAGATGCACGCCAACGCGGCCATGTTCATGGTTGCCGGGACGGAGACGTCGGGGACGGTGTTGTCTGGCACGACGTACTACCTGCTGCGGAACCCGCGGGTATACAGGCTACTGACGAAAGAGATTCGGGGTGTGTTTATGAGGACGGAGGATATTTGTGTTGACGGGCTTGTGGGGTTGGAGTATTTGACGGCGGTGTTGATGGAAGGGTTGAGGTTATATAACCCAGGCGGCGCGGGGATGCCGAGGATTGTGCCGAGGGGCGGAGCGGAGGTTTGTGGGGAGTTTGTGCCGTAAGCTGTAAGTTCTGGGCTCTCTTTCTTTCCCTTGTTTGCGTTTACATGATGGAGATGATGCTGGGCGAGTTGGAGTGGTGTTGTGGCTTACTGTGAGATGACAGACTTTGGTATCCGTTAACCCATACTCGGCCTTCACGAATCCGGAGAACTGGGCGCGGCCGAACGAGTTTGTTCCGGAGCGGTGGATCCATACGGATGCGCCCGAGTGGAAGGATGATAAGAGGGATGTGCATGAGCCTTTTTCTTACGGGCCGAGGAACTGTCTGGGCAAGAAGTGAGTTACCACCGAAGACTACCCCTTACCCTACCTTTGCGACTTCTTATTGTTGCTTTCGTTGCTAACGATGAACCTCTTGTGTCCTGTATAGTCTTGCGTGGTTGGAGCTCCGTTTGCTGCTCGCCAAGACACTGTGGCACTATGACTTGGCGCTTTGTCTCGGTATGGAGTCGTGGGTTGTGCAGAGGAATTATATTACGTGGGAGAAGGGGCCTTTGATGGTTACGCTGAGACCTGTTCAGAGGGACGTATGAAGGGGCTGTGATATGTTTGGGTTTTCTGGAAGTCTAGGCTGATCAAATCTGGGCGGACTAGTATGGGATGCTACGAAGATCTGATATATCATTTGGCCATGAGTTTCCTGCCTGGGAAGGGGAGTTCTTGGTCAAGAGAGCACAGAGTCCAGACGCTACGTTTGCCCAGATCCGACACTTTGCATGCGCCTTTCGTACGAGGGTCAGAATTATAATTACTACTCCAACCAATTCTGCGCCATGCTGACGTGAAACTATGTACGACGAAGATTAAACTACCACATCATACTTCTTCGATTCCCCCTACTTAGTAAACCCCGATGGCCTCGCCTACAACGCTTTTGAAGATACCATTCGGGTCGAATTGCTCCCTGACAGCCTTGAAGCGGGCAATGTGCTGCATTTCTATGTTAGCAACAAGCACTTGTACATCAACGACATGGATCAGCTTACATCGGGGTCAATGTTCTTCGCGGCCTGGGCAAAGACCTCGCGGGTATTCTTGGTCCAGTGCGGGCGGCAGGGGAACTCGTCAATGAGGACCTTGGCAAGATTGTGATCTAACACAGCCCGAGTCAGCGTACATCCTTACTTCATTGAGAAGCTGCGGTAGTATATAGAGCATGTCATCGGGGGGAAACCACTTACAGAAAGGCTCGTTAAACCGGCTATGATCCCCAACAGTCGGTCTAAACGTCGGGAAATCAAGCATAATCACCCCCTTACTCCAATCCGCCCCATCAGCAGTCCCATACGTGACCTGCCCCAACAGATCAAAATACGGCCTCCCAAACTTGATATTAATCCCGCTCCGATACGTCGACGTCATAACAATCAACTTCTTCGCCTCGTCACCAAACAACGCCCTCACGCGCTTCAGCATGGCATTCGCCTGCGTGATCGGGAACGCCAGCTCGAGCGTGTACCCCTGCACGCCCACCTCCCACAGCGGCTTCTGGTCCGGGTACAACCCGCCGATGAGCACGTCGTAGTTCCAGCCGTAGACGGGCCACTCTTCAATGGCTATGTTTGTCGTCTTTTCGCGGAAATTGGGTTTCGACCAGAGGCCGAAGAAGATTTCTTCGGCGAGGAGGTTCGAGGTCGGGAGGTAGCGGCCGCTGTCGAGGAGGGTGCGGGCTGTGGTGCCTTCGAGGTCGGTTACGGAAAAGGTGTTTTGGAAGCCTTGTTGGTCTGAAGTGTTTGTTGGGACGACGTCGTAGTAGCGGTGGTGGAATTTGCGCTTGTAGGGCCACCACTGCGTAGTTGTTAGTCTATGGCAATTCATACGGAGAAGTGGTTGTGATTGTGAAGTAGACTTACCCAGAAGTTGGCTGTTGCGTAAGGAGCTATCATGCCATAGATGTCGCCATCAAGGACCTCGCTTTCTTCAAGTCTTTATCACGATCATTAGCTCAGCCGAGGCATGTCAATGTTGAGGGAAACCCACGTCTTCTGTTGAGCGTAAACCTTGAAGTCAGGATAAATCTTAAACTTCATCCGCACAATAACACCCAACAACCCAAGCGAAGTCGACGCAGCAAGCCACGTATCGTCATCATTATCCCTCACAAGGTGCCTCAACTCCCCATTCCCATCAACGATATCCAACTCCAACACACCAGCAGCAACCATCGAATCCTCCCGAATCGAAGACCGATGTGCCCCCATGGCAACACACCCAGCCAGCGTAATATTCCAATTCACAAGCGTGTACCCCGCCGACGCGCCCCGGTCATGGAGATACTCCGCCAACTGCAAAAACGTCACGCCGGCCTCGATGACCACGCTCCCGCCCTCGAGATCAAACTCGGAGATGCCGTTGACATCCTCGGTGCGGATGATGACCGTGTTGGCGTCGTCGGAGCACATTGTGTCGTACCACATGTGGCCTTTTCCCGAGGCGCGGACTTTTTGGCCCGAGGCGATGGCGTCTTTGACGAGGGATTGGATGTCGGATACGCTGGTTGCGTTGTAGACTGCGGCGACGTCGTTGCAGGCGGGGAAGCCTGGGCCGTCGAAGGTGTTGTAGGGGGCTGCGGTGACGGTTTTTGATGCGAGCAGCAGCGTCGCTAGGAGGGGGAGGGGGCGTAGAGACGGCATTGTCGTCCGGGGGAAGGCTTGTTCAGCCCGTGTTGGAGGTAAGGCAAGGAGTAGGATATGCAAGTATTCAAGTCCCTGGCATGAAGGACGAGAGCTCAGGAACCCGTTGGGTAGATGGGATGAACCTGTCGTTCACTTATAATAACAGCATTTTTTACCACTATCTACGCTGTTACATTTACATAGGTCGTGTAAAACTGCCAACCCAAACTCTCCATCAGAACCAATGCCGCGGACCTCGAACAAGCTTTTATGTGATGCCGGGAAACAATCACTTCTCTCAACAGAAAACCTGGTTCAATGGCAGGTCCAACGTCACCCAGGTCGCCCAGATCACCAGGCCAGGAACATAGAGTTGTATCGCAGGTTGCCTTACATCGAGAGGACTGCCTTTCGCGTACCAAGAAAGGAAGTAGAAAGGTTAAAAGAAGAGAGCCAAGACGGTGACAGATCCCGATCAGAGACATGGTCCGATATGTAACGCAACCCCAATGGTCGGTTGGGGTACCGGGAAGGTGACAGCAGAGAACGCGGGGAAAGGCCTTGAATAGCGACGGTAGAGACGAAGATCTTCATTTCTCCTCCTACTCGCATGTCCGTGTGATGAGCAGGGAAGAGTGTGCGGGGTGACAGCGGCACAGCGGATGCGACGCCGTATATGGAGGGGACATGCTAAGGGGAGGTGGAAGAGAAGAAGGACTCGAGAGTCGACATTGGGCAAGGCATTCAAGTATTACCACCATCATCGTCTGATGGCTTGGTAGCCCGGAAGTCTCCTTTGACTTTTATGCATATAATCTGGCATTTGATGGCTAGTAGTGCCTAGTTGAGTAGTGATGTGCAAGGGGTTGAGTGGAGGGCGTTGTTGGTGATTGGTGGGCTGGCCGTCCAGTCCGGACGGACTGCCATGCTCGGAGCGGGGAAGTCGCGGATCGGAGAAGCGGGGCAGTCACCGGCCGAATCACTCCCGTGGAACGAATGGGGCACCATTTGTAACATAGAGGCAATTCCCATATCTACCTAAGTAGTGTGTTATGACGCCAACTGAACAGCTTGAAGTCGATGCCCAACTAGCCGCGAATGGTCATCTTATCTGTTATCTCTTTAAACAGATGTGTCTCATGATCTTTATAGACCCGAAATGGCTCAAGCTTATCTGCCAGTATCGGCGTGATGAAGCACAAAGATATAAAAAGTATACGGAGGTCTGTTGAGAAGAGCTTAGCACCGAGATGTCACGGGCCGTGATGCAAGAGTCCACGTCAAGCCACCCAGCCGGCCTTCACCACCCTCCCCTCCTCTCCTCTTACCTGAGTTTACCATCTAGCCAATGCGTAATCACCCCAGTCTATTCTAGCACACTAACTCCATAATCTTTCTTCACCCCTCCACAGCCTGGAAGTATGTGAAACAGAATACACCAGAACTAGCAAAGAACAATAACATCTCCTTGAAATACCTCAAGAACCTAGAGTTTTGAGCGAGTTTAATCACCATCAATTCAGCAATCTAGGAGCACGGCTTGATTCGTATACGTCTTTTCTCGACTCAGTCAATCTCTAAGTAAGTGGAATAAGCTGGATCCCGCATTTGACAAAACAACAACAAAATCCACATACGGCTAACGACGTCATCCGAGTAGACGCAGTAGTAGGTACCGACTATCTTGACATGCGTATAGAGCCGGCAACCCGCTTACTCGAGGTCGAAGGCCCCAGCGAGGAAGACGAGTCTCTCCCGAGGAGCTGATAATATGCACCGTGTAGGGCATATCATCCTCCCCAGTTAGGAGCACTAAGGCTATATCGTTCTAGATCTCTCGCTTCTCACTCCTCGAGGTGAGTGGACTCGATGTACTCCAGTATCTGCTTGATGGAGCTTGCCCCGAGCTCCTTGATCTTCCGAGGGGATGCCTGGTCTATCTCAAGTCTAATGCCCCTCCCTGATCGGGTCGATAATCGACTCCTTTGGTAAGTCGGCCAGGTACTTGAGCGAGCCTCGTCGTGTCTGCTGGTAGCTTTGAGAACTTGTTCAATCGCTGATAAGTACCCAAGCAATGTAGTATGCATTGTGTGAAATAAGTTCTCCTGTTCCCATAAAGACCACTACGCTTTACACTACACAAAGTCGACTAACTAATACCCTTCTATACTTCTGGCCTAGCTGTAAAGTATTACAAAAAGAATACACCAACACCAGCAAAAAGTACTGATGTAGAGAAATCCCAGGTTTGCTTCTTTGAACTCCCAGCGACATCTTCGCTGAATGGATGCCCTCACGCCTTCTCTGGTATGCTGAAGAACCAAGATACTTTCTTTCAACTCAATCAATCTCACCCACACCTTCATTCCAATTCAATTACTTCAAAAAATCCAAGACCTCGTAGGTCAAGTATTCTTATATACTCTCTCTTCCACACCAGCCAAACCCAAGCAGCCGGACTAGGACTGGAAGATCAATTAAGCCACAACAACCACCGGACCTTCTGCTTTCCAACGAATATACCTCAGTTTCCCACAAACAACTCGTCTCGCGCGCTGTCTCGGCCTCTCAATGATCCTCAATGCTGCGGGCGCAATGTAACCTTCAACTCTCACTTGCCTGCCTAACACCCCAGTAAGCCATATTGAAGTTTATTATGCCAAATACCAACGATGCACCGGGGCAACGAGGTAACGCCAACATTCCCTCAAGTTTTTACGACCGAACCATGGAACCTTGGTGGCTGAGGGAGATCAAGCTTTGCCTAAACATGCCTCAGTCGAGACATTCTCATGCTTCGTGCGATTGAATCCTGTTGACAAGGTTGCCCGAGATACAGCTCCGGTGAAGGACTCGACATCATTGTGGTGACGATTTAGCAGAAGTGTATCTGAAAACTAATGCAACTGACAAGAATATGGCACAAGGAGCGGCCTCAGGAAGATGGAAACTCGCAAGTCACTCAAGCTTAGGCGTAACAGTCGCACAAGCATCAGACGCGAATAACAGCGTGAGGCAAACGTTGGGGTCCTAATCGTCTATTCTCCAAAACCAAGTTCACGACAAAAGATAACATAAACTACAAAACATCTACTGATATTACCCAGTGATACAGTTCGTACAAGTCGTAACTGTTCCCTTTCCCCAATGCTAGTTAGAACAAAATTTCACACAAATCCCATAAGCCGCGGGAGAGAACTACCTAGTCTATATGTGAACCGTACATGTATCTTATGCTAATGACTTCGTGATTCGGTGCTGGAAAAGTCACGCTCAGGCGGTAGCCATGGGCAGGGCTGGGAGCAGCGACGTCTGTCCGATGAACCAGGATCGGGTGACGACGTAGCAAACCTCGCCACCAGGCAGAGGAGCGCCAGCCGTGTACAGGCCGGGAGGCAGCGTGAGGGTGCCGGCAATGTTGGGGCCAGTGCTGGTAGGAACCGGCGCACCGGTGATGGTGGTGCCAGGCTGGGTGACGGTGTTGACAACAGTGACGGACGCGGTAGTACCGGCGCCGGTGCTGACGCTGACGCTGGTGACGGTGGAGACAACCGGCGGGGAGACGTCGAGACGGACGTAGACGGTAAGACGAACATCAGTCGGGATCTGGCGACGGGCCAGGCGGACGGCAGAGGCGCGACCACCGCAGCGCTGGGCAGGGTTACCAGGGCAGACAGTGTTGCACTGGTTCTCGGGAACGAGGACGGTGAGAGTGTTGTCGATGATGTCACCACAGTAGCAGTCGGTACCGAACAAGGCAGCGAGTCTGGAGCTGGCGGGGCAGGCAGCAGTACACTTCTCGAGGGTCAACAACGCATCCGACAAGGCCAGGAAGAACGTGGGGAAGCTGCTGGTCGAGCTGAAGCATCCCAAGAGAGAGAAGCCGTCAACACTAGCAGGGTTGGGAGCAACGCTGGAGGTAGCTGCAGCAGCGGTGCTGTCGGTCGTCGCGCCGCCATCGGGGCCAGTGGTAGGGCTGACAATAGTAGATCCACCAGTGACAACGGTAGAACCTCCAGAGACGAAGGTAGAGCCGCCAGAAACGAACGTGGAGCTGCCCGAGACGATGGTAGAGCCACCAGAGATGCCAGTGGAACTGCCAGCAACGAAGGTCGAGCCACCGCTGACGAAGGTAGAGCCACCGGTAGGAGCGGTAGTCGAGCCAGAGCGGGTGGTGGTAGGGCTGGAGGTAAGGGTCGATCCAGGGCTGAAGGTAGAAGAGGCCGAAACACCGCCGGGAGTGGTGGTCGCAGAGTTGGTAGCGGCGGTAGAAGCGGGAAGGCTGGAAGTGGTGCCGCTTGCCGTGCAGGAAGAGCCTAGGAGAGATTGTCAACAGCGAGATCATTAAACATGCGAGGCTTAACGCTTGACTTACGAGGAGTGGCGCTCAAGGTGATCGGAGTGCAGTTAGGCGGGACAGTGGTACCGAAGGTAGCGTAAACTTGACCGCTGTTGTCCTGGCAGAAACCAGCCTGTCCTCCGGTGAACGCATCATTCTTCCATGCGAAAACACCGTTGGTGTTGGTGAAGGTCGCGGTGATCGATCCAGTGCTGCCGGAGCGCAGGGCAATGAAAGGAGTACCGGGGCTGACACCGAGGGCAGAGCCATCAACAGTGATGGTGCCAGAAGGGCTGATTCTGAAGACAGCAGCCTGGTTGCAGTTGGTGGGGTTGGCCTGTCCAGTGGTTCCGACGTAGGTAGTTGCGCCGCTCTGGCGGTTCATGAGCTGGGCCATGTCGGGGCCACGCTTCCTCAAGACGATACTAGAAGTGGTGTTGAGGAACGGAGCGCTAGAAGAGCTAGAAGAAGAGCTTGAAGAGCTGGTGATGGTCGTATCCGTGGTGCTAGCAGACGTGGTTGTTCCAGAAGAGCTGGAGCTGGAGCCAGACGAGGTGCTGCTGCTGCTGCTGCTGCTGCTGCTGCTGCGAGTAGAAGAGCTCGAAAACGAGGTGGCGGTGCTGGAAGAGGAGCTGCTGGAGCTGGTAGGTGCTCTTCCGCCGACGATGGCGAGGATGAAGTCAGTCGCAGAGGCCGCGGCGGCGCTGGTGACAGAGTTGGAGGCAGAGTTGGAGGCAGAGTTGGAGGCAGAGTTGGAGGCAGAGTTGGAGGCAGAGTTGGAGGCAGAGTTGGAGGCAGAGACCGTTCCAGAAGTCGAACCAGAGATTGTGGAAGTTCCGGAAGAGGCTCCAGAGGTAGAGCTCTGACTTGCGACGGACGTTCCAGTGTTGGTAGGGACGAACTGAAGGTTCGTGTCAGTGTTGACCTGGGCAGAAGGAACGAAGGATGAGCTCAAAGTAGTCGAGGCGGCAGCAATGGCAACCTGGCTGGCAGGAGTCACGCTGAGAATCGTAGCGGGATCAACAGTGCCAGTCTGGCGTCTGAAGAAGCTGCGACGACGGCTGCTCGCAGCGGCGGCGCACTGGTCAGCCGGGATGAGAGGCAGAGTCCGGAGAACAGAACCGCAGAAGCAGTTGCCTCTGATGACGGTGGTGAGTGCCAGAGACTGGGAAGCGCAAGCAACCGCGCATGCAGGTGCGGTAGCGGCATTGGGAGGGTTGACAGTGTTCTCGAAAGGCGACTCTCCAGCGGGAACACCTCTGCAACCCATTGACTGAACAACGAACTTCTCCGCATTACCACTGGTGTTGGGGATCTCGACGACAACGGCTTCACCGGGCTGGATCTCAAGGGCCTTCGAGAAGGGCACCGGGTCGGGGCTGAGAACAGCGATAGAGGACTGGCCAGGCTGAGCCGGAGATGTGGTAGGGGCAGCCGATGTAGCGGGGGTAGCAGAAGAACTGGCAGGAGCAGCAGTAGAAGAGGGAGCAGCTGCCGAGGAACTGGCAGCAGAAGCAGCAGAAGAGCTTGCAGCAGCAACAAATGAAGAGCTGGCGGCCTCGACTGAGGAAGAGCTAGCAGCGGCAGCAGAAGAGCTGGCGGCCTCAACTGAGGAAGAGCTAGCAGCGGCAACAGACGACGAGCTGGCGGCAGCAACAGAAGACGAAGAGCTGGCGGCGGCAGCGGAGGACGACGACAAGCTGGCAGCAGCAACAGAAGACGAGGAGCTCTCAACCGAGGCAACCGAGGAGGACGAGCTGGCGGCGGCAGTGGTAGAGCCGCTGGTGCTCAAGGTAGCGGAAGTAGAGATGGATTCAGTCGACGAAGAAGTTCCGGTAATGGTGCTTAAGGTAGCGGAAGTAGAGATGGATTCAGTCGATGAAGAAGTTCCGGTAATGGTGCTCAAGGTAGCGGAAGTAGAGATGGATTCAGTCGATGAAGAAGTTCCGGTAATGGTGCTCAAGGTAGCGGAAGTAGAGATGGATTCAGTCGACGAAGAAGTTCCGGTAATGGTGCTCAAGGTAGCGGAAGTAGAGATGGATTCAGTCGACGAAGAAGTTCCGGTAATGGTGCTCAAGGTAGCGGAAGTAGAGATGGATTCAGTCGACGGAGAAGTTCCGGTAATGGTGCTCAAGGTAGCGGAAGTAGAGATGGATTCAGTCGACGAAGAAGTTCCGGTAATGGTGCTCAAGGTAGCGGAAGTAGAGATGGATTCAGTCGACGAAGAAGTTCCGGTAATGGTGCTCAAGGTAGCGGAAGTAGAGATGGATTCAGTCGACGGAGAAGTTCCGGTAATGGTGCTCAAGGTAGCGGAAGTAGAGATGGATTCAGTCGACGAAGAAGTTCCGGTAATGGTGCTCAAGGTAGCGGAAGTAGAGATGGATTCAGTCGATGAAGAAGTTCCGGTAATGGTGCTCAAGGTAGCGGAAGTAGAGATGGATTCAGTCGACGAAGAAGTTCCGGTAATGGTGCTCGTGGTGGAGTGGCTGGAGGTGTCCGTGGTGGTTGTGGTGTGGCTTGAAGTGGAGGAGGACGAGGAGCTGGTGGTAGAGCTGGAGGAGGAGGAGGACGAGGTTGAGTTGTCGACTTGGATGTTGAAGTGGATTTCACCAAGCGTACCACCGCAGTTCTCAGTTTGAGTAGCATCATCAGGGCAGAGCGTGTTGCAGTCGCTATCGGTGACAGCGGCAACATTCGTAGGGGCCGGGCCGCAGCCACAGGTGAATGTACCGTTGCTGCTATCCGATTCGTAGATGCCAAATACAGCGTAACCTTGGCAGAAGTTGTTACACTTTTCCTGGGTCATGGCCGGAATGACTTTGGTCGCGGCGGATTGCGTTCCCGGGGGGAAACAGTTGCCGCTGGCGGGGGTGATTACCGCCTGGCCGACGCCGGCCAGGGACAATGCAGCCAAAAAGGCCGCCTGCTTCATCCAACCCATCTTGTCGGTAGCTTTCGAAGAATAACTGATGAAATACAGCGAGCCAAAAGGCAGAGTCGAGACTGGAGAGGGGAGGGGAGTATTAAGACGAAAGGGATGTCGATCTCCCTAAAGAGTGACGAGCGCGAGCAAGAACCAAGCAACAAGAACGAATGACTGCCCAAACTTGCCCCCGGAAGAAAAACCAGGTTGAGACGGACGAAAAGGAGAAGCGAGTGTGAGTCGAAGCGCGGTGATGAGAACACGGAAAATCCGATATTCTGGGAGGAGAATCTTGGCCGTATTTGAAAGCTTCTCATCGTGAGGGCCAAGAATGCTGGCCCTGTCGCCTCTTACCCACTTCCAACAACACGGGCGGCATTGGATCTCCCACCTCCCTTCCCACCTTAGGGCTGCCGGGTGAGAGCATAGGCTCGCTCTCAGGAACCTGGAATGTTCGAAATGACGATTCTCAGGTCCAGCCGTATGCGATGCTTTTCCCCTGAACGCCAGTCATTCCTCCCACGCAATACTCGGTCGACGTATGTGGGTGTCTGGCCTGGCTTGCATCTCGGACGGCCGCCCTCCCACTCCGGAGTCGAAACGGAGTAGAGGCAAAAGGGCAAAGGGGGGCGTTGGCGAGCAATGGGACCTGGAACCAGGAAACCGGATGGCCTGGCGATGTCTCGCAAGAGCCGTGGCTACTTTGCACATTTCCATTCATCATTCTTGCCTCCTGGCCGTAGCGGGGAGGGATTTCTCCTGCGGCTGAAATCAGACAATTAAACGGGGGCCGCTTGTTGCAATTTTGCGAAGCACGTTTTCGAGAACGGCGATGGCCTCTCGGTCTAGCCTAAACCCCTCCATCCTGTTGGTAGGAGTCGTCGTTGGTGTAGAAGCCAGGATGTGTGGGACAACTAAGAGAATGCCGGCCGCCCGCCATACTTTCCTCTACGTTCTTGTGCAACGGCGGGAAGAAACACTGAAGCGCGAGACCAGAAGCCTGGCTATGCAACGTGCGGAATGTAGAGGGGTGAACGAGCCGTCGTTGATCGAGGGACGGAGGAGGCATAGCGGTCTTGACTCTTGAGGTTGGATGCGTTACGTGCCTGGGTACCCACACAGTTTGCCGTGGGCCAAGAGAGCCTGCCGATGAGTGTTTGTGTATGTGTGTCTGCGTACAGTGTGAGCATAGCTATGCTTGCTTAGAAAGTAAGAGACACCAATGTCTCGCGAGCATATGAGCAGAGAAGTCTTGTCTGCACAAGACCTTCAGCACGGCATCCATATTGGGTGGTAGTCGTTGTCCCTGTACAACCAACGGCCCCCCAAGTCCCTGGACCAAAACGCTTGTACGACTGGGCGACAAGGGTTGTGGTCGAAGATGGGGATCAGTGTTACACAAACATGTGGCCATGTCGTGCAGAGCGGGCGAAGTGGAGGCCGGGACACGTGAAAAGAAACTTGAAGACAAAGGCAGAGAGGAGAACAGAAAAGACGGAACGGACGGGGGGCTCCGCCGGCATACCATGGGTCGAGAAATTCCAGACTCCTGGAAACTGGTTGTCCAAAGAAAATGCAAGACGTCGAGATATTGGAATGTGGAGTGACGCTGTTGGATGGCGACGAGTCGAGGGATATGTGAGAGGCGTCGACAACTGGTAGCCCTTGGTGGAAGCTGAAGTTACATCTGCCCGTTTGAGGCCAAGAGGGAAAGAAAGGGTCCAATGACATCTTCTCACCTTGCAAGGAGTGGGAGGAATACATGCTCCGTCCTCTCCCTGCATAAGCCACGTTGCTTCGATGTTGCTTCTTCCCTCCTTGGAAACGCGTTTCTCCCTCGCACTATCTGTACCTCTTCAGAGTACTAGGTATCGTTAGCCTCTCTCTACAGGCAAAATGTCACTGCCAAGACATGATAACACTAAGTTGGCCATCTTTCCTTTTTCCTCCCCCTCTGCTATCCATCTAGACAGAAAGTCAACTGCCGTCCATCCATACTCGTCGGAATCGTCCTCTCCAAGACTGGCTCGCTGATGTCGATGATGCATAAGAGCTCCATGTTGCCCACGCCCATCAATGCCAAAGTTTGATTGCAAACGATAGCATACTTCCCACGAGGAACTTGAAGTCGTGAGCCCTTAGTGCCTCTCGAGCCATGCCAATGGCGTTGCGGATCGGCCTTTTCTCATCTGCGTTTTTTACGAGCCTTTGCAACGCCCTCGGTTCCGTGCCAGACCCCGCCGTCGATGACCGCCGATTTCGAAACCGAGCAAGGGAGATGGCATCCATGACTGTACTACGTAGGCTACGACATCGAACGGTTCTGCTGATTCTGTCAGTATCATCAATGGCTCGCGGCGATACACTCAGTCGATATGACACTTTGCCAGGTCTGGATAGTCGTATGGCACAGGACGCACTGACACCGCCAGGCCTGAGTGGACAACATCTTTCTTCTCTTGAGTGACCATGACTTCTAGCCGCGGAGCCAACACAATCCCAAACGTGATTCCGTGATAAGACGTCGACAGGTATAGTCCTAATTCCCACAGATATCTTCTGCTCCAACCAGAGGGAAAACATCGCCCATTCGTACTCCTTGCTCCAGGGCGAGTTCGTACCGCATCCGTCCTCCCTAATCTCCACTAC